TCACATGCGGCAAAAGCGAAGCGACAGTGCCATGAGATATTGTAGTCTTTTTTCTTGAGCAAAACTGGGACCAACTTTATAAGGATCGCGATACCACTCAAAAATTATTCGTAACTCTTATCAACAAGAAGCCAGATTTTTCTTGCTAATCGAACCAGCTGGGTTCAGGGAGTCATCGTGAAAAGGCTTGCAATTAAGAATCGGTTTATTGCAGGATTTTGTAAAAAAAAAAAAGAGAAACTAATGTAACTATAAATGAAAAACTCTAAGAGCTCTCTCTCATAAATATTTAACAAAAGTGCTTGACAATCAGCCCATATTTTTTGATCAAATGGCCCTCTGTCATGTATTCTTGGAATGCCAAAATCCAAAAGCATATGTTGCTACCAGCTGAAACTTTGAAAAATACAATAAAATGACAAATTCTGCATCAATGTATCTTTGACTGTAAAATCATTTAACAGTTTCTCTCCATTCACAGGTCGTCTGGTAGAGTCCCAATTTCAGCGCTAACTTGATGGCTACCAACAGCAGTAACGACATAACCTATAGTGAAACGAGCAACGTGGACGCGATACCTGTTCCTGCCTGTCATTGCATTCCCTGGCTAGTTGTATTTGGCATTCTAAGTCTGGCCATAGTCAGCCTTAATCTCATCACCATTATTATTTTTGTGAAGCTGCCCCAGCTGCAGCGCCGAAGCATATACTTCATCATCCATCTTGCAACAGTCGATCTCTTGGTCGGAGTGGTTGTAGGGCCTCTGCTCATTCTCAATAATGGAAATGGGTTCTGTCAACTATGGAAGTTAAGATCTAACCCCAATTGGTTACTTAAATTAAGAATAATTGCAAGCCATGCATTTTATCAAGTCTCTCTCCTTAACCTCGCTGTAATTGCATTAGAACGACTACATGCAGCGGCTCGTCCTTTGAAACATCGTTTTATCAAGAAACGGGTTTATGGAGTGATTATCGCTCTCACTTGGTTGCTGCCTTTAGCCGTGAACGTGTTAGAAATAGAATTAGTCACTTTTTCTGACAACCGCGTCCCTCCATTTTTGATTCGCTGTTTATACTCTTCAATCCTTCTCTCTCTTATGTGCGTATGTTATATTTCAATTTATATCAAGGTTCGTTGTAGTCGTCATCCTCAACACCATGGTGCAGTCGGCCTGAGGGAGAGAAAATTGACGAGTACGTTATTTCTCGTCACCCTCGGATCATTGTTAACTTACTTACCAAAGGTGGTCTTCTGGGGTGTGTTTAATTTTCCGGAGCTATCTAATAGTCTTCCCAAACAGATAACTTTTAACATCTATATGGCAGTACTGACAATTGTGACATTCAACTCGCTAATAAATCCTATAATTTACGCCATACGGATGCCAGAATTTAGAGCAGCTATAAATCAAATGATATTTCGTAAGTCTACAAACCGCTTAAGCCCAGTCGATTTTCCCCTTTGAGAACTTTGATTTTTTTTAATCTCAGGAGTACTGCACATTAAGTACTCTTATCATTTATCATGTTATCATTACTATCAGTTATTATTGACTGTTTTACCAAAGCCCAGTTATCTTGCAAAAATAAAATGCTTGAAGAGAAGAAGTTAAGGTTGTACAATCTTCCCTTTTCAGTGTTAGTACAGATCGGTTCTCAGATGAGTGTTTATGACGCTATTAGGAGGTTGAAAAGGAATCCCGGCTGTCTGTTAGGTAAAAGTACTAAGTAAGTAAATAAATAAGTAAGTAGGTTAGTAATTAAGAAATTGAGTAATCATGTATGCATGTATGTATGGATGTCTGTATGTAAGTAAGTAAGTAAGTAAGTAAGTAAGTAAATAGATAAGTAAGTTGGTAAGTAATTAAGAAAGTGAGTAATTGTGTATGCATGTATGTATGTATGTATGTATGTATGCAAGTAAGTAAATAAGTAAGTTAGTTAGTTATCTAGTAGGTAAGTAAGGAAATAAGTAAGTAAGTAAGTAAGTAAATAAGTAAGTGAGTAAGTTAATAAGGTTAGTAAGTAAGTAAGCAAGTTGCAAATCTTTCCTTGATCTCGTTAAGATACAATCAGATACTGACAAATACACATCACAAACTCCGCTGGTATTAACGCATAGACCAGTTTTTTAATTGAACGTCGAAAAACTAAAAGCAAAATAATTACAAATACCACTCAGAGCGACGGGTAGCATCGTTATTAACCAATGAGAACTCTAAGTTAAGACAGGCAACCTTCTTGAAGCGCGGGAAAATGCGAGCGACCAAGTTTTGATTAGTTTTAGCTTTGCATTTGATTGGTTGAGATGGTGGCGCGAGTATTCTGGACCAATCACAGAGCGAAGTAAAGAAATACCAAACAACCAGGATCGCTTTTAATACTCAATTAAAAACTGTTCTTATAAGTTTTAAGATTACTTGATTTTTGTTTCCATAAATGCCTCGTCTTTAATTATTAGAAAAGTAATTTTCTCTCTTGAATTAGTTCAGAGATCCTGCTTTCCTGATATTTTCAGGCAAACTATTATATTACTATTCAACTTTTTCGAAAATAATTATTTGGTGGCGATGGGATAGTTAGCACATTTATAGAAGGTAGTGTCCAACGGCGTAATGAATTTAGACCTGAATTACTCAGGAACAAGCTCCTGAGGGACTCATAAATAACTGGGCCGTTTCGAGAGAATACAAAGAGTTTAAATTCTCTCGGCCGTTTTAGTATGTATCTATGTAGATAAGTATGTATACTTAATTGACCACTCCCCAGTGGGCTTTCAAGACCAATACGTATGATTGAATAAATATACGAATGAATGAATGGTTAAATAAACTGTTTGATAATCCCAACTGGCAGGGGGCAGACCAATTGGCTATCTACAAAGCGCAGCCAATGAGCAAGGTGGACTTGACCACCACATTACAAGTCTAGCGCCCTGACCAGACTGCTAACATTCAGCCACCCTGCCTCCAAAAGTATGAGACTCTAAATACTAAGATTCTTTGTCCAATTTCGACTTTGAATAGTTATGTATCAGGGTCATAGTCAGAAAAAGGAAGGGCTTGTGCTACCCTACTTTGTAGCTTTTTAAGTTTTATAGATAGCAAGTAGAGCAACAGCAATTATTCATTATGTTTTTCTGTTCTGAACTGATGTATCAGTTGGAGGTGTTACCAATAGTGTTTGTGGTAATTTTCCACTCCTTTGAGTAAGCACTGAAAACAAAAAGGTCTCGTCTTAGTTCAGTGAGACAGCATAAAATCATTATATTTCAGTTTTCTGAATTTCATATAGATCACAAAACGTTGTGAGTAGTAATTAAGACCAATCATTATTAATTTCCATAGTGACAGTATAATTGATTCAGAAAGTAATAATAAAAAAAATAATTGAACTTCTCTGATGATATAAAAACATCTGTTGAAGTGTGGTCTCCGGAATACATATCATGAGGTAAACAAAAAATAGGTGATATTTGAAGAGGGGATTACGGAATCACTGCTTAAGACAGGGAATGTCGACATTGTACACTTCTTCTGCGCTATTTGACTCCCTACTTGACACCTTCTAACTGTTGTAATCATTTTAGGTAGAATCTGATTGGCTAATCTTGTCGCGTGAAGCGCTTTTTTCCCCTTGTTATTCTGACCGCTAACTCTTACGCTGCTACTCCGTTTTAACCTGTATTGCGCCCCTGATTTGGCAAAATCTGAATAGACTGCTCTTTTTTTGAAAACTTGATTAATCACGAAGTACAGTTAAGTGAAAGCCTGGTGCCAACACGAATTTCGTCAATTTCTGTAAATGGATTATATTTGGCCGTTTGCTTCAGTCATTTCAGTCCAATGCAATCTGAGCTCTGTCTCTAAAAAAAGATTGGGCAATTTTTTCCCAAATAATGTAACCGCATTGGCGAAGTGTTTGAAAATCTGGTTTAGATTTGACTTGCGTAATGTGTTGGGTTCGCCAAATAAACGTTTTTCAGTCATTTACTTAATAATTAACTCTTACTTCCGTTAACACGAATTAACTTTTCTTTCTATTGGCCCAAATTTTCCCCGACGCGGGAGGTTGTGCTTCTCTACGGCTGCTAGGAGAAGAATAATACTTGCCCTATAACATCCGAGCTAATCCATCGTGGCGCGAAAAGGACTAGTTACCTGGGTCAGATATGTTAACAATTGACATCGGCTGTTCAGCACCTTTTGAGAGCCTTGCAACTGCCAGAACCTGAAGGCTCTTGCGAGGACTGAAATTATTTCCTGGGTTCTAAATCATTTTAGAGAAGCAAAGAGCCGCATTCTAATTTCGCTCAAAAAAACCTCATTAATTTTCACGTCCCATCAATAACGAATAAAATCGCAATGTTTATTCAGTATATGGTCTTGCATATGTTCAAAAAGATTCCATTGGTTTGGCTTCTTGAGTATTACGCTCCCTTTATGAAAACCAGAACTGAAAAAAAGTTTTATTATACAGTATTAAGTAAAAAAATGAAAGAAAAGGAAAAAAAATTGACTTCATTCTCAAAATTACAGGGTTTGTAATTTTAAAAGGTTCTATCGCATTCGAGCGGAAATTAAAATCAATGAAATTGAAAGCAATTCACGCTATGCTTTTAATAGAAATGTCAAAGAGCATCCGCATCATTCATCCAAATGAGGAGTGGTAATCAAACGCTAGATAACATTGAAGACAAGCAAATTACTTTTGCCATAACTACTCATACCAAAAAATGGTGTTCGTGGTAACATTCGGAACTCCAGCAGCGTTGAAAATGATTACTTACTAAGCTATTCTTCCAAGGCTCGGAATCAAACTGGTGCATCTGAAAAAAGTCATCTTTCATTCTAATTGTGCATATGTTAATATTGTTTGCCACGATTATAACTCATATTTTCGAATTCATACTAAGAGCATTAGAATGGTGAAGATTCTTGTAAACAGCCAAAGCCATCAACGACCCTGACTTATGAGAACGCGAGCCAGAAAGTTGAGATGATCAATTCCGAATTACATTGCAACCAGTGGATCGTTGTGCTCAGCGCTGAATCCTTGGCGATAGTCGTTCTCAACATTATCACCATTATTGTATTTGTGAAGCAGCGCCAGCTACAGAGGAAGAGTACATACTTGATCATCCATCTTGCTATAGTCGATCTCTTGGCTGGAGGTATCAGTGAGCCTCTGAGCGTTGAAAAGATTGGAAGCTCTTGTAGTCTGAGGGAGTACGACACAACAAATAATACTTGGCTGGTCAAAATGAAGAGAGCCTTAGAGTTTATCTTTCCTTCCTCCTCACTGCTCAATCTCGCTGTTATTTCATTGGAACGGGCACATGCAACATTCTTCCCGTTCAGACATCGTTTTATCAGTCCATGGGTATATGGAGTGGTAACTTCCTTAATTTGGTTTACACCTGTAGCAGTGGAAGGAGGACGCATATTTTTCAAACAATATTTAAACAGAAATCTGCCTGATTTAATTATTTATTATTTTTCTTTTGTTTTTAGTCTTCTTTTTGCTATCTGTGTTTCTTATTTTGCCATTTTTCTCAAAGTCCGATGCAGTCGTCATCCTCAACACCATGGTGCAGCCGGTCTGAGGGAAAGAAAACTGACTAGTACATTGTTTCTTGTCACCCTAGGATCTTGGGTAACGTTTCTGCCAAGTACGATTTGGTTCAGTTTCGACATATTCAAATACCCCTCCTCTATCAACCTTTCCCCTAAAGGAACTTTTCAAGTCGAAATGATAGCCCTTATGTTATTCTTCGCCAATTCGCTGCTAAATCCTTTGATCTACGCCATACGGATGCCAGAATTAAGGTCGGGTATTTTGCGAATAATATTTCGCAGGCCTCCACAGCGCTTGAACCAAGTGGATCTTTCACTACAAAATATTTAGTTTTCTTTCCGATTTAAAGGTCACTGGTGATTCGTCTCACAGGAAATCAACTTGACTTCGGGGCTTTGGCTTTGTTTGGAGAATTAACAGAAGAAGGTCGCTAATAATATTTCCCTGAGAATTAGACCATCCTTTCCGATTGTCACAGATACCGTCTGAACTCAGTCTGTTTTGGAGGTGACAGAAAGGTTGGTAAATATAGCGTTTTTTAGGACCACGTGTTTGCAGTGATAGCAACAAGCGACTGAAGTGTTTGAAAAACAGGCAGGGACCAAGGAAGGCGTCTATGGCCTCTTTTAGATCCGTAGTTTAACCTTTATGTTAATAAACACGTTTTTGTAGCCTCTTAGATTTCGAGTTTTCTCAGCTGTTCAATCAATTGATAATAAATGCCTCTGCATGGTGAGAAAACTTGGCGCGTGACAGAACATTCTTCAATGCTTCGCGGTGGTTTCCCAATTCACCTTGTTGAGCAAAAAAAACACGAAAAAGTTGAAAGTCAAAATAAAAATCATAATTTTTTGTTGGACAGGAGAGCACTCTTTATGTACCATTTGGACACAAAATTAAAATAAAACAAATACATAAAGACGGACGCACTTAGAAAATCTAGAAAGTTTATTAAGAAAGTGTACTGTTGAAAATTTTTTTTCTGCTACGCTACAAATTATCTTGATCCAAGCAGACATTATCAAATGAATTATTCGGATTATCACACAAGCAGCATGGTTCTCAAAAGCAGCATTAAAAAAAAACTCATGATATCAAAACCTAGCAAGGAAAAGCTTAAAATATAGCTCTTTTATTGCGGCTTAGTAAGCGGTAAAAAAAAAGAATGTATCTGGTCAGAAATGCGTCTACATTTTCCCTCGCTGAAGAATAAGTAAAAAAAATAATATCAAGCTATCTGCCAATATTTGAACTCATCACAGTGATAAAAATATTTTCTAGGAAGCAGTGATTTAAGAAATAGTAATCAATAGATCTTATATGTATGTACTGACTAAATGTTCCAAGACTTTTTGCAAAAGGTTTCTAACTAAGACAGCAATGTTCTTCTAGTCTCGTTTTCAGCATTTTTGACGTTTGCGTTCTTTGTTCAATATTTGTTTAGGTCTTCTTCAAGGTAAGGATCTTGATACAATGGGTTTGCCATGGACGTTGCTCCTTCCTTATCCGACTAGAAAGGAACGAGAGAGACACATTAGTAGTTTTCAAGGGGGAGAGGGGGGGGGGGAGGGGGAGGGCAACCTTTATAGTTCCGAGTCGGAAAAAGATGCTTTCTTAACCTTTTTAATCTTTGAAATTCTTAGCTTAGATGAAGGAACTCCTCTTTTCTGGGAACAAGCTGTAGCCAAGGGTGAAAAAAAAATCGCGTCCTATTACCAGTGAACCTGTCACCATCAGTAAAAGGACATCTCTATTCAGAAGACACTTTCTCCACTCAAAGAGGGTGTCTGCTGAAAGGAGGTTCCACTGTAGGTCGAAACAGATCGAACTGTAAACGTCTCACTCGAAGGCTAAATCGTAACGATAATTGTTGGGTGTGGGGATAAGCTTTTTCTATCCTTCTGAACTATTCCTGTACGTGTTTTTACTTTTAGATCAAATGATAATTAAATAGGGAAACCCGGTACTTTGAAAACATAGATGTCATTTTTCAGTACCGTCAGTCCATACTTGAGGAATGGAAGACATGTTTAACTAAAATACTCACCGCAATCCCAAACGCGTCATCTGAGGCAAACATGTTTGTATCCACGTCACTCATGTGAAACTGATATAAAGATCACAAAAGAAGACCGATAAGAAAACTTTTCAGTTGCACACATTGCAAATAATCGCCGTGATTTACGAACTTAGTGAATCTTCCCTCTGAAGTAAAAACAAACCCTGTAACCCTCTCCTTCCCACATCATGCTGCTGCCAGCTCAAAAAGTTTCAAGGAAGCCTGCAGGGTAAATCAGACACCTCCACCCTGGTGAAAATAAATGTGACCAAGAAGGCACCGAGGTGACACCACTTGCTTGCCACCCTAGTGGCTCAGTTTCGATTCCTAGACTTTGTGTCGAATGTGGGTTGCATTTTCTTTTATTTCGTTTTGCCTTTTTTTGAGTTACACAGTTTTCCTCCCTCAAAAAAACGAAAAAGAAAAAAAAATCCAGATTTCAATAAGACATTACATCAGCGCATAGGGAGCCAGCCAGTGGATTTTCCGATACCTAGACGTGCGTGGACTTATCCTCTTTAAAAGTCTCCATTAAGTAAAACATTTCTGTCACAAGAGTCACTTACGTCTTCCAGGGGTTGTCCTTCATTGAAAGAATCATACACAGGGTTTCCAACACCCTCAGCCATTTCGATTTCTCCTTTCTCCTTTTTGCCTTTCCTGTGAGAGACAGCCATTATAAATACGTCAAATTGGCAAAAGTTTAGGAGTTAAGAGCCAACTGCCTTATATCTATCAAAGCCTAGTCCACGGAATGGCCAGGAGTTTTATCACTTCCCCGAGATGGAATTTCTAGTTCATCGCAGGGTACCCTTTGTACAAATCTTTCTTCAAGTTTTCTTGACATGCGTACTCATTTAGCAACAGTAGGGCGATCAAGACTGACTTGAAGCAGTACAACGAGGGGAAAAAGGAGTTACTCTTGAAATGACATACCTTATTTGTGAGCCTTCCTTATTAGAGGGGTCATAAAACACCGAGAACAAGGTAAGTCTCTTCCTGTTAATCAAAGGAAAAATTGGTCGAAATTAATTGAAAACAAACAATTTGAACCAGAGATAACTGTAGCAACTTACAAACAACCTCAGTTGTGAAAGGAGAAAGTGAGCTGTCTCAACTCAAGTAGCTACACAAGTAAACAAACAAAGACGGAAAAAAAAAAAACAGCGACACTTTCTACGCTTTATTCTCGTTTTCCGTTTCCTGAGACAAAGTCTGAAAGAAGGCATGAAACACGAAAAAGACAACAACAAAAAGATTAATACTTACTTTTTACTCTTCATTATATAGTAGGCCACAACGAGGACGATAAGGATTAACACAATTCCAGCAGCGACACCGACGCCAATGTAAACTAAAAGACAGAGACGGTCTCAAGATCAATTTTTTTGGTCAGGTTATTGGAGCCTATCCCAACACATGAGAAGACTTATTTAAAGAGAGGATTGACACTGTGGCTGTTAAAAACATCAGCGAAGTTTCTAAACAACCATACCTCTCTGTGTAAGAAACTATAATTCAAATCACTCCAGTTTATACATAGGTAACCCCACATAAGAATTAACGTTGTTCTTACTAGATAACAATTTACTTACTTGACGATTTATTGCCCTTTTGTTTATCTGTCCTTGTTCCAGTCTTGGGCGGTGCTAAAAGTAATGAGGAAAATTTAGTGACTTGCATACAAAATAATTAATTTATATTCAATTCAAATACAACGCTACAATGTATATAAGCTTATATAAGCTTACACATGACACCTACACAAAGGGTCTCAAAGGGTTTAACTGTTTGCCGTAAACGGCCAAAAAAATTAGCCATTTGGGGTATAAATTAACAAATTTTAATCATTCGTCGTAAAAAAAAGTTAACAGTCTAGAAAAGAATTAGCCGTTAGCCGTAAAGCCATCGCCCCACTGAGACCCTCTACAAACGGTTTTGCATAGGAATGTGAAGAATTGAAGAAAGTTTTATAAAGCTCGTATAGAGCGAACTAAACCGTTTGCTTCTCTAAGTTCTCATCGCCGTCACTTGCTTACCTTTACAGTTGAATTTGATCTGATCTTCAGGGTAGTTACAAGTCTGGTTGCGAGAACAAATGACTGCTTTCTCAACGCATTTTCCAAGGCAAGGCTGAAGTGAAGGTATCTGATTTGTACAGTTGTTTGGAATCTGATTCTCACATTTTCGTCCGTTCCTATCAAATGGACATCTGTAGCACGAGAAGAAACATGGGTTAACGAGTAAAAAATAACACGTTAAGTTTATCGTATTCAATTAAAGCTAATTAATCATAACGACCAAGTGCTAAATTGCTGTAAATGAAAGTAAGGACCTTCTGTAGGGACAAAAAAAGTTGGCCACGCCAAGGAGGAAGCTTATGTAAGCCATGAAGTAGACACAGTTAACGGGCCTTCTGCTACACAAGATATATATAGCTTGTATGTATATTTGTACTATAAAGTCACACAAAATTAGTTTAGGAAATTCATCGGTGGGGGAGGAGGAATGCACACTTTCCACTTCTGAATATCGTAAAGCTCAAGAACATAATTGACTGATGACCATTCCTTGACAAACCAAAACAAAAGACTTGCTGCACACTTGACCATGCAATACGGGTCCGCATACTTACACACAGGCCATAAACCCTTTATCGTCCGCCTTACATTCTGCTCCTTCAGGGCAGAAAGACTTCTGGTCTTCACAGCCTTTAAAAGGAACAGAAAAAATTGTTAGTTTTGATGGCGAAATGCCGCAGTTTCTTTTTTTTTTTTTATTGCTACAATAACCTGGAAAATAGAAGTAATTTAGTACACCAAATTCACATCGAAACGAATCTGCTTGCTATCCTTTAATATATTCAAGGTTTCATACGGTAGATCAAAAGATTTCTGAACTACTAAACGGGTTTGTTTCTTTCGGCGAGCCGCTCATTTTAGTCGAGGAGGGGTCGGGTCGGTTTTTCAAAGGACACGATTGCACGATGGCTTTCCTGTTTCAAATAATAAAAAATTACCATCAAACTACCGCTTTAATGTGCTATGGACACCTACTTCCACATAAGTTGCGGATCTCTGATTTATTTTTCGGACACGATATGCTCTGGTCACAGATCTGATCTATCTTCACACATTTGCCATTTGTTCCACAATTCACCAAGCCATTTTTTTGATTGCAAGTGTCACATCGTTGGCCGACATAGTCAGAAGTGGTGCACCTGAAATAAAATTTACAAATTTAGCATCTCATTATAACATAGTGGATATATATCAAGCGCTTATCGCTGAGGCTGAGTTTGCTTAAACCCACAAAACCAATCCTGCCGGAGCTTAAAACGATTTCATTTTCATGAAGCGACCATCAGTCTGGCTACTCTCCTCACCCCCACCCCCTTAACGAGATTTTTCTAGTTTTACTTTCTGCTAACTATTTTCCATTTACTTTGATGGGAGGAGAGGGGCATGGTGAGAGGTTAGTGTCTTTCCTAAGAAAGCAACACAGTGATCCGTGTGGTGTTTCTACTCACACTAAGCGACACATAACACCAAGGGACAGCGTCTCTCAAATAACTTCCCAAGAAATGCTGAATAAGATGCAAACTCTCGGCAAGCTTTCCGAAAAAAGGAAGATGGCATGACGCTATTCATTTTCCGATGAGGCTGATTCATCACTTACTGAAAATACCGTTAAACGTTGATCATGACTACGTTAATGCAAACAAAAAAACACAAGCCTTACTCGCAAGTCGGATTTCCATCTACCATCTTGCAATTTCCATTTACACAGTAATGTGGTGTGCAAGCTGAAAAAAAAAATTTATATATATATATATCAGCACTGCGTGTAAAAATAAGATTCCATTTGTATCTGTCTTTTGAAAGCATCGGAGACAACTACAGAAGAACCCCCTCCGCCCCTCCCCCCCCCCCCAAAGAAAAAAATCAGTAAAATAAAATAAAAAGGAAATAAAACCAAGTAAAACAGAAAACCGAAATAAACCCCGTTCCACATGTGATCCCAAGTTTTACGCTGTATTAAGCCTCACCTTGGCAAAGCTTGACAAACTCAACGGGACTAAGGCCACACTGAACGCTTTTAGAACATATTTTTTCCTTGGTCGTGCAGAACCACTTGCCAATTTTGCACTGGATTTGATCTTTAGGACACTCACAACTGGTACAGTTCTGACATCTTGCACCGTTGTAATTGGCATCGCATCTTTCACAAAGAAGAAACACTAATTACTTTCGAAATAAATTAAGTTGAGTAACTGAGCACTATCAATTGGCTCACAATGCAACCACATGTGATAAAGATGGCCACGGTTCGGATGGCAACTCCAGCTTTAGATTGAATCAAAGCGACCAATGGGGCCCGAAGCTAACATTAAAACCACTGTGCTTCATCTGGCCATACCCTCGGTCATCGAATAACACAAACAAAACCAAACGAACAAACAAACAAACAAGAAAAGGGATTGTTGGGCGAAAACTGGCGGGAGTGACTGGAAGAAAAACACAGTTTATTTAACTCTATCCGAATTGCTGTCATACCATACTACGTAATGAAGATACTTACACACAATCCGGACGCCCAAAGTTGTCTAGTTGACACTGTCCATTGATACAATAGCTTTCGGTACATGCTGGAAACAAAGCAATTGAACGTTGTAAGTTTTAATTAACTATATAAAACACATTGTAAAATATCCTAAAATTCCGGGTTTAATTCGTAATCTGCAGACCTTGACATCAGAGAGCAGTCCTGTCTATAACACGCAATCTCTTCTTAAAAACAATAAATCAACGCAACATCAGACAAAACTTTTACGAAGAAGTTACTGAGGAAAATGATCTTATTTCCCTAAACTTCTTTTAACGAAATACATCACGAAAATTGTTTCACATAAAAGAGATAAATACCGAAATGTTTAAGGGGAGTAAATAATTAAAATGGAAAAAAAAGTAAATAAAGAAAAGAAAAAAACAGAATATAACAAAAGTTAGAAGGATTACAAAATGATAATCTTCAACAATTAAAATCACTTTGAGCGAGCAAACTTACCACAATGTGATTCATCACTTCCATCCGTACAATCAGACTTGCCGTTACATTGCAGAGTCTTGTTTAGGCATTTTCCATCAGCTGGGCAATAAATCTGGAAATGACCACAATTACGGTTGGCTGCAAAAACAAGTAAAGCAGACTTTAGAAATCGTCATAAAAACGTAACTAAATTCTACCAAAGAATTACGCCATCATTCCTTCAATTATTACTAATTATTGACCGAAGTGGAGGTAAACACACAATACTTTCGCCGAAACTGAAGCGAATAACTGTTTTAGTATATACCGTACGGAAACCAAAAATTAGTTCATTTCTGTCAATATACAGAAAAAAGTCGGAATTCAAAATCTTGACGTGTGATTTTGTCTCTACGTTTCGGAAGTGAATAGTACTTTCTGATCACTTCCAAACAGGCGAATCAGCGCGCGCGAAAGGCACTATTCACCTGTGTGGTATATGCCAAAATATTTCCTAGTTCAAAAGAAGGTCAAAGTGAGCAAGAGAAAAAAAAACAATTTAACAAACCAAAAAACAACCACAGAAATTAAAACTTGACAAAATATTACCACAGTTAGCTTCTGCTCCCTCGTCTGAGTGGTCTTTACAATCTGGGTATTGGTCACAAACGAAGGCCGACTTGATACATTCTCCACTCTTACATCGGAATTCGTCACGCTTACACTGACCTGGTGGCGCTGAAAATAATGGAATAAAAGCGGTGAGACTTTGCCAAACGGTATTTGTAAATAACAGTTGACGGTCTTGTTGTGAGATTTCAGGTTTGCTAGATATTAAGCCAGATTTAAAATGGAAATTGTGGTTCAAGTAACTATGGTCAGAAAGAGTTTCTCTTGGAAGCCCATTTTTTTCCTATCTACATGAATTTGAAAAGGGTATTGCAAATATCGCAAATATTTACGTCAAACAGCCTCACAATTTCTGTCACAGTTCCACTTCAAGCAATTGAAAAGGACTAAAAGTAGCAGAGTACGCGCATGCCCTGCCTATCGTCATGACTATACTGATAAGGTAGCGTTTTAAATGTGCAGGAGAAGTCAACGAAAGCGATTGTATGTAAAGAAATCATTGATATCCTTTTTAAGATTTATTTAAGAAAGTAGTCAAAGACGCTCAGTGGGTCCCATCAACGTAAGAGGCCCTACTTCAAGAAAGGGGCACAAGGTAGAAGTACCCCAAAACGTTTTTTAACGTACTTGTAGAGTATAGTCAGTGAAAAACAAAGAGAATGACAAGTGAGACAGTAGCAGGCTACATGGCTTGTTGTCAATTAATTTGAAGAAATCCTGCATAACCGCGTTTTTAGAATAAATCATGCAAAACATCTTTGGATTAGTGTAGACGGAGCTAAAACGATTCTATATAGTCATAACTGAATCACACTCACTATGTGTGCAGGATGAAAAGGTGATGTCATCAATCGCTATGTCACTAGCCGTGGTTGGACCACGCTCTGCCTCAAAACTGACGGTGAAAGCTGTCTTGTTCTTAATCAGTTCCGTGAAGTTGTGCACACCTCTATACCAGCCGTCACCCTGGTTTCCAGCCTTTTTCCAAACCTAAAAGGAGATATCATAGGAAGATAATGTTTATAATGGTCAGTAATATAACTTGCTTGTTTGTACACCATTATCAACAACAAAAACAACAACAACAACATCGTTAGAAAAGGAGCTGCCCTGTTTAACTTTATTTTCGCCGTAAGGCAAAAAGCAGTTAAAACGGGCAATGATGCAAGTGATGAACCCTCTACACACTAACATTAGTATGTATAATCTCCACACTGTTCTCTAAAGAAAATTGTGAATTACCTCGGTACGTTGTCCATCTTTGGGTTCAACAAACACACGCAACACACCCATGCCAGTGCCGTACATGTGGTAGAAGAAACTCATCCGGCAGTAAGACTCTGATACACTTGTGAAGGTGTAAGAGACCCTGGCTGTGTCTTTGGGCTGCGCTTGAGATGAATCCATGTAAAGATAGTACCCTACACGGAGCAACAAATAGAAACTTAGATGGGCCCCATGACAAATCAATCAAACCTAGGATTCCGTGCCTCGATGCTCTATCACTGAGCCACAGAGACAAACAAAAATAAGCGAGCTCTTCATTGAAGCCATAGAAGTACACTAAGCTTGCCATAGCTGAATAATAACTCAAATGGGCTAAACAAACACCGTCATATAGGGAGAGTAAACAAAAACTAAATTGCTTGCCAAGCATCCACTTTTTTCATTTTCCACGGGGATTGTAAGAGGGGGATGGGGAGGGGGGGGAAGGGAGGTGAGGTGGTGGGGCGGCTGGGAGAGGCCCGAAGACGACTAACGGCAATGGCTATGAATCAGAATCATCCTCTTGTTATTTATGATCCACCACCAAGGATTCTCCTCTTCATGCCCCTCTCGTTCTTCCCGCATATCAACCACTCCCATAGTAAAAGATTACCGCTCTCGCCAGCTTTCCTCAGCTCAGCGAATTCAAGATGGCGATCATAGGTTTAACGAAAGACAATTAAGCGATATGCTTTAACTTAAGGTTGCTAATTAAAAACATTCTGGAATCTGTAACCTTACCAGTCGCATCCTGTTTAGTGTGATCATAGCGTGGACCGGTGTTTCTGTTTCGTGTCTCTCCCTGGTTTCGTGTAAAACTTGCAGGGGCAGTTGAATCAACAATCCAATCACACATGCCTCTTTCGAAGTCACATGAACCTTTAGTTGGTGCATTCGTCGGGGGGTAGGTAGGAGTGGTACTGTCGTCTTTGCAGCACATGATGCCGCCTGCATTACTTACTGACATGAACGAACAACCCTCTAGATTGCCAGCAGCGGGCGTGTACATCGTCTGGCGTTTGAAAACACCTTATGAAGGAAATGAAAACAAGATTTTTAAGTCAAGCATTAGTTTGAAATGGACTGACATCCCGTCTTTGATGGTTTTTCACACTACCAAAAGCTCTATAAGCTCCGACAATAAAGCTTGACCTACCTGAGTCACAGGAGTCTGGACCTTTGCAACCAAAGCCGCAGCAAAGCGGTTCTGAGCACGAGTCGTGGTATTGACCACAACCATAATCTAATCCAGTTTTTACTCGCTTGCAGCCGTCGCCTCCTCCACTGTTGGTCTTACAGTGGTTAATACCGGCGCTGAAATGACCATAACCAGCTCTCTGGCAATCCACACCGTTCGTCTACACAATGAAGGGATCAGATTTTAGTAAAAACAAACTTCTGCAAACTTCTGGTTCAAATATAGTAGGAATTTCCTAGCTCTTTCATCGACTGCTCTTTGAAACTAAAACAAATGACTTAATCAAGGGCATATAACTACACTAGTTGTTCGCTTTTGAAACAAACAATTACAAAAGGATTGCCCTTGTGATCGCATCTTGATACTAGCCAGGACAAGTTAAGAACAGGTTCTATATCAAACGCATGCCCTGTGGAGTTACAATCACTAGTTAGAGAACGTCCATGAAGTGGCTCATATTCCCACAGGATTCTCACCTGTACCTTTAAATTTGCGCTGAGAAATTTTCATGCGGTTTCATAGTTGTGATTATCCTGTATTTTAACATGCATTGACGCTGTCATTTGAAGAAAAATCATTTATAGCTTTTCTGTTTAGAAAGGAGCAACTTAAGTCTTACTCGGTTGACAATTTCGAAAACGTCTCCAAAAGTTCCACAGACATGCCAACCATTTTCGCACAGGTCAGCAGGTTGGCCACACCAACGACCCCAACGCCCGATGTCATCTCCGCACGTGGCACCAACATAGGAAGGCTTGGCTCGGAGGTTTCTACGTCCCCACCAATAACCTTTGCAGCCGGCCACAGTCGGATGCTGAAAGAAACCTTCTCGTCCACCGTCAGAACAACCCGTTTTCAGGGCTTTGTCACCGTATCTCAAGGCCTGGTCGTCTGTGAAGGAACATTGACCCTGCAAAGAATTTCAGGTACTACTTTAAAGAAGGAGTTTGTAAGACAGTGATTCGGTGACGATTTCTCCATTCACTTCAGTATAGGCAGGAGTAAGTTTAATACTTTTTTTTAAGTATTTAAGGTCTCCGAGCGCTTAACTGGCGAAGCTTTGCGCCAGTCTAGGTATTTTTTCAAGTCGCCCACCGATAAAAATCACCCAAAGATTTCCAAAACAATGCGTCATGGAGAGCAGAAATAATGAAAGAATAATAATAATAATAATAATAATAATAATAATAATAATAATAATAATAACAACAACAGCATTAATAAATGAAAAATAATAAAACTAACAATGATAACTATAATAGGAATAATAATAATAATTATTTCTATTATAGTTATAATAATCATAATTAAAATAATAGCTATAATAATAATAACAATAACAACAACAACAACAATTATAATAACAATAACAATAATAATAATAATAATAATAATAATAATAATAATAATGTGCCATGCGTCTGTACTCTGAGAAATAAGCAACGTCCAATCCCAGGGTGGGTAGTAGTAGGTTTATTGTATAAATCTATGAGGAGCACCTTACCACGGTTACTATTAATAATAATTGCTATCATTATAATAATAATAATAATACAGCGTGATTGTACCTGAAATTTAATGTCGTCTATGGCAATGTCTCCTTGGTAACCATCTCCTCGTGTGGCAGTGATGTGAATTCGGAAGGCGTAATCACTCTTCACCGTTGCTTCAGCTTTGATCCAATTGTCAGCCTGGTGGCCAGTCATGTTCAATATTACCTTCATTTCATCTCCACTGTTCACGAAGATTGTAAGTGAGCCTGTGTCAGGGCCGGACATGTGGTAGTAAAACGTCATCTTGCAGTTTGAGGTAGGCATCATGTAAGGACCCTCCAAGATGGCAACAGCGCCCTTGACATACCAACTGGCCTCAATATGCATGTAATAACCTACAAGTAGACAAAACGCGTCACTGATTCAGAGAAATGTTCTTCTTTGCCTTTCATCCTTACAATACATAACAGTGAGGGTCCACAGTGCTTCATTATAAGAGCAGTTTAGAGTCAAGGACAAAAGTAAACAATTGACTCCCTACCGCTTGATGTTCCTGTGGTGTGATCAACCGCTGGACCGGTGTTCTTACTGGAAGTTTTGCCCTCTCTAAGATACCACGGCATATCGTTGACGGCTGTGTTGTTCCAGTGGCAAGTACCGTGCTCAAAATTACAGTCACCGGATAGCGGACCTATATGAAAATATATAAAATAATATTATTATCTGAACACCAATGAAATACCAAGTGAGCTTTAGCGGGAAAACATGATATCTTCACTCACAACGATAACATCTTATCTTCACACGCGAGAAGATTCTTGTTGCTAAGGTTACATCTAAAAATCGCGCCTTTCGATGTGATTTAGTATTTCATTGATGTTTGTATAATAAATAGAATAGTACACGGTCGCGGGGCGATATGAACTTTCTCTTCACGTGTGAGCAAAGCGAACGCGTGAAATATTTTTCAACACTCAAAGAGAAGTTTCGTATCTCCGCGCGACCTTGTAATATCCTCTTTGTAACCTCCTATAGGTTTGGATCACATGTGGCTTCAGCCTGATATGCGAGCTTGGCCTTTACGTAATACGCCATGTTATTTTTACATATTTTAAAGATGGGATTGGAAAGAGGGATGAGTCTATTTTTTCCCCCCAACCTTTTCTCCTTTCTGTATAGGACAAAACGCCGCAATATTGAGACAGACGAAACACTGGTTGTCCATCTGCCCTTCAATGTTTTAATTTCTTCAGAATGAAATAGGAGGCTTCGTGAAATACTTACCAAGCGTTGGTCGGGTGAACGGGTTATCATTACACTTTGGAAAGGTTTCTGTGCATGGTGTTGTCTCATCATTAAACTTGCAGTTGTGGAACTCTATGTCATCTATTGCTATGTCTCCATTGTAGTCCCATCCTCTGACCCCACTGATCACAATTCTAACTGTCTTATTGGCCGTCTCCGGATTGTAGATACTCACCATGCCATGTTGCCACTTGTTACCACGGTTACCCCAATCATACCACAAGTTGACCTGTTTGTGATCTATGGGAAGAAATGTTTTCAATTATTCTGTCATTCAAGAGATTCAAACCACCATTTAACGTTGTAGAGCATCTTTTAAAATGATAATCAAAACCTCAAATTAACCCTTCAACTCTCATAAGTGATTTAACAATAGGAAAACAATATCAAGCAGATAAGTAAAGTGATACGAATAGAGAAAATGTAAACTAGGGGATTAGAAGTCGACTCAATACCAAATTCTCCGAACGATCGTCAAAAGAATTGTATGAAGGACAGTGAGGAGAATTGCTAATGAAACCTGGGTGTATAAGAATTAATTACAAGAGACAAGTGAAAGACAAGCATCACTCTTTCCCATTCCTTTTGCGGCTCCCCAGCTCAAAACTCCTACTACGCAGGCCTTTAGTTTGTCCGAGCGTTTCCACTTTCACGAAGCGATACTCCTACCTTGTTTTAACGGGATGAAAGGAGTTTTAAAGTCTGACCTAACAAATAAGAGTGCTCCATATCAACTACAAAATCCCAGCCACATAGAGTTTGTCACTTACCAATCAAATTTTTAGGATCGGAAAACGCATAGGCGACAATCCACAGCGAGCCCACCCCAGAGCCATACATATGATACCAGAAAGACATGTAACACCTTCGGTCAACAACAAGCAGCCTGCTTTCCAAATCGGCATGGTACCAGCCCGATGACGAGACACTGGAGGCATCAATGTAAAGATAGCGCCCTAAAATGCTTTTTTTGGTGTGGTCGTAGGAAGGACCTGTATTCTGGCTAGCAGTTTCCCCACGTCCAACAATCCAATCCATCTGGTCGTGGCCATCATTCTCATTAACCCAACAGCTGACGCATTTCTCAAAATCGTCATCCATGATGGACGGTTTGGGTTTTGGTGTTGGAGCTGGAGTCGGCCCAAGATTTCCGCACTTGACGAACTGGATATTATCCACGGCGATGTCTGATTGATAGCCGTCGCCCCGTATAGCTTCAAAGACAACTGAAAATTGCACTTTACTCGGAATATTGGCATAATCGCAGCGCCATTTGTTGCCCTGGTCACCACTCTTCGACCAGATTTTCTTTTGGGTCATGTCAGGTTTGGCATCATTAGTAAAGCGCTGGTAAACATTTAGGGTTCCCATGTCTTTTCCATTCATATTGTAACAGAAGAAAACTTGGCACGTTGCAGATGGTAACAAATTTGGACCCAAAAGCTCTCCAAAGTGGCCCAAATAGTAGCCTGTGGCTTCAGCGTAAACGTAGTAACCTGTGATAACACACAACACAAATCAGCGACACATTTGTCCATTCGCTTTTAATTTAGTTTTCCTTCAGGAAATAAACACATTACACCTTGGTTTATTCGCTCCGCTTTTAGCAGCTTCAAAGCACGTTCTTGGCAAAGGCAAACAACGTTTTACTTGCAGAAACGAACACACTGAAATCACAATAATCATTCAAGGAGAATAAATGACTAAAAAAGGTTTGGACAAAGCACTTAATTTTCGCAAAAACAAAGATGCCTTCGTTACAGAAAGCAACAACAATTATGGATTTGCACTTGACTGAGCCAAGTTACATATGTGGTATAAATTTTGTTACCTGCGCCACTTTTATCAGCACTGGGGCCAGTGTTCCAGCTAGGTGTCTGGCCTTGGTTTCGCAGCCATCTCATATCAGCAAACTTTGCAGACTCCCACAAACAGTAGTCTTTATCGAAGTTGCAGTCTGCGGGATGAGATGATCCAGGTGGAGGGGTTGGTTGCGGTGAAGGTGGTGGACACTTGAGTTCATCTTCGCCATCAGTACAGTCCTGCTCTCCGTCACACTTCCAGTTAATATTGATGCACAGGTCGTCTGCACTGCAGTAAAACTGGTTACTGGTGCATTGTGCAGCACCTGTTGGTGCAGGCGGAATGCCTCCCTGAATAAAAAAATAGCACAAAACAGACTCAACGGGTGTATCTGCGCTTAAAAGATCAGTCAAGTTAAGCTCAGCTGTCGAAGAGAGATGTTTATTCATTTTTCCTTCAAGAAGAATCAAACCGCAGACTTCTATGACTGAGCTATATAAAGCTTACTCTTGAGCTTAGTTAACGAATCTGAGCATGTTAAGGAGCCTTCAGAATATATCCACGACTGAGATTTTCTAGAGGACTTATTTTTACCATAAAATTGCTTGGCGAATTTGGTCTTAAACCTGACAAATCTGGTAACTCCCATTAGTGATAAACATGTAATCTCTCCCTACAATACCCAAACATTCTCTAGCAAACAGGTAGTGAGATTACTCAAACCTATCACGTAGAACTCGTTTTCTTGATCTAGTACTAAGTTCTCGTATCTTATTAAAAAGATAATGTGTTGCAGCTATAGGGGAGAATTGATAATCAGACCTTGGGAGTTACGAGATCAAACAAAGCGAAAGCCAACGCAATATCTTGAAACTGCTGACTGCATGTATAACTAATGAATTATTTGAGAGAAAACAAGCAAACAAACAAACAAACAAACAAATAAATTGATATTAGAAGCTCTCCATTAAACATTTCTTTGAAGGAAGAAGCTCTTCCATAATTTAATACCTTAAAAACGTCTTTAACTACAACCCTATTCCCCTTTTACAGTTGTACGTTTTTTACGCAGTAGAAGAATACATACCTTGTAGCAGCCGGCAGAAAAGCTTATATCATCCAATGCAATATCAGTCTTGTCATCTCCGCCAACGATACCTTCAAAACCAACCCTAAACGACGAGTAGGAGTCTAGCTTGACCTCTGCACGCACCCAGTTTTGATTGGTAGGATCACCTAAGGAGCAAAAAAACGACCACGGTTTATGGTTTGTGTAAACTTGTGTACAAATTACAGGCCTTTTGTCAAACTTTTCAGCGATTGCAATAATGAAACATACTCGTTGCAGTTTGGAAAGTAATCTGGTACCTATCCAGGTCTTGAAACTAAGTTTGTTATTTTCCATACTACCCTTTTTTCAAGAATTGAAAACTGTACGGACTCTGAACAAGTTTCTCAATAAATCATTTTTTTATAAAGGGAGGATCGGGGAAGGCGCCGGCGGTGGGCCACAGGTTTAGATAAACAAAAACAGATACAATGGCATTCTAATTGGAAGACTAATTACCACGAAGCTAGCCTATAAGTCTCGTTTTCATCTTAATTTCAAGTTCATTACACACATCTCACCTCTCGTTTTCCAGACTTCCCTCCAGTTCGATAACCAATTAGTAAGCAAGTGGACCTTCAGATATCCCATGTTCTGTGATCCATACATGTTGTAGTAAAATCGTAGAGTACAAACTCCGCGGCCGGCCGGGAACAAATTACCATGTGCAAGTTTCGCTCTGTCTAAAAGCTGCCTTGGACTTGACGAGTCTATGTGCATGAACCAACCACTCCCAGTGGTGTGGTCTCCTTTTGGACCTTGGAGACAAGAACAAGAAAGATTATGACACATCTGGTTGGAGCTAGGATAATTTCCATCCTAATACTTCAAATTTCGACTATCGTTAAAATATGTTAAACGGAATTTAGACGAGAGAATTATTTTACTGTTTTAGTGCTTTGAGCTCTTTTAGCTCTCACGCAACTCCAAGTACAGGGATAATTTAGTTGGATCTGCAAAATATGGCGCTGTTTCAAACTAAAAAGCCATTAGGTTACAACGTCAAATTAGCCAAGTATCAACACACAAAGAAGCAGACATGCTAGGCCAAGATATCTCGCCAAGTAATCATAGGTTGAATTGAACCGACAGGAAGAATAGCTTATTACCAAGCCGTTGCACACAACACAATTTGTCACACGCGCATTAGAGCAATAGAGGAACTTATTTCCCTCGCGTTTCTTCTCACTATGTTCTACCCGAACGCGTGCTACGCATGCCAATGACAAAAGACCACATAAAGCTAGTGCCACGACGTTTTTATAACACTGGGGATGAACTAGCGTACGCCCAGACGAATTAAATTGAAGTGCTAACGCATTACGAAAGAAATCAAATATCACACCTGTTCCAGTCGTTCCGATCTGACTTTGACGATGCCAATTAAAGTCGTCACTCCAGTAGTTGAACCAGTTACACAAGTTGATTTCAAAGTCGCAACTGGCTTTTCGACTGGAACACTGACTTTCATCAGTACCATCCTTACAATTTTTGACATGATCGCAAACTCTTTGTTCTGTTACACAATGACCACTGTCTTTGCATTTCACCTTTGATGAAGTAAACATGAGAAATTTACGACGTAAGTTACCTCAGGGAATTTCAGAGGCATGTTACACGACTGAAAAGATGCAATGTTGCCGTTGGCTAAAAAGGAACACTTTAGAGGCGGGTAGGTGGGCAAGGAATAAGGAGATTGGGCGTTCTCAACGGTGCCTGTTTATCTTATATCAATTTTCCCTATACCTCAGCTTCAACATCCTGTTGTCTTTATCGGTTCATGTAAACCGAACACAATTTGTATCATCAAACAGAAACGCAGCGAAGCAGAGAGGGAAAAATAAAGAGAAAAAAGAACAGCTGGGTGATAAAAATGAAGTAGCTGTGTAAAAATTCATGTTAAGTCGATATCGACGCCTCTACAAGCGAACCTACCTGGTGTCCCTGTATCAAAAAGGATACGTGAAACGGTATAACTTGCAATTAATTATAAAAATTCAGCCCAAGGAAATCATAACGAAATATTAATCCCTTAATTATTTTGAAAACTAAAGACATCTTTTCAAATAAAATAACACAACCAAAGTAAACATACTTCATTCTGAGTGCAGTTCCTTGTGACATCAGAGAAGCAATTGCTGAAAGAGATGTCGTCGATGGCAATATCACCTTGCCAGCTTGATCCACGGGTGGCTTGAATAATGATCACAAAGTTCCTGTATGCACCAATATCTATGTCCGCTTTTTTCCAAGCATTTCCCTGTGGAGATCATAAAAAGTTTATTTACCACATGGTACCAAATTTATAAACACATTTCCGTAGTTAGGGCGTTAAGGCTCACTTTTGATATACAATGAGGTACCGGTACCGTGCGAAATGTATGAGGGCTCTTAGGACTCCGTGTTTGGAACCAGTTTTTTCTCTCTTTCCTGTAAGGAAATTCAATATTCTACACGAATATTGAATTTGAAACGGCCAGATTCGAAGGAACCCAGATTGGTCTAGACGAACCGATAGCATCAGAGCACTGAAGCTTATTTGCACATCTCTTGCCCTGTTAAAGGACAAATTGCTCATAAACTCGCTTTTCGACAACTGTTACAAGCTGTATAGAGAGGAAACTCAAGTATAAAACTGACTCAAGCTAGAGTCTCTTAAATGTCTGCTTAGTACTGCTTTCACCTTATAGGTCATTAAAAAGAAAACTTTTCATGATATAAATTTTAAAAAAAATGATTTACCTGATTTCCTCTCAATGTATACTTGTAATCATACGTTCCATCGGATTTCTTGACCTTGACCTCAAACACTCCAATGCCTGATCCATACATGTGATACCATATTGTCATCTTACAGTTGGGACTTGAAGCAAAATACCTGAACGATGTCAACTCTGCTTTGTCACCGAGATTCGCGCGTGATGTTTCAATATACATGTAGTAGCCCTGAAAAGATAAAAATTGTTAGATGTCATTATCCACCTGCTACTTAAAAAAAATGACAAACAAATAAACAAACAAACCAGCCGCTAGAATTACTTGTAAAACATTCTGGGTTGAGCGCAATAGCTGGCGGTCAGGATAACAAGGAAACACCAGTTGCTTTGTTACCACGCTCGCCGACTATCGCGCTGTTATACCATCGAATGTCATTGAATTGTCAATGTTCTTGACGAAAAGCTTCCCGTGAAGCTTCCGTCGCGTATTGCGAGAAAAACGTCAAGAATAATAGACACAATGGCCACCATAAGGAGCAATAAAATCAAATATTCGATCTCAGAAAATTTCATTCTATCGAAAAACTATTCACTTGGATTGTATTTTGTCCGCGAACAGATATTGGAGCAAATATCACGCCAGATGGAGCCCATTATGTGTTAACCTTCCTTTTCCCTTCGCACCGAGAAACAAACATTGATCTGCTTGCCACCGAAAAATAATGATATTTTGCTCAACCACGTTCAATAATCATCTACCACAGCAGAGAATCCAAAATATTTTAACTCTTATCGTTAATGTACCTGGGCCGTTCCCAGAGTGTGGTCATTGGTAGGGCCCGTTCCAACACTCGGTGTCTGTCCATTCTTCCGCCTCCAGTTAAAGTTGTCAGTACCGGTAGATTGTCTCCAGCCCCTCCAGCAATCATCCTCAAATGTGCAATCCGAGCCGCAGGGGATTTCATCGGAGTTGTCTCCACAGTCATTTTTGAAGTTACATATCTGAGCCTTGTCCACACATTTGAGGTTCTTACAGACATACTGCTGGGCACCGCAAGAGGTCCCAGTGGGCCGCGAGTGGAAACCAAATGGAGTCGGTGTTGGCTGACCTGAAGAAAAAAAGAAAAGAAAATGATTAATGAAAACTATGTAAAAAGCCTTGGATCACTCTAACATTCGATGAAATAATCATGTATTGTGGGAGCCGATAACGACATCGGAAAATCTAGGTGGACAGCATGCAGTGCTCGGAAAGGAAACCTAGAAGCGACACTTATTCTTGAACCATGTGGGCACCTAGTTAAACTCATAATCAAATCAAACATAGCAGTTCGGCAAACTACCATGTGATGAAACTTACTTGCAATGATCAATAAGACGACAAATGGTTAACAAAGATGTAAATCGTCCAAACCATTAGATCTTACTTTCTGCGCGAAAACTCCATAATTTTTGGTTTTTTTGTCGCATCCTCCTTTCTACCTGATAACCTTTATTTCTTTTTACCGTAATTAAAACAAACAAACGACAGTATGCGAAAACACAAAGTTGCCATTCTGGTGACGCGTTACATCCCTGTCTAAGAATCGGGTTTCACTAAGGTACCTTTATAGTAACCAAAAGTAATCTTTCAGTTTTTTAGGCAATCAAAAAGCACTGAATAAAAAGGCTACAAGGAAAATAAACCGACTAGCGAAGAGTAAAATGCCTGCTATTTTACCTGGCATGGTGCAATCCTTGCATATCTGACAACCAGGCGTGAGGGAAACGTCATCAATCGCAATATCACCCTGGTATCCATTGCCTCTCACTCCTTCTATGACGAACTGGTAATCATTCTGACTGTAAGGTGCTTGAACCAATCCGCGGTACCAGAAGTCACCCTGTGGTCCTGTAATGTTCAATATAGGATTGGAAAGACCTCCTACGTAGTAGCTTGTGCGTGTTCTTACGAGAAGGCTGCCAATATGACTACCCTTCATATGGTAGTAGAATCGGAGGTAACAGTTGGATGAAGTGCTCCTTAAGATGGGTGAGTTCAAACGGGCATTGTCTCCGGGTCTGCGAGGCCATGAAGTCTCGATGTACATGTACCGACCTGAAATGGATACCAAGCAAAATAATTCATAATTGAGATTCTGTACATTTGTTCACAGTTGTGCATGACTACAAGGAAGTTTCCTTCTTCTTATACTGAGGAACGTTTTTTACTAAGAGTCTCTTAGTTAGTCTGCAAATTATCGGAAAGCTCTAAACCGATCAGAAACACATTGAAAACTAATCGCGGCTTTAAAACTCTCCTTATCTAGCTTTAAGCAGTCAGGCAGTTTAAGAGCTCAGAGTTTTCTGAGTTATTCTCTGGTGTCTTGATTGAAAGTTATCATTTCATCTTCAGCTTCACGACACTGAATTATTTTTTTTCCGTGAACAACTTCGTGCTATCAATAAAAACACAAGTTAGAACTCTTGCTACAGAAAAAGCTTCTAAAGCAAACGTCTTTCAGTCCTGTCACACTACTTTATCCCTGTCACGCAACCCACTTTATCTCTAAAGAACTATTGATATGTCTGTTGAAGAGCGAGCAGCGAAACGAGACCAAACAAGGGGCGCATCGAGGTAGCTCCGACATTCGCTCTGATGAAGGGCTAACGTTCGAAACTTCAACTTAAGAAACCCCTTTCAGAGGCCAATTTTAAATATAAACTCGTTTGTTTATATATATATATATATAATTTTTTATTTTTAGCTCCAACACATACCTTTGTTTGTCTGAGTTGTATGGTCAGATGAAGGGCCGGTACCATAGGAGAATGTACCATCAGTGGATGTAGTCCAGTCAAATTTGTCATCAGAACTCTGTGAGTACAGACATAGACCATGTTCAAAATCACATTGTCCAGACTTGTAAGCAGAACAGGTGGCCTCATCTGATACATCCCCAGCCATACAGTCAGCACTGAAGTCACATAGTGATGTCTTCGGGATGCAGCCTCCTTGTGCACACCTAAAAAGGGAACACAAAGAGATGGCATTAACTTTCTTTTGAATTTTCAATATCCGCTTGCAACATTATGTTGGATGTTTCGATTAAATCCTGTCTTTCATCACAATTAAGCAAAATTCTGCTTAAGAAACGGAAAACTAATTCCTACGCTGTCTTTTGATCTTAAAAATACCCATATCTAATTGCTACTTTTCCATCTGATAATTCAAAAAAGGAAAATCTGGTCTCGCACAAGATAAATTTATAATATGTCCATTTGTTCCCTGTTAACTACTTGATGTGGTCGTAAAAATGATACCAGGATTTAAGGGATAGGCCGGGATAGGGCAGGGAAGCTTGGCTACTTCACACATAATCTAATATGTTCAGAACATCACTAATTCTGGATCTCACAACTATTCAAATACTCTTAATTTTGAGTGATTTAGGAAGCAGGCGAGTACAAATAATCATGTCATTTAAAAAGCTACGGAGCATTTTACACTCACTGGAATTCATCCACGGTACACTTCTTTGTGGTGTCCAGCGGCTGGCATTTCATGAATTCTATATCATCCAAAGCGATATCTCCCTGGTAACCGAAGCCCCGCTTTGCTTCAAAGATGACCTAAAAGCCACAAAAGGTCGGAAATTAAAGCTAGTCCCATGGAAGAGTTATTTTGTGGTTAAAGTAGAAAGTGAGAAGTTGCACGAGAGGAAATAAATTAAATATAAGTCATGTTTCTTAAAAGAATCAACCAATATTGTCTAAACAGGGCGAGCTTCTTTCGAGTGTCCACAATTATCTGAGATTACGGTGGTTTTGCGCTACTTTAATTTCTGATTGGTCTAAACGCTCGCGCCACTCAACCAATTAGATTCAATGCTGAAACCAACCGCAACTTGATCAATCGCATTTTTCTGCGCGTCAAGCAGTTTGCTTGTTTATATTTTGAATTTTCATGGACTCTTTGAGAGACTTTCCTTCCCTCTAAGTGATTACTTTGGTTTTTGCACTCGAACCCTTTCATACCTAAGAGTGACTAGCATCTAATTTCTCCTTACAATATCACCCCTGAATTATAAATTTAAGTCACAAGAATAAAGCAAATGATCACCCACAAAAAAGCTCTTGACGGTTAAAAAAATTCTCCTTTTCTACATCTTAGGAATACTACAGAGATCAGTAAGGAGAAAATGTATATTCATGTTAGGGTGTAAAGGGTTAAAGCATTAAGGCCTTTAGCAAATATGAAAGAAAATGTTATTGAAAAGGAGAGATCTTGGGGTTTTCACAGAAACCTTAACAAGACAAGAGCCTCTCTTACGAGAATATGGAATCATATGGGGATGTAAAAGAAACATCAGGAAGAAATGCTTTAATACATTACGCATCCACCAGATACCTTCAATAGTTGTCTTGATCCGATCACCAAGCGGCTTTGTAGCCAAGAGTTGCCCTGGTCACCAGACTTGGTCCAGATAACAGGTTGTGTTCCATCTAAGAAGGACAGCTTGACTGACAGAGTTCCTACCGATCGTCCATACATGTGGTACCAGAACGACAGAACACATTGCGGTCCAGTTTGACCGATCCGGGTTGTGGAGAGTAGTGCCCTATCACCATTAGAACCTCCAGAGCTCTCTGCGTAAATATACCATCCTGCTGTAGTACCTGTCAGAAACAAAGAAAACGCATCTTAAACATCTTTTCAAGAAGGAAAAACATCCTTCCCTATTTCATTAGCGAGCTTAAAGTTTACCATCTTTCGTATTCTATTAACATACGTAGAGTTTTGACAATGCTGTTCCTAACGTATGCACGAAGAGTGTCACATGTGAATCTTGTAATGGCCTAGTTCACCGTGTAGTCTGTGTCTAAGTGGCTGAGTATCTGAGCGAGGAATCCTAAGGTCTGAGGTTTGAGACCTCGTGGAAATTCATAAGATGTTCTTTCTTCCACATTCGTGACAAACCATTCTCTTGAACGTGTCCCTTATTCGACCACAAAATATCTATCCTTTTAGTTTGTCCTCGAACGAGACGCGCCAATAACACTAACCTTCGCAGAATGCAGGACGCTCGTCGCATATAAAACGAGTATTGCAGCTCAAACGGTACAGTATCGGCCCCGAAATAACTTCGATAATCAGTGTAAAAGATGTCAGTCAAATTATATGCGAATGTCCGAAACTTAAGTACCCAGTAAAAGAACACACCAGCACCAGCTTGATCACAGGAAGCCTAGCCGATACTAACGATATCAAGACTTGAAAAGCTTCTTACCTGTCGTGTGGTCTATTGTGGGTCCCGTAAGGGCCGTGCCTGTAGCACCCTGCTGAGCTAGCCAGGTGTAGGCCACATCACGCCGTTTCCGTGTAGGGTTATCCACATACCAATTACATAAGTCCCCACTGTCAAAAGTACAGCGAGTCTTTGCACAGTTGCCTTCGTCTGATCCATCCTGACAGTCGTTTTGGAAGTCGCAGACCTGAGGAGCAAGCGTTGCCATAAATTCGAAACTTATCAGTGAAGATCGAACAAAACTACCGTAAGTCCAAAATAAGGAAAAAAATTACTTTTTGTTCGCTTCCCCTTTGCTCAAAAGAGGAGCGAAGGAGTAGGAGATAGGGATAGGAGTGTTAAAGATTGCAGCTTTGAAACCTTCAAAACTCTGTCTAAATATTAACAATAATTTATCACGCAAGTAATCAACACAATCCCCAATACTCCTATAAGAAAAGCCTAAAATAGCGTCAAGTAGAGGCACAATGTTTAACAACAATTACCTGCGTGCTTCGGATGCAAGCAGCAGGCCCCTGTTTCGCGCAATTGAACTCTGCGCTGCTACACTGATGTGACTGAGTGGGTCCTCCTGAAGGAGTCGGTGTGGGCGATGGGGCATCGGGAAGATCTCCACCATATGGCTTGCAGTCAGTTGTGAAGGAAACATCATCCAAACCAATGTCACCAGTGTAGCTATCGCCTCGCATACCCTCAAATATCACCTGAAAAAAATAAATGCAGTCTTGTTAAACAGGCACAGTGGATTGAGAGGTTCGTTTTACTCATGGTTCATGACGACGTAAAGTTTTAGTATAGAGCTGACCCAGAATTAGATTTAATCGGATTTTGAGCCACCCAGATCTGACGAGAGGGCTCCACTATGCCTACATCACAAAAGCCCTTTCCCCACCGCCCAAACTTCCAGTAAAGAGGCCACTGGGAGAACTACACGTCGACACTTTTGTTTGTAGGCAAGCAATACAAATGATATGTAACAAAATCTAAATTTTGATTGCGCGTGATTTCCCGCTAACAATCACCCACCGCATCTACCGCAAGTGACTGCCTTTGAGGTTCGCTCACCCGTCGGCTATTGCATCATTCACGGGGACTATTCATGCTTCACACGGCTTAAACCGAGCGTCATCATAACCCATAACCCGTAAAAAATTAGAAAAAAAGGTCAAAAGCAAAAACTACCAACATGGGAAATTCAAATCTCAAAGCAATATTGAGAGAAGAACTGAAAAGGAGTAAAAATTTTAATTTTTTTCCCTCCAAAGATCTAAAAATAAACTCTCCTAAGTGTCTACCATATATTATCTAATGATTTCAGCTCCGAGAATTTTGTGTGGGAACGATCGATATCGCACAGTTAATTTTATCCTTTCTTATCGTCATTTTACTACTAAAAAAGATTTTGAAGAAAAATTCATTTTGGTCACTCCTGGAAGTGGAGAGATAAATATGGATAAGTGGAGTAAAGCCATACTTGGAAGTTCTTGTCTGAAGCCAGGGTCACGACAGCTCTGTTCCACACAGCTCCTTGTGAACCAACTTTGCTCCACACGTTCTGCATATTGGTTCCATTTCGAGTAGTCCTGATGTACAAGGAAAACTTCTCAGCCGAGTCCCCATACATATGGTAGAAGAACCGGAGCTTGCAGGGATTTGAGCCGGGAATGAGTGCTTGGAAGTTTCGGCTTACCATCCAGGCCTTGTCGCCATACTTTCGAGGCCAAGAAGTTTCGATGTACATGTAATAGCCAGTCTGTGTGGTGTGATCTGAAGGTGGGCCAGTATTCCAAGAAGCTGTGGCACCTGTCACATCAAAATAATGTGGTTGTTAGTCGCAGTCGAAGACAACGACTACTTCGTTATGCAATCAAAATACTGCCCGCTTTACTAAAATATGTGGATGATCATGATTACTTGATGCTTTGTGGTGAGTTTAAGGTAAATTTCAAATGCAAAATTTTCTTATTCCACATCTTCCTGAAAAGACCAAAACAAGATCCTCCGCGAAATATCAAGAAGAAGCACGAGTGAAACATCAAGAGATCCAAAAGCAACTGTTGCGAATGTCCTGCGTAAGTTCGCGCATAAAAAGGCCCTGTACGAGTTATTTTGTTTGACCCCATCTTAATAAGACCATTACTACATTAATCATCAGCTATTCACCTCGTCTTCGTAACCAATCAAAGTCGTCCTCAGTACTTTGGGTCCAGTCGCAAGGTCCCTGACTGAAGTCGCACCGTGTTGTGTAAGTACCTGTCAAAAGTAGACTGAGGTTAGGGCCAGATATACTGAAGAAAATATGAGAATCAACAGAAAAAAGATGACGGGCTAACTGGCAATGTTAAGTTTCTTGCAAAGTAACCTATTGAAAGAAAAAAATAGTATAAAGAAAATTCCAAACGCTACGAACTAAGAAGGCACTTCTGGTCAGCGGTTAATTTCTCAAGTGTAGGCTCATGTGCAATACTGCAATTAGAAAGCAGTGGTAGATGTTCTAAACAAGGGCATCGTGAACAACATGACATTACCACAAGCTTTTTCGTCTGAATTGTCACCACAGTCGTCATTGTAATCACAGACATAGTCCTGCTTGACACAGGATTTCCGTGTACAGGCGAATTCGGAACAGCTGCTGGTCACCGGAGGAAGTGCACAGTCAACAAACTGGATGTCATCAAGAGCGATGTCTCCCGAGAAACTTCTGCCTCGGGTCGCTAAAAATAGCCAAAATGAAAATATGACGCTTATGAGATACAACTAGGAATGGGAAAATTAACCACACGTTGGATTGCTAGTAAATTTCAAGGGCGACATGACTGATTCTCAAATCGAAAAAAAATGCGTGGTAATAAAGTTGCTGCAGTTTAAGAAGGATGGGAGGTTCCTGTTTGTAGTTTTTTAGCCTTTTCAATAATCGTTGAAAAACCTCTTTGGTGCTTGTCCTCACTTCATCAAAAAAGATTATAGATACGAGCATTGCCTTGGCTAAAATGCATCTGTTTCGTTGAAAGAAAGACAATACCTTTAAAATTACAAGAAAAAATAAATCGGTGTACTTTAAACGTTTTCGACAGTCACTAGCCTCCTGCATGTAAGACGATCATATGACGAGCGTAAAGGTTAATTTAGTATTGTGGGAAGCAAAATGCTGTTTTCCCTACACACACACGCCGTTCCCCTTAAGAGAAAATTACTTGACAAGTGGAGAAACGCTCAACTGGAACACAAAAACCCTCTATCTCCACTTCCCGTCTTTTTTAAAGAAAGGTTACGTCTCACACCTTCAAAGAGAATTTGGAAAGCCTGCATCTGCTTCCCAATTCCCACAGTTCCCTGCAGCCATTGGTTGCCTTTGTTACCATACTTCCTCCACCAAAGAGTTAATTTGTTGCTGATATTGAGGTAAACATTCAAAGAGCCAATGGACGAACCATACATGTGGTACCAGAATGTCATCTTACAGTTAGAGTGAGCCTAGTAAGGAAAACAAACAAGAACTTTAGGATGATTCTACTCCTGAGCCGCTCTTTAACATAAATCTTCAGTATGATATACTATAGAAAGTAAACGCACGATCAAATTGTAACATGTGCTGGAAATTTCGATACAATATCTGGTTAACAGATGATGAGGAAAGACAATTTGATCAGCTCATGGTGGTATCTCTGAAGACACACTTCTTCTAAACTTGGCTTAATAACAAGGAAATGTGCGTAGGCTAGATGGGAAAGCTGCAAATTAGATCTTGAGAGTTGAAAGTGGTTAAAATATTCTCTTGTCGCCAGAACACGAAATTACAAGTTACCACTAGCCGACATTCATTGGTCTTCGTTTTGAGACCCAATATCATACCTTCTTGAAAACAGGACTGAGCATTCTTGCACGGTCACGAACGGTACCATACGAAGTCTCGATGTACATGTAATATCCTTGATTTGTTCCCGTCGTGTGGTCAACGGAAGGACCGGTACCAAAGCTTGGAGTTCGGCCTTGCTTGCGCTTCCAGTCAAAGTTGTCTTTATCTGTGTTTACCCAGCCACACTGGTTGCTTTCAAAAGTACATTTGGTCGCTGCAATAACCAACAATATTATTTTTTACAAAAACCATTCATTACATAACCAGAGAACAAGGTAAGAAATGATAGATCCCAAGTTTATGTCATTTAAAACCACAGTGCCCGTCCACAGAAAATGACTTTAAAATAAGAAATGACTCTGATTAATATTAATTATACAACTTAATAATAGTTTGAATTATTCGAAAAAAGAGTATTACGAGTCCATCTGAGAATCTAAGACAGCAAGGAAATTAGAGGCAGCATTTCCTCAAGATAACTGTAAACATCAACCACGCTTTGAATCTGGATGTACAAAGTTTATTTGTCGTCAATCTAATAGCAGACTTCATATGAAAACGGACGAGTCACTGTTGTTGTACAGAAGGACAAATACCCTCGGTATTATGGATTAGAATTGAGCCGATCCCGGTGACTTTTCAAAATGAACGGTAAATCACCAGCTAACATTGTATTTCATCGAAGTGTGATTAATGATTGCCAAGAGTGCAAATTCAAATGTGCTGTAGCTCTGAGGAAACTTCATCGCATGTTTTTACTATTAATAGCTAAAAAATAGGGAAGAAGGGGAAATATTATATCACTTACGGCAATTTCTTTCATCGGAGCCATCAGCACAATCCTTGTTAAAGTCGCAGACCTGACCAAGCTGAAGACATTTGCCATCACTAACGCAGGCGAACTGATTACTCTGACAGTTGTTAGGATATGCTGTGGTGACTGGACTCACAGTTGAACCAACAGCAGGCAGTGACCCGCCGTACAACTGACAGCTAGGCTTCATGGCAATGCTAAGATCATCAATGGCTATGTCTCCCCTGTAGCCATTCCCTCTCACAGCTTAATACAAAAAAATCAATATAATGGTCAATTAGAGGGCTCTTCTACATGAACCACAGCAGAACTAATCCACGTCTTATTAGAGACTGCAGTTTGACGTCACGTGAGGTACTGAAGCGTTCCAAGAGGATACACTTTCAAAGTGAGCTTAAAAACAAGAGTCGGGCCCTTACAATTAATCAGAATTTGCCGGCTAGACTGATCAGTTGTTGAAGAGCTATAAGTTACAAAAGAGAACTGTCTTGTAAAATTGATCAGTGACTATATTCCATTATTTTGACGGAATATTTAATAAAACGTGAGAAAACTCTCGCTTTCTAGGGAAACGCCTGATTCATAAGAAAGAGCCTAATTGGAGAGAATTGCCTAATCTTCATGGTTTAATACCCTCTATCACAAAACAGAACAAAATGACACAATCAAAATCACTCAACTGCACCAACCTTCAACGACAATTTGATATGGTTGATTGCCGTTACTCATTTTCAGCTCAGTTCTTATCCAGTTATCTCCTACATTGCCAGACAAATTACCAACTCTTTGGAGTGGTCCATCAGACGTATTGCGCATGTAGACTACAAGATCGTTGACGTGCACACCATACATGTGATACCACATGCGCAGAGTACACTGCCCTTTCAAATTGGGGCTGCCAAGTTTGGCGCGGTCTCCAAATTTCTTTCCTGATGTCTCGATGTACATGTAGTAACCTGAAAGAAAATTTCAAACTTAATATTAAGAAAATAAAAACAACTTTTAAATTTTCTTTAAACATTTTCCAGTCAGTTTTTCCTTTACATACAGGTCAACTAATTTTGATGACGTTTCTTCCACTTTAATTTCTATGTAAGCAATGCATGGAATTAGGGCTGATGGAATCAGTTTTGACCAAGATCAGTTTACACTCTAACCTGCCAAAGTTCCAAAAGTATGATCTCGCGCGGGACCAGTAGAGAGAGATGGAGTTGGTCCTTTCCTTCTACTCCAGTCGAATTCATCATCAGATTGTTGTATCCAAGAACACGTATCCTTTTCGAAGTCGCAGCGTGCCAAGTAGTTACTGCACGAAGTTTCATCGGAATTGTCCCCGCAATCGTCGGAGAAGTCACAGAGGAGATTCTTCTTAACACAAGCACCGTTTGTGCACCTTTGGTAAACAGTGAAAGGCGATTAAATGTACAAACACATTCTCTATATCAAGAATCATGTAGCATTAAAACCTTCGTAAACTTTCAATCTCGCGGATTTTTTAATCGTTATCTGTTTTTGCATAAACGTCAAGTAAAAATATTTTTTTCCTGGCAATGAGGCAAAAATCATTTTGACCCTAAAAGCTGTATAGTTGTTAAGAAAAACAAAAATTTAGCTACTCTCGACAAAACCATCATTATTTTATGTGGTCTCTATCATTTAACATTTCTGAAAAAGTGCTGGAACACTTTTCGTCAATGAGATGCAAACAAATCATTCTTTTGTCTCATCACTATACCTCACCTCTGAGTATCTGACGGAAGAGAACCTTTACATTGAGTTGGCTTATCACAGCTTAGCAACGAAATGGAATCAATAGCAATGTCCCCATCCCAAGAAACTCCACGCATTGCCTCGAATTCAATTGTGAATGGGGTCTTACGACGTCCGATAGATACGACCGTTTGAAACCACTGGTTCCCTTGGTTGCCTATCGGGAAATAATACACGAAGTTTTGAGTGCACCGAAAAATGATAAAATTCATTAGTAGGAAAATAATAGTTGCAAACGGATCCCGCCATACTATTATTTATTCGATCTATTGACTCCGAGAAGTGGTTAAAATACAACTTTTATCGCAATCATATGCACTACGGAAACCAGGGGATGAGAAGAAACATAAGTTGCCTTTAAAGAATTGTTGAAAATTTAAAACCATAGTAACTGCAACAGCCAATCAAAACAAACATTACATCAACATAAGCCAATGAGAATTTGGAGTAAAAAACCAGGCAAACTTCTCAAAACTTCTTCAAATTTCTCCGTACCATATTATCCCTGAATCAAACATTGAGGTCAGGAGAATAAGCTGATCACCGACTAAAGAAGCTCTTGATTGTTACACAAATTCTCCATGTCGGCATATTAGGAAATAATTAGAAGAACATTTGAAGAATATGCATTCTGATTTTAGGGTGTGAAGGGATAAGCAATCGCTAAATACGTCAGTACAAGGGTGGAGAGGGTTATAACTGTCATAAACAAGTTATTTAGAGTACAAACCAATGAGCATCATCATTCTTGTCCTGGAGGTGCCATCGTTGAGGAATACAGCCAGGCTACCGACAGTGCTTCCATACATGTGGTACGAGAATTTCAGTTTACAGTTACTGTAGGCCTGCTGGTACTGGGGACTAACAAGCACAGCCTTCGATCCAACTATACCCGTTGATGTTTCAATGTATAAGTAGTAACCTGTTAATAAATAGAGGGAAAAAAAAGGAAACAATATATATATATATATATAGAAAATCCCCTGATGAGTGAGCAATCGCGAAACAGGCTTGTAGGGATGAAAGCATAGTCTCTCTGTTTTTTCCCCTATCGCAACATATATCGCGCTCTACTTCTACGTATCGAGCACTGTAAAACGGAAAAATCAATACAAAGACTTCCTATATATATATTCTTGTTTTTTTTTTGTTTTTTGTTTTCTGTGAGGAGCAAAGACCATGTACCATGTGTCATTGGCCTAAGAATCATAAGAATTATTGAACTGACCAGAAGGATTCTTGTCGGCGTCAGTACATGGACCAGTACTGATACTTGCAGTACAACCTCGATGTCGCGTCCAATCAAAGTTGTCCAAATTGGAGTTAATCCAGTTGCACATATCCTTTGTGAAATCACAAGGAGAGCCACAGTACTTATCTTTGGCACATTTGAAGACTGGCGCCGAGGTTGGAGTAGGTGACGGTGTTGGTAAACCTAAAACGTCCAAATCCGTTAATGGTCTAAGTCAGGTTAACCCTTAAACCTTCAAGAATGACTAGCATCTAATTTCTCCAAACAATATCACTCCCTGAATCAAACAATAACGTCACGAGAAACCGACAATGATCACCAATTGAAGAAGCTGTTGATTGTTAAACAAATTCTCCCTGTCAGAAACAAAGGAAATGTATACGGACGGGTATGGAGAATATAGATACTGCATTTTTTCCCTTTTTTTTTTTTCATCACGGTCTCGTTTTAGATTAATTCATCAAGGGCGTGAAGTTGAAAATGCTGTAAGTCTCCATAATAATACTGGGTTTACAAAACACGATACTACAGAGAATTGCAGGACGAGCAAATAGTCACCTGGGATTGAGCCACCAACAACGCACTGAGGTGTGAATGTTATGTCGTCTATGGCGATGTCTCCTCTATAGGATGTGCCAACCACAGCTTCAAATATAACCTGTTGAAAACCGTAAGAAGGTTAAGTGTCTGCCGAATTAATTAAATAGAAACACTAAGCAAATGGGGCGATTCGATCGCAAGCAGGAATATTGAAAAAAGTGATGATGTTACATCAAGTTTAATAAAAATAAAAATAAAGAAAATTAGAGAAAAAGTTGAGACTACCCCACATCGCCAAAGTTCATGTAACTTTCCGTAACATGGAAGAATTAGAAGCACAGGAACTTTTAATGGATGGAACGTCAGCCTATCATATATTACAAAGGCATTTCAGAAAGTTTGGTGTTACTTATGTCGACTTCTGACTGTACAGAATCAAAGTGACGCGTGTTGGTGAAGGAAAACATTATAGAGACTTCTGACGTGCCTTGCAACCTCAAACCCAGCTCTTCAACATCGACCCAAACAACGCAGCTCAGTATCTGCAATATTTACAAAACATTCTTCACCTGGAAGTTTTGGTTCACATTTATGGTAGCATTTCCTCTAATCCACTGGTCACCTTGGTCTCCACTTAGTGTCCAGACTCTATTCATTGCACCAGTGGTACTCGTTCTTGTATAAATGTTAAGTGTTCCGATATGGCTGCCATACATATGGTAGAAGAACCTTACTAAGCATGCGCTTGATGTTGGCTTAAATACAGCGCTCCCGATCATGGCATTGTCACCCTTCTTGCGCGGCGAGGATGCTTCAATGTACATGTAATAGCCTGCCAAAACATAGGATATATTATGTGTTACTTTTGTGAACATGGCAAACACCTTATCAAGTTAAAGATTTGTACAAAGTGTCTCTGTCCTACTAGCATTTTCGTCTTTGCCTAAGTTCCCTGGTGTTCTTTAATGCTGTCTATTTTGTTTTGTTACCATAGCACATGACCCGCATCAACACCATTTTTTTTACGTAAAGCTTCTCAGAAGTCTTTTTATAGGAACCGACCCTGGCCTCAGACAGTTACGATCTTCTAGTTAGTTCCAAAGATAACACCGCTAGAGTCAAGACAACTGCGAAATTTCTTTTCACTATAGGGGACACATTTTGCATGTCACAACGTCATTTTTTTTATGCGGCCCATGTGAGGTACATTTTCAGGTACACGCTGCCGTGCAGGTAGCAACTATGCGAATTATGCTTATAGTTACTTCGGAGACTAAACATTTTCTTGCACCGTTTCCGTTGTGACATGACATACCAAGAGGAGACTTTGTAGTATGATCATAAGTTGGCCCAGTTCCGTACGAGCCTGTTCGACCCGACTGCCTCCTCCAGTTAAACGTATCGTTTGCAAGCTGCATGTAGTCACAGAGGCCTCCTTCAAAGTTACATCTGTTTTACAAAAAAAATAGTGAATCAGAAAAACACTTTTATATGGGCTGTAACTGTCAAAATTAGCCTTCCATGAGACTCCTACAGCTCAGAGTAAAGCATTCGAAATACTAATCGGAAGGTCGCAGGTCCGAACACTTTTCCTCCGAGTAGGTCTTTGTCATTCACCGAATAACAACAATTATCACTTAAATAACCAGGCTTAAAAGTTACAATTTTTAGTTACATAATCATCGCGCAGAAGCATCACATATCGACATCCATATCCTAGCAGTATGCAAAAAGTCCGTGACCATGGATCTCGTAAAGGGAGGTCATTTTAAGATCTTAAAGCTCACAACTCTAATTGACGATAATATATGTCTTCAATGACTTGTCCAGAGTTCTACGTTGCCCTCTCCCCTATAAATCTCAGGTTAAAAACAACAACATCACTTTACCTGTTGTAGTTCACACAGGTCGAATTTTTCTCCTCAGAGCTATCGCAACAGTCCGGTTCAAAATCGCACTTGACTGACTGATCAATGCAGTGTCCACTATCGCACCGGAATGCATTGCTGCCTCTACAGCTGCTGGGTGGAAGGGGCTGAGCGCAGTTCTCAAAACTGATATCATCCAGGGCTATATCACCAAGACTGCCGCCTGAGTAGTGTTTGGCCATAAAAACCATCTGCAAAGGGAAATGGAAAAGTTTGTTAAAAGTAGCCAGTTGTTCCATGAAAAGATACCGTTTTACACCGGCTCAAGAGACGGAACTTACAACTCAACACGCCGCGAAAATTTTATCCTTATAAGATACGTATCCACATAGAAAGGAAGCCAACCCTCTCCACCCAGGAGAACTCCATACTCGTGGGTGGTGGTGAGAGGCAATATATGATTAACTTGTGCAAGAGCACAGCACCACGATCTGGCAAGACGAGACACTAAGACTCACCTGGAAGTCATTTGCACATCTTGGAACATCCACGCTACCCTGCTTCCATTGATTGTTCTGGTTGCCATAGATACTAAACAGCCGTTGATCACGTGAATTCCTACGATAATAGACCTGCAGATATCCGATGTTTGGACCAAACATATGATACCAGAACTTGAACTTACAAGTTTTACCAGCCTGTCTAAAGAACGGACTGACCAAATGTGCATCAGCACGGAAGCCTGTGCGGTTGGTGACTTCGGTGTAGATATAGTAGCCTGAAGCACAATTTACAGCAAGTAAACCATATGAAAGCTAAATACTGAGACGGAAAATTGCGACATAAGGAAGGAGTCACACCCGTCGGTTGCACTTCGCCTTACTTAAAAAATTTGCTCCGCTCTATTCAATTAATAAACCTGACCTGCTGATGTGTTGAGAGTGTGATCCGCCGAGGGTCCCGTGAGTTTAGAGGGCGTTGGACCCTTGTTACGAATCCAGTCATAATGATCTCCAGCCTGAGCGTTCGTCCATTTACAGAAGTCTTTCTGGAAGTCACATTTCGTTGGGCAGCTGACTTCATCTGACTTATCACGACAGTCTGCGCGGAAATTACAGACTTTTCTGCTACTTATGCATTGTCCATTCGAGCATCTGAAGGAAAATTGACATTTTGGGGATTGTTTAGCAGTGAAAATGACTAGAAAAAGTAGTTTAACAACAATGTCCGACTGTGTAAGAATTTGGATGGCTAAGGCACCCATCTCGCTTTGACGCGGGGCAGCAGTTTAATTAGAAGCCAAAAAGAAAAAAAGAAAAACAAGCAACATCACCTTCAGAGCATGACTCTCAAACTTCACTTCATTTTTCTCATTTTTCTCATTTTTCATTCATTTTTCTTCATTTTTCAAAGCTTCAGTCCTCCACATACCTGAATTGCCCAACGTCACAGCCGGTAGGTGGTGTTCCAGTGGGAGGGTCTGGTGAAATTGTCGCGGTGGTATCTGGGCGACAGTTTGGCGTGAATGAGATGTCATCCAGAGCGATGTCCCCTTGATAACCTGGACCGCTTGTTCCTTCAATCACCACTTGGAAATTCACTGCACTTACTAAAAGGATCTCGGCTCGCCTCCAGATGTCACCTTGTTCACCTACAAGGGAACGAACGGGAGTTAAGAAGTTTTGAGCTAATTAAAGAGCAAACCTACACTCTATAAACCCTCAATCACTAGTGTGTTTATGGCCTTCATTGTGCTATATAACAAATCGATGTTTCCCAGGGCTCCGGCTCGGGAGTTACTGAGGTTCTCGGGAAACCAAATGAACTGTTTCTCGAAGAAACAGTCGTTGAATATTTAATACTAACGCAGAGGCGATCGTAATGCAAAGTTCTAGGCTCAGTCTCGCATGTGACACTTGCGTTTGAAAAGCATGTGAAAAATGATATTCCCTCCACATAGTAGTTTCCCATGCTTTTTAACTTGCTCTTGAAGCCTACAAGTGAAAAATTTAGATTCAAGCATGCGATTTGCGACTACAAAGTCGAGCCCCCTACAGAGAACCAAGAAAAAAATCCTAACCAGCGTCTCTTTACCTGTCAAGTTCCAGATTCCCTTCAACGGTCCTGTCACCGATGTTCTAAAATTGATGTTAAGGGAATCCACGTCTTGTCCAAACATGTGGTACCAGAAGCGCAGGTAACAACTGTCATTCGGCCCAGAGGGCCTGAACACCACACTGCTTAATCGAGCTGTCTCATTAGCTTTCCTTGGGGATGATGTCTCTATGTACACATAGAAACCCTTTGTCGTGCCTAAATGATATTCGCAGAAATAGGTTAAAAAAAATCAAATCGACGTTAACCCCTTGCAGCTAAGAGCGTGTTTGCGACAAGGACCTCCAGTAAGTGGCACGCGTCATAGCGGTTTCATTGCTTTTTCAACTTGGTTATATTGGACTTCTCTTCCTCCACCCACCCCTACCAAACTTAAATACAGTTTTGAGTTTTCTTTGACTTACGGTGTTGTTAGAAAGCTGAAATCTATTAGAAAGAAGATGGATCACGCACGCTTAGTACAGCTAAGTTGCCATACCTGTGGTATGATCTCTGCCAGGGCCTGTCAGCCATGACGCCGTTCCACCACTTTGTCTCGTCCAGTCAAAGATGTCGTCAGTGTCTTGGGTCCAGCTACAGAGGTCTCTTTCAAAGTTGCATCTTTCCTTGTATGTTGCGCAAGTTGAGGGTAGTTCATCGCTCTCATCACCACAATCATCAGAGAAATCACAGATCTTTTAAAATCAAAAATTGGTCTTAGTAACTCCACTTTCACTTAATGGGCAGTTGACATGCACGAGATAGTTTTTAAAGGTGGCCAAAGATACTGATTTTGTCACCCACAGAAACACTGATCATACTACGGGTTTCAATTTCAGTAACTGGATTTCTTTGCCTCCATGGTGAATATTTCGACAAAAGAGCAAATTCAATGTTAACTGGCCTTGTTAATAATGACGGAAACAAAGAATTCGATATCTTAACGGGTTTCTTCATCTGACATTGCGGGATCAAAATCTTTCAACTCCACTCTATTCAAGATTTTTCATTACACCGACGTAGGTGTGAGTCCCATCCAACACACCTCAATCTTCCGACGGAATAGGCCAGTACAAAATGACAAGAACTTCACTTTTATACTTTGTCAATTGTTCATATTATTGCTATTGTCTATGCTGCCACAAGAAGATAGTCAAAATCTGTCTCTGAGTAGTCAAGAGTTAGACTACTTAAAATACTGTTCTCAATAAAATCCAAACACATTTACACCGCCTAACACCTTGAAAAGATTGAAGTACAACACCTGATTAGGCTTGACACATGATCCTCTGGTACAGCGGTATTCCCCAGAAATGCAAGCTCTAATAGGTGCCAAGGCACAGCCTGGGAATGTGATGTCATCAACAGCCATGTCAGCCGCCTGTATAAACTTGGATGCTGTAAACTGGAGGCTGAAATCTACGATACAAGTATAAAAATAAAATTGTCATGACAAAAGGCACAGCTGCGAAGTTTTTCTTCTATTTTTTCCATAGGATATTAATTTCTCACTCAGTTCCCACTATCCCCACCCTCCCTCCCCCCCCCCATCACTCGCTGTGGGGGGGCGCCTGGTACGCCATTTTGTCAACCCTAGATCACTGGGCCTCGAGAATGGAAAAAAAACAGGGCAGACCTCGTTTTCGAGACGCTACTTCTTGGGACAAAAAGGTCAAAACAAGCTAGAGCCCTTCCACTTATGATATATTTTCAAAGTAATAACATCTGTCGCTTATCTTCACAACATTGGTTGCACAGAAGACAAGAAAGATGTTATGTCGAATGAAATTGGCTTTCATATTTGAACAATTGCTTAGGTAACTTTGACAAGAACCCTGCCTATGGTGCGAGAGTGAAACGCTAATGACCTTTATCCAAATGACCCAATCCAACTTCTGCCATTTGCCACTTGTCACCCTTGCTACTGGATACTTCAAAGATGTTAGAGGTGGATCCCTTGTAGCTAAGCTTTAAGTACAGCGATCCAGTCCAGGCACTGCCGCTCTTGAGGTACATGTGATAGTAAAACCTCACTATACAACCTGCTCCTGTCTTGGTCATGTTAGGACTTTGAAGAATAGCATCATCGAAGAATGACCCCGCACCGGAGTGGACATAGGCGTAGTAACCTAAAATGTGAACAAATTGTGAGATTGGCAGGCCAAATTAATGCCTTTGCAACTCTCCAGTAGCATTATGCTAGAAGATTGTCACAAGATCCTTGCTACGATGAGTCTCCATGACTCTAAAGAACCAATCGATACCCATAGATCGAGATCCTGTTCGAATTATCCACGTTTCTTCGTTTCTCCTTCCGAGTAAACGTTTTCATTTTTGTCTTGACACAAGCGTGGGACAAAGAAAAAATTCTGAGCCCCACGAAGGTCAAAGCCTCTGACCTTCAGCGCTCTACCTTCCAGTTAGAAAGAAAGAACTCTAAGGTAAGATAAGCGACATGCGTCCTGTATACTGTTATGCCTTAGAAGAGAGGAGGGAAAAATGAAATAACAGGCATGCCTGAGAGACTTATTGCTAGCTTAGATGGGTTCAAGAAGTAACTGTAGCTAACTGTAAAAGGTAACTCACACGAAGCATTTCCGCAGGTGTGGTCAATGCTGGGTCCTGTGCCCGTTGCCACGGTTGAACCTTTGTTTCTGCTCCACTGGTACACCCCCAGACTGGTATCTTTCCAATTACACAAGCCAGATTCAAAATCACAAGGACCTTCAAAAAAGCAACAGATCATTAGCACACGTATTTAGGACAAATTTCAAATACAACCACTATGGAAGGTTAAGTCACGAAAATGAGGAACAGTTTTGAAAGCGCTGATTGAACTTAATACATACCACAGTTAACTTCATCTGAGCCATCTCCGCAGTCATCCCTATAGTCACACACATATCCCCAGTCGATACAAGGTCCATTGGAACACTTGAATCTAAAGCCTGGGCATACTGGGACAGTTGGGGCTGCTGTGGTTGGCGGAGGCGCTGTTGGAATTGGTCCATTATAGGAGCGACAGAACTGGGTCATTGACAGGTCATCAATGGAAATGTCACCTTGATAGCCTGTACCGCGGACACTTTCAATAACAACCTGGAAGCAACAAGCATGTTTTTAATGCTTGCACTTAAGTGCTCCGTGGGCATTTTAGTTACCTTCCTCCCAAAAAATGAAATTAATTCAGTGCAAAACAAACAAATGTATAGGAAACGCTCTTACAGCTAGTAATGAAATAGCCAAGACAATACTTATACCAATGGAAAATGGTAAAGGCTATTAGACTGTGGCAGTGACAGCGGCAAAATTAAATGAACTTACAAAAGTGTGCGGGAAAAGAAACGACATTTGACCCAAATTTCAAGTGTTCCATTGAACGTTTAAAGCACTTAATAAGCAGTAACAAATTTTACACTTTGACTCAAACAAAGCCGGGTCAACGTGTATTAGAGATAGCCTGCTTTTCATGTTTAACCCAAAATAACGTGCAGAAAATACAGCCTACCGTCTATAAAGAATCTTGCGTAAATTTTTTTCAGCTTTTAATGCTAATATCAGTCAACAAAGAATCAATTTTCATACTTGGAATGGGACAGTGCTCGGAAGGGAAACCTCGGCGCGATCCCAGAAGTTGCCCACATTGCCTGATCTCGTGTACACAAGAGTCTCTGCACAACCGTTACACGGCCGGGTGTAGATATTCAGGGAACCAATGGCGGGTCCGAACATGTGGAAATAGAACCTCAACTTGCAAGAGGTGTCACCTTGGGGCAAAGCGCTTATAAAACCACTTGCCAAACGAGCTTTGTCGCCTTTTTTACGTGGCCAAGAAGCTTCCGAGTAAAGGTAAGATCCTGGACAACAAAACAAAGTGAAAGGAAGCGGCGTTAATTCTAATTCTTATCGAGGACAATGCTTGGACATCATTTGTCGTTGATAATCTACATAAAGCTAAATTGGGATGACTTAAAAGCCGTACATTTGAGAGGAAATGAAGGGAGAAATTGGCCCATTAAACTCAAAAGTAAACTCGCGTATATCAAATTTGTGTGCACGGCATTTTGAAGATTGAAGATGTAGTTACAATTTGCATCTATTACGAAGGAGGTTTAAGACCTTAGGGTATTACATTTCAACGCTTGAAATGAACAAAATTTAGTCAATAACTTAGACAGACACTTTCTAAAAGACCCTAATCAGCTTTGGACGCGTGGCAAATGGTGGAGGAATCTTCTAATTTGGTAAACGGGTCAACAGGAACCTTTATAACTTTGCTCAAGACTAAATCAATCTCACGACTTAACAAAACAAATTGCATTGGGAGAAACACAAGTTTTTTTTCAGCAGCTTTCTCCATTAACAATATTTGAGAGCAGCTCATCCCCATCTTCTATCTGAACATTGTGATGAAGCCACATTACCGGCTGAGCTGCCAAGAGTGTGGTCGAACATAGGTCCCGTTCCGTAAGAACCTGTAGACCCTTGGTTTCTCGTCCAGTCAAAGTCATCATCAGACAGTTGATTCCACCGGCATAAAGATTGCTCAAAGGTACACCTATGGAGAAAAAAAAAGCACAATTTAGTTCTGCAACTACTTTCAAAATCTCCTTGAAAGTTTAAGAAAGCTAAGCTTAAATGTTAATTGTTTATGGCGAGAAATTCAGTGCAATCTCCATTCTAAAAGGCAAGTTGCCTCTGCCGTCTAATGTCGCTACCAACCCTCCAGACGCTCTTTGCCTATCGACCAGAATTTAATTTAGGAGGACAGTATAAAAAGAACGGGGGAAAAATTCAGTACGTTCCTTAATTTGCGGCACTTTTCGACGAATACTAGGCTAAGAAAAACTTCAGGAGGTGTTTCTTTGGCCAAATTTAGACGCAATTTAGAAGCATCTATTTTTCCAACAATGATAAAATTACGAGGAAAAAGTTGATAGATGCAAAACGAATTTTCATATTCAGCAATCTACAATTTTCTACTAGTCGAAGTTTTGATTTAGAGACTCGAGGGTCTGTTCGCATCTATTAAGCAAAATCATTGTACCATCTGTTTACCAAATCACCGAAAGTTTAGCTTCGAATTGACAAGTGACCTCGACACCATACCTATAGTTGTAACTGTAACAGTTGACTTCATCTGAGTTATCACCACAGTCGTCAGTATAATCACAGAGACGCCCTGGATCAATGCAGGAACCTCTGGCACATCGATGTTGACCTCTCTTACAATTGCTAACAACAGGAGGCAGGGTACAATTCTCGAAGCTAACATCATCTATAGCTATATCACCAAAAACACTGTAGCTCCTCTCTGCCTCAAAAATGACCTTGAACGGTCCTGAGTGACGGCCAACGTACAGTTTTCCTTGGATCCACTTGTTACCTTGGGACCGAACAGAATCTTAGTTAGCCAACACTTGCACAGTTGTCGCAAAAGTTACGATTAACCTCTCTTCTTTACAAGAACTTAAACAAGATGCAATAATAACAGAAATTTATGTTGGAGGTCTTATGACAGTTTTTACTCAAACAACAAATCTTTCGATGCGACACATTGCGGGTTCCCCTTTCGGATGGTAAGGTTCACCACCTTCCCATGACACTTTGTTTCCACATCAACAAAATAATGTATGAAGGATGTTATTTCTTCTTTTGTTCACCATTTCAAAACAAAATAAACTGGATTATAAGAATTGTTGTCTTCATGAGATTATTTTGTAAAGTAATAGTCAACAACCAAAATTCAGAAGTCTAGCATCCATTTCCTGGCCTGTGACATGAAATCACTTGCTTATTTGTTAAATTGTAAGAAAGTACAATCATCGCTTCAAAGAGTCTTTCTTTTCAACAGTACAATTTTGCGGCAGCATGCTACACAAATGAATCAGAGCAAAACGTGTTTTACATTCCATACCTTTGTTACCCCATTCTTCAAACAATCTCGTGTAAATCTGTCCAACTTTAATATAACCATACAATGTACCGATTCCATTGCCATACATGTGGTACCAAAAGCTAACCACGCAAGTTGATGCAGACTGTTGCAACCAAGTGCTTTCAAAACGCGCCAGATCCCACGAATTACCGTGCGAAGCCTCTACATACATATAGTGACCGAGTGCAGTGCCTTGGGGAAGTGGAGGGAGAGAAAAAAATTCTTTAATGACAGCTCGAAACTTACCATTTTTCTTCAGTTATCTCTTCGCACAAACACACACACACAGAATTTTTTACCCTCTTGATGGCTGCAGCAGGCAGGATGCTTTTCACGTATGAACCTATCATAAGGCGTTCGGCTCACTACCGAATTTTGGGCAGAGCATGGGACCACGAAATACATAATAAGGTCTCAGGATCGAGTCTTCGTTAAAAGCTTACATTTCTCCCTTGTCTAGCATTCTGTTCGACTCATATTCAACGGTTGGGAAGCGACCATTTCCGCGCCGTTTTCGGGGTTATAACTAATAGTTTTTAACTCTTTCATAATTTCTCCTTACAACATCAATATCAATCCAGCAGATAAGTTATGAGAAAAAGAAAAAATATCAATTAGGGAAATACTAGTTGATCCAATACCAGATTGTCCCAACAACTATCAAAAGAATTTTATGCGAGACAAAGGCGATTAATAAAATCTTGGGGGTGAAAGAGTTAATTTTGGTATGAAAAATAGGATGATTTAGACCATTGCATTTTCTCTTCCAGTCAGAGACTAAGAAACCCAAATCATTTCCACAACAATCCGTCATTCACGTTGCATACGCTCGCATTATATTAGCAAGGAAGCAAATATTTTCACCACAGGTTTAGCGGTTTGAATTTTTGTCAAACATTAATGGAAGGCTATCAATTTTGTTTGGAACTTTGTACGGTGACAGCACCATCCATCAAAAGAACAGAGCAACACAATCCAGCGATCAAGTTCCCTCTGCTTTACGTCCATATAAAAGTACACGTTTCGTTACGCAAGAGATTTTGGACTACCTATCGTGTGATCCACACTTGGTCCAGTGTTTTTGGATGGTGTGCCGCCCTGATCTCTTTTCCAGTCGAATGCGCCTTTACTGGTGTCATTCCAGCCACATTGTCCTAATTTTTAAAACAAGAGCTAGTGAATTGAGGGACAACAGAAGCAATAGTACACAAATTCACACTTCAACGCTTTTATAAACCTCACGAGCTTTTGAAAAACTCATTGAGAGCCGCATTGCAAGTCACTGTTTTTCTTCTTAGTTCTCGAACAGCCTTATTACCCTTACAGTTTAAATTTTCGTTGAGACACATACAATATTTAAAACGCAAACAACTACAAGTGTACTCGTATGCGATGACTAAAATACTATCTAGCACAAGAGAATAATAATACGCTGCGGTATGCAGAGCATCTATATATCATTATCATGTTGCTTTGAGTTTTATTTGTGAGTTTTGTTTGGAAAGGATAGAGGCTTACAACAAAAAATGAAGGGAAAGGGCTTTATTACAACAATGACACTTAAGACAGTGGAAGGAGCCAATAAATCAAACATTTCTTGCCTGTTTCAAATGTACAGTCCCCACAGTTCTGCTCGTCAGTATTATCACCCACTCCACAGTCATTGATAAAGTCGCACACATTGGTTGAACTGACGCATTTGCCAGACTTGCACTTCACAGCGCATGCGTTGGGTGTGGGAGTAGGAGTTGGACCTTAAAACACAAGAGGAAAACAATCTTTTTCAATTTCCTTTTCAGTGTAAACAAAAAGCAAACCTCTTTTGTATCATACTTCAACCATTGAAAGCTCCCTTAGTTAATTTGTTTGAATACATTTTCAAGCCAAACTTACTTCTTTATTTCAATGCCTACAACAGAAAGAAAGAAAAAATGTCCGGTGCGCTAGTCCACGACCTGAGCACAACGTGCATAACCAGACATATCTTAAAACGAATAGAACCATTCTTATTCCCCAGCCCAACTTAGATGGTTGTTTTATAAATCGAATATCGCAACAGAATATTGATATAATATCACTGTGCAATGAGGCACTTAGATAAAGCAACAATCTATGACAAATGAGCGTTCCTTTCTGTTCTAACAAGAGGGCGTTGTGTAATGCCAATAGTTCATCGTCATCATTTATCAGCCACTTCAGAGGTAATATTTTTATAAATTCAACAGTATGGTATGGAGAGGAGACCTCCAAGAAAGCACTAGGTTGATAGGCTTGTAGACTTATACTTACTTGGACAGTACCCCTTTGTCACGTCAATATCATCAATGGCAATATCAGCGTCGTAGGAGGCACCAACTGAAGCTTCAAATACAACCTGCAAAAGAGCAAGAAACAGAGGGTCACCTCATCGTGGATTCAAAAATACGATTTAACTGAACAAAACATTTTACCAAATATTACAGCACTTCACAAATTACACAAAAACAAACAAACAAAACACATAAAAACTTCTTAATCAAGGTTAACTTATAAGTAACGTTAAAATTCCTGATGCAGGGCCATTACCCTAACCAGACAAGTTAATACAGCGAACTCTGATTTAAAAAAAGATTGCTAAGAATTCCTTTCAAATTATTGTTACGTTAAAGTAATAAAAAGAGGGGATTGCAATTTAGAAAATGAGTCGTCATCCTTTAGCATGGACCCCTCAGACAAAGTGTTCCCAAACCAATTTTCAGAGAGATTAATGTCTCAGCATACCTCAAAGTCATCGGCACTGTTAAGCTGTAATTGTTGAAACAACCAACTATCCCCGTGGTTGTACTGATCAGTCCATTTAGTGTTGTAGTAGGGCTTACTGGGGTTAAATGGATACATTTTCAGCTTCACTTTAAGAGCCCCGACACTGTTACCATACATGTGGTACCAGAACTTCAAGCACCAGTTATGGCCGTCCGCGATTTTAAATCGATCTGAGACGAGCCTGGCGGTCTCTCCTTTCACTCGTGGTGAAGACGTTTCGATGTACATGTAGTGACCTAAATAGAATAAGAGAGATGTGAAGTTTTGAGCTCGGTAAATAAATAAAAATGATGTTTTTCGTCTTGTTACGAGCGTGGGGCAAAGAAAAAATTCTGAGTCCCCATGAGAAATCGAACCTCAGACCCTCGGATTCCATTCAGAAGGATTCCAGAGCATCTGGGCGCGGAATCCGTAGGTTTGAGGTTCGATTCCTCGTGGGAACTCAGAATATTTTTTGTTATTTGCCCCACGCTCGTGACAAGACGAAAAACATCTTTCTCTATGTAGCGACCTGTTTGTACGGACCAAATTAAAATGTAATTCGTATATCGAACTTTTTCTTTCATGAGGCTCTTCCTTTCTACCAAGCTAAGAATACTTTGCAGGGTTTTTTATGCCATGTAACAAGTGTTGCGCGACATCTGACTATTCGCGTAGTGGACCTTATGGGACGAATGAGAAACGCAAGAAGATAGAAGACCTGATAGATAGGGAAAATTTCAAAAAGGAAAAAAAAATGATACGCTAGTACGCCTTATTAGTAAGATTGGACTTCAGCATTGTCATTTGCTTATTTTCTTAATCATAAATGACAACCCAGCTGCACGACTGGTTTAAAAAAACAACAACAACAACAACAACAACAAAGAAAATCAAAAAGCACACAAAAAAACAATAAACAAGGCTTAAAGATTTCTTATACCAGTCTCAAACTTATTGCATCAAAAGAGGGCTTACAACTTATCGTCTTTTATATACTTTATCGCCCTTATTTGTAAAACAACTAAATTACCATTAACAGAATTAGTTGTGTGATCAACAGATGGTCCAGTTCCAATGCTTCCAGTGTGGCCGGAGTTTCTCTCCCAATCAAAAACGTCATCCACCAAGTCATTCTGATACGCGCATAAACCTTTTTCGAAATCACACGAACCGGGTGGTGGGCAGGGGCCACTTTTGACATTGGTGTCGTCAATAGCAATGTCTCCTCGATAACCACGCCCTCTGATGCCTTCGAACACAGCCTAAGAAAACAAAGAAAATATGAATAACTTGACTGAAACACTTTCAGTTTAATGCTAATTTTAAGAGCGAACTTAAGAACCTCATTACGGAGAAATTTCTATTCATCAAAAATAGTGCCATGAGTGAATAAAGAGAGTCTATAGAGTCAATAACAGAGGCAAACTAGCGCTTTCTTAAGAGTGGATCAAATACAGTATAACCCTCAAAAACCCTAGGGGCTGATATGCATCGCATTTCTCCTTACTATATCACTTGTAAATCAAATGTTAGAGCCATGAGAGTACAAGAAAGAATCAAGCTCTCTATTGTTACACAAACGTTCAATGTCCTCTCCAGTACCTTGGGAAGTGTATAAGAATGTTGTGGAGAATATGCATACTGATCTCGGAAGGTTAAGGAATAAATATATGATATGTGCACCTTGAAAAAATGAGCCAACAATTTCAAGCGTTAACTCCTTCTCCTTATTAAGACCTCTGCACTGCAAACTTAACTAGAGTCCTTCAAACTTAGTTGCTTACCTTCCACTGAGTGTTTGGACTTTGTACTGTTATCATTCCTCTTAGCCATCTATTCCCATGATTGCCAGATGCCGTCCAAACTCTCGACCCAAGGGAGTTGCCACGTTTGATGTACACATTAAGTCTACCAATTCCACTTCCATACATATGGTACCAGAATACCAAACACTTTCCATTACCATCTGTTACGCTATAAGTAGGAGATTCCAGGCGGGCGTAGTCTCCAGGTTTGCGAGGTGATGACGTCTCGATGTACATGTAGCTACCTGGAGTAAATATAAACATGACAGCTTTTAACTGTTTAAAAAGTCAATTTTTTATTTAATATTCTCCGACCGAAAAAGTATCTAAAATATGGTAAGATGGTAACTGCTCGTATTAAATGAAACATAAATATGCGAATAATTCATATGTTCAAAGACTGTGAAACATGTTTTTTCAATTAGTCATGGAAATCTCATGTATCTCCTCTAAATGGCCACCAATTGCGAGCACTAAGCTGTATATTTGACTCACCGAATGCAGTGCCGGAAGTATGATCAAATGATGGCCCGGTTCTGACTGAGGTCGTGTTACCACTTCCTTTCGTCCAATCAAAGATGTCTCCTTGGTCTTGGGTGAAGCCACAGATCTTAGGATCCTCAAAGTCACATAAGGCTGAAACAAGAAAAAGATAGATGAATGAGAATAGCACGATGGAAGGAACAAGTCGTGCGTATCCACCTGAAAATTTCTATACCTCCAACGTTGTAACTACTGTGCCTTAGAAGATACTTCTCCTAATTTCAAGCAATTTATAATCTCCAAAAACTAGAAGAAAACCGTAGATACAGAACAAAACACCAATTTCCAACAAAAATTCAAATCAAATTTTCATAAATATCTCTTTAATTGACGACCTCTTGACACAATACCCTTCATTTCCCTGAGCAGGGTGTCAATGTAATAGAAAAGGGGACTCTTACTTTGTGTAGAAGACACAGTACACGTCACAAAAGAATTTCATCGCAACTGGGAATAAAAAAGCAGTGAAAACAATAGTGTGACGTATACTGTGTCTTCTACACCAAGAAATAGCCGAAAAGGGGAAAGAATCGGTAAACTATTCCAAAGAATTGCGATCTCAATGACGTTGTATCAAAATTTTTGTTGTAGATTTTGGATATCAAGACAATGTTTTGGCGCCACTGCAACGCCGTCATCATGTTATCACATCTTGCAAGAGAAACGAAATATATCTTTATCACGCAAGTCAGATAATAGATACATAAATGAAATCAGTTTTGTTACAGAATTTGCTTTGTGCGCGTACACAACTTAGAGAACCGTTTGTGATTCATGCATTAAGTACTCTAAATAGAGAAAAAAATAACAATCTAAGAATTTTAGCTTACGCAGGAGAGGGCAAGAACCATCCAAAACACGAAGATCATCCAAAGCTATATCGCCTTGGTAGCTTTCACCACGTTTCCCTTCAAAAGCAAACTGAAAATAAAAATCCATTCCGTTAGTATCAGTTATGTGTTCCTAGAACGACTATACATCTTAGGTTTTTGTGGTTGCAAGGGAAACCGTAAAAACAGTGATGGACGCAATTTCCAAACTGTTGCTCGCCTGCGAGGACCATGGCGATATTTGATTTTCAATACGCAGGTGAGATGAAATTTACTTCATTACAAATTGAATCAGATTCCCCCGAGGAAAAGAAGAACCCTCTACAATGTCCCCCACTCCCGACGTGTGGCTTCGTAGCTCAGTAAGTAGCAGCGCCCAACCAGTATTTGGAAGACACAGGTTCGAATCCCGTCGAAGCTCGAATTATCTTCAAGCTTCTTTTCTGCAATTGCCATTTCCTAACTCTTGAATCTGCCTTACGGACAAACATCCCCAATTAAACCTCACCTGGAATGGTGTACTGCTCTTCACAGCTACTTGGCCCAGTTTCCAACTGTTCCCCTGGGTGCCATTTTTGGTCCACACTGGTTGAGCAGGAATTTGTTGTCCTCGTTTTATATATAAGTTCAATGTATCTACATGCTGCCCATGCATGTGATACCAAAACTGTAAGCAAACCATGTTGTTAAGTTTGCCGATTGTTGCAGGAACCATTGCACTCTCGAGAATAGCTGTGTCGTTCTGCCTTTGCCACGATGTTTCTATATACACATAGTAACCTGCAAAGAGAAAGCAAAGTACTCATGAATCAGCTAAGAAGATACTCGATTTCGAATTATAAAGAGAATGAAATCAAGTGAAAATACTTACTGTATAATTTTTAAACCAGAACACTACCAGTTTTCCTCTGTGAGTCTAAAGAAATTTTAGCGAAAGAATAGCCAATTTTATACCCACGTGTGGTTTTCTTGACCCGAACTGATGCAATTCACTACGAAACCATTCACAAACGATGAGATCAAACAAAAATTTACCCGTTTTTTTCCTGTGGCAGAACTGCACTGATCCAAGATCGGTTCACTCGGAATATTACGTAACTCCTTTCCTCAAAGCAAGAGGGCTCAAGCATCAATTTGTCCAAAATAAACTGACTCTGAGTACTGACCTTTTTGACTTCCGGTTGTGTGATCCGCTGTTGGACCGGTTCCAATAGAAGGTGAACCACCGGACTGTCTCCACCAGTTGAAGTCGTCCTCCTTAGAGTTGTTCCAGTTGCAGAAGTCTTGCTCGAAATTGCAGTCCCATTTGGATGGTGGCAGCGTTGTGGGTGGGGCTGGGGTGGTGGGGAAAGGTGTTGGCCTGCTGGGTCCGTGGAAGCACCAGGGAACGTTCGGAACAGAGCTATCCCAGCAGCAACCGCGAGACTGGCACTGAGTTGACGAGATTCCAACGTAGCCACAGTCTTGCCTGGACAAATTTAAATTGAATTCAATTAATGTTTGAACCTTGTCCTGGCTAGCAACTGGGAGAAACATTTAGGAGCGACTGCGCTTCAGCACCAGAGAGGTCATGCACGACAATTACGTTGAATTTACTGAGAATACAAGATGTTTTGCAATATTTCTTCCACGTTAATTTGGGGATAATAAAGAGAATTGAAAACCAGAATCCAATCACGCCGCTTGCCGTTAACAAGCGGCCCCATGTTTTGAATTACGCCAAAGCCGTGAATGATAATGCTTTTGAACCATTTCGTAAGCATATTTTGCCACAGTTGCTACACATAATTACATTCAAAATCGTCTTTATCATAGGGGATAGGTATCGCTACTTTTGCACAATATACCGTACCTCGTCGCCGGCTTGACACTCTTGCATGCACTGGGATGATAAAAGCAGTACGGAACGTTCGGAACAGAATCGTCCCAACAACATCTTCGCAGACCCACACAGGTTGCCTTGGTGATACCAACATAGCCACAGTCTACTCGCTGCTGAGAATTGACAGAAGAACACAGTCCTATACAGTAGCCAGCGTTGAACAAAATGTCGTCTATGGCGATGTCGCTTTGGTAGTCTTTTCCCCTTACACCTTCAAAAATTATCTGATAGCTTGTCCTGCTGGTTACTGTCACCTCTGCTTTGCGCCAGACATTGCCCTGCAGAGCAGAAAAAAATGGTAATAAAAGAAAGACTAATTAATGAAGGATGAGTGTAATGTAGGCAAGGTTACAGAGAGCATGTTGGTGAAAATGTGTATACCTGTGAGCCGTTGAGGTTCCAAACCAAACTCTCTGGCTTGCCAACTTGTTTCATGTAGATATTAAGGTTGGCAACGGTTGCACCATACATGTGGAACCACCATGACATGCACTTTCCAGTAGTGGAAGCGAACATTTTACTTCTCAATCTGGCTATTTCACCTGACTTTCGAGGACTTGATGTTTCAATAAAAGCGTAAGTTCCTTTAAAGAACCAAAAACAAATACGTCAAATAGCCCAAATATAAAAACGATTAAATAAAAATTCCTGAAGAAAATCTTAACGAATTTTCGAGTGCAGTGCATCAAAGGCATCAAAAATTATATTAGTAATTATACGTCTTGGGCATTGTTACGGTGGTGAAACAGCAGTAAGTTGTTCAACATACGAAACCCACGACTCCTTTAACAAAGCCACTTTAAACCTACCGACGGCGGATCCAGTCGTGTGATCACTCGACGGTCCCGTTTGGTAACTCGGTGTGCTGCCACTTCCCAGAGTCCAATCAAAATCATCCAGACCCGAAGACCTATTACCATTAGGTACATTGAGCCATGCACAGAAACTCTTTTTCTCAAAGTCACAACTTCCTGTGTTCAAAAAACAAATCATTCAAATACAAAAAAACAAGTTCAGTACTGTCAGGTGTAATAAGGAAACACGCTTTTCGTTGAAAAAAAAAATTGTTTGTGAATTTAGCATGGTCATTCAATATCTCAGTTTTAAGAAATTATTAATCAACCAGTATAATTTCCTAACTATTTAATATATATTTCAAAGCTATGCAGCAACTCAAAACATACATATCCAAAAAGGAAAGCTAACAGAAGGTATGAATAAATAAAAGAGGGTGGCTATCGAAGGTTGGAAGATTCTTGGTTAAAACGACTGAAATGTTCGTTAGTTATGAGGTATGAATCAATAAAAGAGGGTGGCTTTCAAAACTTGAAAGGTTCTTAGTTAAAATGACTGAAATTTACGCTAGTTATGAAGCTCGAGAATCAATGTTCTGCGCTGCGAATTTGTAATTTCGCTAGTACTGCTTGTCAATTTGAAGTTAATAACTCACATTCAAGAGAACAAACCAAGACGGTAAATGACATACTGTAACATTGTGCCTTTAAGGCCCAGAGGTTTATTTTTCACGAAACTTTCAGTGTAATTGAAATCAAGCTCTTCTTGGCTTGTTTCCAGTCAAGACTTGCCCTCAGAGAGCTTTGAAGGTCATCGAAAGGAGAACATCATTTGCATAGGAGACAAGGCAAAGCCATATTTTGAAATGCGAATTAAAAAATCAATTCATAAAAACCCTACGTAAACACTGGATAATTAAATACGAAGAACAACCTTCTGGTGGACAGGGGCTGTCATCAATGCTTAAGTCATCAATTGCAATATCGCCCTTATAACTCTGGCCTCTGATTCCTTCAAACAAAATCTTGGAAGAAACAATAAAACTTATCAACATCATACTTGTCGTAAATGAAGTTTTCTTCCACCATCATAGTTTGAAAATGAATAAATGTCATTGCACATATGCGTGATCGTCTATTTTTGAAATGAATTCGTAATTCTCTAGAGAATCTTGCGAAAGGGTGGATGGTTTACTGTATCGAGGGGCACTTAAACTCAGCTTCATCATAAAATATGAGTGCGACATTGAATTCGAAATACAAAGATAATTTATTGAACGTCAAGGTTTTCGAACTAAGACTACGCAAGTTTTAGTGATTTTTCGTTTTTTGTTTTACAGAGGACGTCTGGAATATGAATAAAACTTTAGAACGCACGTGCTGAGCTACTATGCTCATTAAATGTTTTGTGTCGCCATGTCCTCGTCGCCGCCACCGTTGCCGTCTCTGTCGCGGTTTGCTAAGGGTCCTTTTCCATGTTAGCCTAAGCATAAACCTTATCGCAGGCGAGGTTAAAAAGTAGATATACTTCATAAAATTATGACATGGGGTACCTGGAAATCTCCACTGATCTTAACAGGTGCTCTGGCATGCAGCCAGAAATTACCCTGGTCACCAGTCTCATTCCAAACCTTTGAACCCTTCGACGGGGAGCCAAATGTTTTGACATACACATTCAGTTGGCCAATATGAGGCCCAGCCATATGGTACCAGAAATTCAAGCATTTGCCATTCTGTGCTCCTGTGTACTTGGGACTGATGAGCCATGCGACGTCGCCTTGTTGGCGAGGGGAGGATGTCTCGATATACATGTAGTAACCTGGAGAGTGAACATTTTAAAAGGTTAACAAAACTGCTTGTAATTCACTTCCTACCGATCGTTTCTTAATCTGGACTGGAATTAATCTGATAAATACCAGAATAAACACAAGAACGATCCAAACCCACCATTGCTCGTTCCAGTGGTATGATCGGACGAAGGTCCTGTCCCCAAGGACGGTGTCCCCCCACTGTCACGCTGCCAATTAAATTTATCGCCCACTGTATTTTTCCACAAGCACATGTCAGTTTCAAAGTCACAAGCCTTTGGAGGTGGACAAGGCCCATCTGCAACATCCAAATCATCGAGGGCGATGTCTCCCATGTAACTACTACCACGAACCCCTTCGAAAATGACATAGAACGGCTGGTTGCTTATCAGGTTCACTTGGGCATATCTCCACTTGTTACCTTGTGTTCCTCTTCGAGTCCAAATTCTACACAATAAAACGACATTTATCTGTCAGTTGAAGGCTCCCAGGAAGTCAAAGAAGAAATTATTATCTGATTTAACTGCAGTCTTTTCCAACATTTCGCATCCTCGTTCTACGCAATATAATGACATTAAGCTGTCAGTTGAGAGCAAGCATTTACATCGGCTCCAAGCAAACTGAACAAAGAGTTTTTCTGGTTTTGCCCCTATAATATTTCCCATAACATAATGAGATAAATGACACAAGCAGATGATAGCTTATCATCCATATTGCAATAATTCATGGAGCAAATTTAAATTGAGTGTCCAAAGCACATTGCAGTTGCTTTGTTTTTGGTTTACTCCACTAGCTCCAGAAACTCGTCTCATCCCCTCGACCAATCGGACGCGAACCAAGCTTTAGGGTTTTTATGCGCATCAATTTCCCTGTCATTAATCAGAATACTCGTTGGCTACGGATAAGATTTTCCGTTTCCCTGATTGGCCATGCTGATTGCTTGAACTCTGGTTTGGCAACAACAAAAAAACCAAAAGGTACTGAGTTCTTCCACGAGAAGCTCACCTGACTTGTGAAGAGCTATCTTTACGGTAGACATTAAGGGTGTCCACGTGTTGACCCCACATATGGAACCAAAACTTCAGGCATCGTCCTGAGGTGACCGTGGTTGGCTGTATCAAGCCACTTTGGAGCTGTGCCTTGTCGTTCTGACGACGCGGAGAGGATGTCTCGATGTAAACATAGTAACCTAGCAAATGTTAAAAAAAATCGTATGGCTCTCTCATCCCATTTCTGACATAGCAATTGGCTTATATTAATATAAACTCAGCAAAAATTGATTTCCCAAATGCACTTATTTGAGGGAGTATGGTGCTTCGACTATGAATTTGTACTTGCCTAGGGGAGGTGTTAAAATGCATGGAGATTCTACTGTATTTTAGCACATCTCACGAATATTACATAAGTAGCTAGGCTCGTGGAGTTTTAGATAGCTGTAGACTAAGCATACGATATCCAAGGAAATCTTAATCGTTTAACTCGATTTTTGCCGTTGGAGCAATTTTTAACTGAGTATCGAAAGTAAATAGAAATTGCGTTTGTTTTGCTTCGCTGTATCATTGGTCCATAATACTCCATCAATCAGAAGCAATTTGAGCTCTCAATGGCTCCTTCTCATATTTTTTTCCATCACGCTAGGTTTCGTTGGTGTAACATACGGAAAACACTTAAAATGTGTTCTCGAAAACTAATTCAGGATACCTTGAGAAGTTCCTTTCGTGTGATCAACAGTCGGTCCTGTGCTCCACGAAGCCGTTGATCCCCTGCTCCTTGTCCAATCGAAATCATCTCCATTCAGGTTTTTCCAGGAGCAGAACCCTCCTTCAAAAGTACAGTTGTTGATGATGGGAGGGGGTTTGGTGGGTGGTGGAGTGGGGGGCACCGCCAAGGAAGGCACAACAGAGCATTTTGATGTAGAGAATGTGATGTCATCGATTGCGATGTCACCACTGATGCTGCTTCCTCTCACAGCCTCAAAGACCACCTGTAAGAAAATGTGGAAAAAATTGAACTCTATCGTTACAATAAAACTTTGAGAATAGGTATAATATAAAATGTTCTTTGCATTGATTATTATTTTAAATCGAACATTTCCAACATATAACATTCCAGCAAAAAATTACAAATTCTCGCCAGAAAATTATAATCAGCCTCAGTCATACATGAATTTTTCTACTGATTTGGTTATTCTGACCTGACTCCCGTCAAACTGCAGCCTTGATGGAGTCACAGCAGTCACTTCATTCAGTCACTTGTAGCAGTCACTGAATACTACACGTGCCTTCTTTTTTTTTTAACGAATATTACCTGGTAAGGAGAACCACTTGTAATAGGGGCCTGTCCACTGTACCACTGGTCACCAAAGTTTCCACTGAGCTCCCAAATGACACTTTCTGATTTGTTTCCTGGACCAGTTTTCTCCAGAATTCTAAGCGTGCCAATTGAAGCACCATACATATGATACCAGAACTTCACACATCTTCCATGGATTGTGACTGGTGAGAAGTCCTCACTGACAAGACGAGCCTTGTCGCCTTGCCTACGAGGTGATGATGTTTCTATGTACATGTAATGACCTGCAAAACAAGAGACTCGTTCAGCCTCACAAGAGTCGAGTGGTCTATACTGTCAAAGGCTAATCCTGGTTTCTATAGTATCAAGCGACTACCATGTACGAGTATTGCCACTGACTGGATGTGATGCTAGTCCATCGCAGATTACCCTATACATCAGGTTTCCCAACAGTTAGCCAGAATATATTTACATTCCTGAATGGAGAGGATTACCGCGAGGATCATGTGCCTCGCCTAAGCACAGAACAGAACGGCCTCGTTGCAGACTGAATAAAGCTCTGAGGTCGTAGGGAGATAGGGACCAAAAAGCCATTGCATCTCCAAGTAAATAACAAGGCCAACTATAAGTAACAACATCTCTTCCTTCTTATATACCGTAGTTAAGCAATTAAGCGCCACCCTGAGTTAACGCCGACAAGAGAGCAAAAAATTGATGGGCACCGCCGTCGAACAAGTGCCACTCATAAAAATGAGGCATTTAATACAGAAAATACAGTACACTTCAGCTGCAGCAGTCTCACAACACAGAATACTTCACCTAAACTAGTCCCCAGAGTATGATCCACCTTTGGGCCCGTCCTCCAGCTTGGAGTTGCTCCTGCATTTCTCAGCCAGTCAAACTGATCTTCAGTCGGGGTGTTAGTATAGGTGCACATTCCACTTTCAAAATCACAGTCACCTTAAAAAGGCAAATAGTCATGTGTTTTAAATTCAGTTACTGGCTCACCCATTTCTAAATCAAACACTCTTTCCATCGTTTTAGATGTTACTGATTTACCTGGTAATGGACAAGGGCTCTTGATTAACTTCATATCGTCAACAGCAATATCCCCCTGGTAGCTCTTGCCTGCTACACCCTCTACCACAATCTGCCACAAGGGTTCAAAAGATAATGAAGAAATTTTAGGAGAGATGATTTGTTCTTTCGGTATTCAGAAACTCTTTAAATACTTGATAAAATTTTTACCCCTGCTTATTATAAATTAGCTATTAGTATCGTTAATTGTTGTAAGTATGCTAGCGTTTTATCACAAATATTGCAATCTGATTGGCTTTGCTACTTTAATTTATTTTGTGAGAGAAAGTGAGCAGGAAACAGTGTGGCGAGACCTATTTGAATCATTATTCAACAACAGTACATTATTTACTCTCGATTTCTATGCCTGATTCGCTTTTAGCGCCGAGTCCAGAGATCTGACACTCACTTCTCCCATTTGATGTCCATAAATTTCTCTGTTTCCTAATTCTAATAATTTGATGTTATATACAAACAATAATCACTGTTTGAATAATAGTTAATGATTCATAGTTGTTTCTGCAAAAAATGCACCTACCTGGAAATTAGAGCTTGAAGTGACTGCAACCTGAGCAATCTTCCAGATATTTCCACGATCACCCGACCTAAGCCACACTGGCACGCCAGGTTTACCCGATGGTGACTTCACGTACACATTAAGTGTGCCAATGTCTTGGCCATACATGTGGTACCAGAATTGGAAGCACTGGCCTCCCTTAACAGCAGGGTAAGTGGGGCTAATAAGCCTTGCTTTGTCACCCTGTTTCCTTGGAGAAGATGTCTCGATGTACATGTAATACCCTATAAGCAAAACAGAAAAAAAAAGAAAAATATATCAAGGTGATAACATGAAATCACGATTACATGCGAGGTGGGTTCATCCCAAGGACTAGACAAAATGTTCCCTGAATAGAAGTTTCTAAAAGAAACTTCCCAAACATATACAAAAGGTTGTACGAAAAAGTAAGGTCTCTTTCAAGAACGTGATGACCATTTCAACATTTGATTTCGAGCCTGTTGTGAAGTTGTTACGTGTGTTTTGGGAACGCATGGAAGGGTACTTATCATAGAAACGGCGTGCGGCTGAAACATTCAACCAAGCCCTTGCTACTATCTGCTTTGTTCTGAATTTTTTTTTTATATATGTGACCAAAAAAAAACCAATTATGTGAGAAATTATTACCACTATTACTCTCAATAATCGCTGATGGGCCTGTAAATGTGAGAGAATAGGGGTACTTACTAAAATAGGAGAGGTTATAACATTTGGAGAGTCAAAATCAAAGGGGTGCTTGTCATAAAAACTTACAAAAAAAATCATTATTCAGCATTTCTTACCCTGTTTGGTTCCATAGGTGTGGTCAAATGCTGGCCCGGTCTGGTAACTAGCAGTGGAACCACTTGCACGGGTCCATTGAAAGTCATCAGTGGTATCTTGCGTCCAGCCGCAAGTATGTGATAATGATCCCACAAAGGCCTCAAAGGTACACTCACCTGAAAGTAAAACACACATGAGCTAATTAAACAACCGTGGAGGATCAATACATGTTGTCATAACTATGAATTGAAAAGCTATAATGGAATCCAACTTTCCTAACCCCTTTTGAAAACGAAATTGGTTCAAGTTATCGAAAGGTTTGAAAAATAGTGTGGGATGGAGGTAAAATGTCTTTTTCTTTATAACGAAGGGTAACTAGCTTTGGTTCAAGAAGGGTAACTAGCTTTGGTTCAAATCATGTGGAGTTTTAAGAACAAAAAAAGAAACCTTTTTAACTCATGGGCGTAGTGGCTTTTCCGTGCACTGCTGTACATTAGACTGAATAACTTTGTTGTGCCAGGAAATAACATAAAAAAGGCAGATTGTAACATGACAAAACCTAAGTCCGTTCTGTTAGTGAAAGTAAACCTTAGCTGAAACTGTTGGTTAACATATCAACCTAAACAAGGGAATCGCGGAAATTAGCACAGTCCCAAAAATATATCGCAGCTCCTTATAGACAAAAAACACATAATCAGTCCTTACTTGCTGCTGGACAATTGTTGTTTTGGAAAGAAATGTCATCCAACGAGATGTCCCCTTGGTAACTAGAGCCACGTACTCCCTCAAAAGTAACCTGTATTGAGATTTAAGTACAAAATATTAGGAATCAGAATTCAACTCTAAATTAGTTGTTATGGAAAATACCGTACTTGGAATGCTCTGCAAAGTATTTTTTTTCGACGGGTTTTGTTCCCAACTATAGTTCGTTTCTGACTTTTCATGAACATTGGCTTATAGATAAGGAAATCTTGAGGATAATCTAATTTACATGGTGAATATATTATACTGCAATGTATGAGTCATACCTGGTAGGAACGTTGATTTGTGTTGAATTGCACAAGTCCTTGTTTCCATTCATCAGCCTGAGAGCCAACTTTTTGCCACGTGAGAGTTTTTGGATTGTTTCCATCCTGAAAATGAACCACTAGTTACTAAATCTGAAGAATTTAAACCATCAGTTGAGAATACAACAATTTGTTGCAATAGGCTAGCATTGCAATGCTTTGCTCTTTTCATGCTCTTAATTTCTTGCGCAGACCATAAATGGTAAAAAAGGCATCACCTAAATCAACTTTGGTACAGCAGCCTATGTTGGTTTGGCTTGTCCTCTTGATCTGTCTTCCCTCGAAGCCCTTATCATAGCTTACACTAAAAAGTTACTCTTATGCCAAGAGAGGAGTCTAATAACACGAAAATACCACCGTGAATAGCTTGAAATATGAGGACACTGGTAGAACAAAGGATTTTCATTTCAAGTCTCGTATTAGCAAAACTCCGTAATCTCTTGAAAACAAAGGAAAAATTGTTTTAAAATTTAAAACAGTATGAGCATATGAACACTACCTTCACGTAGACGTTAAGAGAAGCAATGTGAGGCCCAAACATATGGTACCAGAACAGCACACAAGCAGTTGGTCCTGACGTCGGAATAATTGGACTAACCAATCCAGCCGTGTCGTTTGGTTGGCGAGGAGATGATGTCTCGATGTACATATAGTAGCCTTGTCCTAGAAAGCGTTACAAGGTAGCAAAATATTTGAGACGAACTATTTTACACGAAGTAATCGAAGCGAAATAACACGGAAATGTTTTGTTAGCCTTTCATGCATCAAGAAACTGAGTAATTCTCAACTCTTTCATGATGTGCAAAAAGAAATCTATTCAATAATTTGAAATGGATCAGATCGCTCACCCGTATTTCCTAAAGTGTGATCATATTTGGGTCCAGTACCAGAAGATGCTGTGGAGCCCTGGTGACGGGTCCAGTTAAATTTTCCATTGGAGTCAAAAGTCCAAGAGCATATCCCAACTTCGAAATTGCAGTCATTTCCTTGATTACCTACAAAGACAAAAACAGTATGGTATATTAGGCTTGACACCTCATTTCACTTTCTAGAATGTATCAAAGTACATCTCTTATATTTCTTAACTGTTGTACGAGAGTTAAGTAACCAGTGAATATATATGTTCGCCTAAACATCCTACAAGAAGGAAAGTTTCAATCAAAGCACATGAATGTAGCCCTTTTCAATTATATGTGATGACAGTAATGGCCACAACCACAATGGCCATGAAAAATTACGAGGATCCAGTAAGAACAAGAACAAATGCCAAAGATAGCATGCAAACAGGCCATCTTATTCGCACAGCAGGATGCGCGTTTCCCCACCCGCGAGAAGATATGAGACGACTGGGGGAGTCTGGCACTAATTATGAGGTACGACGCACGCTAGTGCTGAAGCGTTAAAGTGGAGGACCTGTACTCAGGCTTAAAAAAATGCGACGAAGTTACTATTCGATTATTTTGCATCTTACGGTGTAAAAGGATGGTACATACTTTCGTGACCAATCACAGGGTAAAGAAAAAGCAAGAGTAATGCAATGATTTCCTTTAATACAGTGCATTATCTATTCAAGGGTATGGATGGACCTACCTATTGTGGTTGGGGTAATAGACGGAGATGTGGTGACAGGAGGAGCTGCAGTTGTCATGTTAACAGGCAGTGCATCATAAGGCTGCAACCTGCAGTTGGCCGCGCCAACCGTGAAGCTTACGTCATCCAGTGCTATGTCACCGGTATAACTATTTCCACGGATACCTTCAAACAGAACCTACATGAAAGAAATATAGACCATTCATGTTGTAAAAAATCAAGGCTGGTTCTATGTTCTGCATCCTGTAAAAGTCAGGGTGTTCATCAAGCAGATCTCTCCATAATAATTTTCATGTCCAGCACTCCTTTTAATTTAGACGTGAAAATTGGTCTCCTGTCACTTTACAGTATAATCCGCGAGGTACAATTTTGTAACGGAAGCTCAAAGGGAAAGATTGTGGCAAGTGGCAGATCTGGAATATTCCCAAATTAAGTATACATGCACTCTGACATCTCACCTGATACTTGACGCTGCTTCTTATGGGCGTTTGTCCAAGCAACCAGTTATCGCCCTTATTTCCTATTCTCTGCCACAGCAGAGACATTGTTGAGAAGTTGCCGGTGTATATGTAGACATTCAAGGTGCCAATTGAGGCTCCTTTCATGTGATGCCAAAACTGTAGACATCTACCACTACTGGAGGTCGGGTCAAAAGGTTCACTGAGGAGATATGCCTTGTCACCAGGCACTCTCGGGGATGAGGTCTCAATAAACATATACTGGCCTAGAATTCGAAAAACATTGAAAATTGCACAACAATTCATTTTTTAGAATCAGATTTGAAACAGCTTGCAGAAAAAAACATATTTACTACCAACGACAGGCTGGTCCGTCGGCATTAATTTTTAAGGTAGGAAAAAGGGTGAACTATGCCAATTACAAAAAAGCAAATAAAATAAAAAAACCTACCAGAGCCTGTTGTGTGGTCTTTGGAAGGTCCTGTCAGAAAGCTTGGTGTTCTTCCACCTCCTACAATCCAGTCAAATGTATCCCCAGTTCGGGCGTTAGTCCAAGTGCACATACCATCGTCAAACGAGCAATCTCCAGGTGATGGACAGCTGCCATTCATTATTTTGACATCATCAATGGCTATATCTCCAGTATAGCTTGCTCCCTTTACTCCTTCAAAAACAATCTTTTGAAAAATAAGTTTACTGTGAGTTAAAGAGTGGTTTAAGTGGAAGACAAAGACACGCAATATGAAGTCAACATGTTGGGATCTTCATGAGTGATCAGGTAGTGAGACGAATGATAATACTTCATTATTACTGTATTTCACCAAAATGGATTAAAATAACCGTTCTTACAAAACCCCATACCTGATATCCAATACGACTCTTGATGTTTACTTGTGCTACATTCCAGATATTACTGTCATTGCCTGTTTTGCTCCATACTTTAGACTTGAATATAGAGAAGGTCTCGACATATACATTCAATGTTCCAATGGTGCGGCCATACATGTGATACCAGAACTGAAGGCATGAACCCTGTGTGGCTGGATATCTTGGGCTTCGCAGGTGAGCTGTGTCACCCGCATTTAAGTTTAAGGGAGAAACCTCAGTGTACATGTAATGGCCTGAAAAGCAACAATACAACCATCAGAAACTTGATTTTACTTCTCCTCTCTTCTTGTATTCTGTATTATTATTTAAATGGCTCCAACTTCAACTCAGGCATTTTCAATATAACCATTTGCCAAAAAATAACTAAATGTTATACCATTTCAAAGCTTATAAAATAGTTTGCAAGTTTGTGTCTTAAGCGCAGGTCGCAAAACTGACTAATTTTAAAGCAAAGTTAAAGTCCAATAGTTTTCTTCTTGCCAGTTCTAGCTTGGTGTACAGTTAGTCTATTGTGATTTTTAAAATCATAAACAAAAAATTTTAGATGCAGACTTCTGGTTCTGACAAGGTTGTGGAAGTAAATCTTACCATACACAGTCCCATAGGTGTGATCTGCCACTGGCCCAGTGCCAATACTAGTAGTTGGACCATTGCTTCGGAGCCAGTTAAATTTGTCCGTGGTGTCATAGCTGTTTTGATACCCGCAGATGTCAGCTGCTTCAAAACTGCACATTCCTAAATAAGAAATATGATAAAGTTTAGTAACATGTTGACTGATGTATGGCACTTGTAGGTCAAGTTATCATTTAAAGCAAGAAAATAAGGAAATATCATCACGGGCAAATCTGCTATATATTCAAAAGTTTTAAGTTGGAGTACATTCTGTCACGTAATGTATTTAAACAAAATAAACGCTAGCAAAAATATTTAATGAATTTTAAACTAGTCTATGACAAAGTAAATGACTAAGTGCTTGAGCAATCAGACCGAGCAAATCTCAAAGAGGTTTTCTCGTTTACCTGATGAGGGACAGCTGCCATCTTTCAGTGAAATATCATCAAGCGCAATATCTCCACGGTAACTTACTCCTCGAACTGCTTCGAAAACAATCTAAAAGATGAAAAAATTTTAAGGGTAAGAGTAAAGGAGAAGACAGCATCAGCGATTAATACGCTCATAAGTCATACAAATAACAACAAATTCTGCAAACCCATCTGTAGTCATTCACAAGGAGAGCAATGCAGATGTAATATACGCCATTCATCTTGATCAATTATGCAGAAGTTTAACCTAATTTGTGTAAGTCTACCAAAAACTGATGTCTATCTATACCACTCAAATAGAAATTCATTCGTAATTGAAAAATTTTTGCACAAAATTGTTGCTCTCTTGAAACAAGAAAGGGTGCCCAAATTGTTGAAGAAGATTGTGAATGGCACTACGCATAACTAAAACTTACTTGTACATCTTTGGTGTGTTCTACTGTGTACTCTCCCTGTATCCACTGATTTCCTTGATCTCCTTGTCTTACCCACTTGGGTTTCCCCAGGGTAGAACCAACCTTCTGGTACAGTCGTAACGTGTCCACATGAGGTCCATACATATGATACCAGAAGGACACACAGTGAATTGATTTTTGGGACCCATCTGCTTTAATTGTTGGACTAAGGATGCGAGCAGTATCATTAACTTGCCTCGGAAAAGATGTTTCAATGTAGACGTACCAGCCCTGACCTGTAGACATTCCAAAACAGTGTCAGCCTCAGATACCTCAAGTTAACACCTTAAATTACTTTCCTAAAAGAAAACGAATAAAACGATAATGATAATGATAATGATAAGGAATTTATATAGCGCTAAAACTGTAAACAATATTCAGAAGCGCTTTACATAAGTTAAAGTTCTCTACTAATTAAAATTAAAATATTCAAAGGCAATAAAAAAAACTAAAAGCTTTCCTCAATAGAAATGTATTAAGTTGCTTTTTAAAAATGGCGAGGCTAACACTTGTTCTTTTAGTTAGTGGCAGCGAGTTCCATAAAACAGATGCAGCATGTGCAAAGGCCCGATCCCCAAGTGAAGAGCAGTTGGCTTTTGGAACGAACAGAAGAGATTGAGCAGACGAGCGAAAAGCATAGTTAGTAGCTGGTTTCAGGGACAAAAGATCTTTAATGTAGGGAGGACTTTGGTTGCGCAATGACTTGTAAACAAAGAGGAGCAATTTAAACTGAACTCTGAACGTTACTGGGAGCCAATGAAGGTCGATAAGTGCAGGTGTGATATGTGATGTAAAAGAGACCAAAAGGCTCACCAAAGGACAGCTGCTAAAAGCAAAACGAAAACTGCTCACAGTATTCATTAGATCTGTACAACAGTTCCAAAAAATTGTCAATTAACGTGAGCCATGGGGGTTTGTTATGACATTCAGAGTCTCTAAACAGTAATTTAATCCTTACGTGTGCCTGTTGTATGGTCGATGCTGGGCCCTGTCAGAACACTGCCTGTTGAACCCCTATGTCTTGTCCAATCGAAGCGATCTGTGATAGACTGGCTCCAAGAGCATATTCCATTTTCAAAGTTACAATCAAATGGAACTGCACTGACCGGACTTGTTATACATTTACCAACAGTTGTAGTAAATGTTATGTCATCGATCGCTATGTCACCTTGATAATCAACTCCACGAATGCCTTCAAAGATGATCTACAAGAATTATCATTGACGTCAGCATCTTTTTCAAGACAAGAGCTACATTTAAGGGTGATTTAACCCTTTACACCCTAACATCAGTATGCATATTCTCCATATTGATCTCTCATTTCTAAGTAGGATATGTTTTGCAATCAAGAGCCTCTTTAGTTGGTGATAATTTCCTTTATTCTCATGATCTGAATGTGGAATAAGGGGTGATATTGTAAACAAATTAGATGCTAGTCACTCTTAGGGGTTATAGGGTTAATGCGCAATCAAATACAAACACTGCTGACAAAATTCACATTCTAATAGACAGCTACTACCATCCACGCAGACACATTTGCTGTGTGACCAGGAAGACAGAATGTTCCTTGGCCCTAAAAGGATAAGCTTCAAAATGCAGAGATGGAAAAAAGGATGCAAAGCATAACAATGTAATTTTCTGCCAAAACCATGTACATTTTGCGAATGGGTTCAAAAGATCTGAGATCTGGGATTCTCTATGTCAGTTGTTTACCATAACGCAAAAAATGCCATGACTAGTTAAAGAGAAAGCCTCAAATTATGAGTTACCTGATAATGGCGACCACCACTTAGAATTTGCAGTCGAGCAGCTTTCCACGCAGTCCCTTGATCACCAGAGAGTGACCATAACTTTGTCTCTGACTGCCCATACACTCTCATGTACACATTCAAGGTGCCAATATGGCTTCCATTCATATGATACCAAAACTGCATGCATCTGCCATTGCTAGGAGTTGCAGGGAAAACTTCACTTTCCAGCCTTGCACGATCTCCACGTCTTCTGGGGAGTGAGGTCTCTATGAACAGGTAGTTTCCTTTCACAAGAAAGTAAAATAATATGTTAATATTTGCAGGGTTCAAATAAACTCTTTGTCCACTATTCCATTATAAATCTTTTTTGACGAGAACATTAAGTACAAATGCATTATAGCAATTGAACAGGTTGGAAGTCTACAAATATTGTAGTAAATTCTACTGACAGTTTAAGTGAGTTTTAATTATCATTTGCCCAAGGTTTGTGGAGTAAATTTTGCATCAGTGAGAATCAATTTTAACCTTAAGCAACAACTAACCATTTGTTGGGTTACTTAGAAACAACATAACGAGAACTAACCAAAAGGGAACAAAGATAAGTAAGAGGAGATTATTAAAGTTTACTTGTGCAAAACTTTGAAAATCAGGCTCAATTCCATGAGATATCAAAAACCGTGCACCCACAGACCTGCATTAAAGGTTGTTAACACTCACTTTGCAAGGAAAGATAAACAGCAAAGATGCAAAAGCAGAAAAAAGATAAGAGACACTGACCTTTTGCTGAGCCCGTTGTGTGATCAATCTTTGGTCCTGTAAATTGACTTGGTGTTCCACCACTTCCCCGCGTCCAATCAAATTCATCCTCTAAGACATTTCGCGAGTTAACCCATGTGCACATACCTTTCTCGAAGTCACAGTCACCTTTGTGAAAAATTGCAATTTAACAAGGCAAAGTCAATCAAATGGGTTTCCAAATGTATTGAACTTTCATCAAAAAATTATTACCATACAGATATGGTGCTACAGGTAACCTTGAGTAACTGGACAAAAACAGTACAAGTTTCGCATCTGTGTGTGTCTTTAGAGAGAAAACTAGTCACACTCTCTCACTCAGCCAAAAGAACACCAAACTAAAACCATGCAAATTAGTTATGGTCCCTTGCATCTTCCTAGTATACAAGCAGTTTGCATTTTCAATTTTGAGTAGTCATCAGTTTCGCATAATGTTTTCTCTTGTTCTTCTTATTTGACTTTGGTCAACACTTCTACACAAGAATTGGACTCATAGCCCTCTCCATCGTTCTTCCACTTACAAGGTCATACTTTTTATTCATATTACTATAAAAACAGTATCAAGAGGACACCATGCGAAACAGCTATCAATTAACACCCACTCACTGGTAAGAGTTCAATTAATACAGGTTTTACTGTAAGTTAACTGATCAGTCACAAGTCAAATTTCTGAATCACTTTCAAAACTATCCACCCACCAGGTAAGGGACAGGCACCATCCATGATCTCCACATCATCAATAGCAATGTCACCAGTATAGCTTGTGCCTGTGATGCCTTCAAATATTACCTAAATATACAATGATACATGTTATCTTAGTGCTATAGCTGGTAGCAAACAGAGAGAATACCACACTCATGTTTTCTTCCCTTTCCTCATTTCAAAAGAGCAAGTAAGCCAAAACTGCCAAGGACCCACAAACTTGTATCTCTCATCCAAACAGCTTTTCCCACTTTCCTCAGTTTTTCCATAATTATATTCATGAGGAATGTAGGCTTAACTACTTACGTTGGACAGTACTGGGTGAAGGTAAAATAACACATTTGTCTTTGGGAAAACATAATATACTTAGTGCAAATGCTAAATATTCAATTTTAAGAAACAGTCGATATATGTTACATTTAGTGTAAACAAATTGTTCCTCTCAACTTCTTAAAGATTTAAGGTGGATAAGAACAGCATATGGGACAAACAACATTCAAAAGTCTTTTCCTACCTCCTACTACAACAAGTTGAAGCACTTACACTAAAGTCAACAGCACTGTTGAGTGTGACTTGGGCAACTCTCCAGATGTCACCTTGGTTTGAAGACAGGCTCCAGATTGGAGAAGAGCGAGTTTTGTTTTGTAGTAGAAGAACATTTAGGGTTCCAATGGTTGAGCCATACATGTGGTACCAGAACTGGAGACATCTTCCATTGGTTGATTTAAATTGTGGACTCACAAGCCAAGCCTTATGCCCCTTTGAGCGAGGTGAAGAGGTCTCGATGTACAAATAGTAACCTGTGAATGTTTTAAGTAAAGAACTTACAGTTGAAGTGTTTCAAGTCCATGGTTTCTGGTTCCCTTGGTAATGCAAATGCAAGTGTATAGCAACCTGATATGTGTTCCGTAGTGAAAATCACACTTGTGGAATTGTAAGTTAGAAGAATATCAATGCTACTCAGGACTCCACTACTTATGATCTAAAGAAAACTGGACTATTGGAGTCATTCACTCTCAGAGGAATTAGGAACTGGCATTTTAACCACTTGGTTTATCTCCCTCTCCTCATAAATGCCATGGTGTATATTTGAATTAGTTATAAAGCATTCAAGTCATACATGGAATCTATGTCAAAGTGAAACAAATATTTTTACTCCATTTCAGTAATAAGATTGTTAAGCACTCTTAGTACCCAGTCAGAGTTCCAGCCACCTTGCAAATGAAAAAAAAACCCTTAAGGGCATTCTGAGTGTGCATCTGACCCTCATGGTCAGAAAAAAGTAATAACCTTACAAGAAAACAACTTGCCATTCTCTACATGACTTAACCATACTATTGAAAGACTTCTGAACTCATAAAATGGTTTGCCTGAGCCCTCAAGACAGACAGACACCCACCATTAGCTGTTCCTGTGGTGTGGTCAAGTGATGGACCCGTTCCTAAACTGGCTGTGAAGCCATTGGCTCGTGTCCAGTCAAAGTTGTCACCATGAATATTCTTCCATCCACAGAGCTTTTGATCTTCAAAAGAACACTGAGTCTGCGGTGGACACTGTCCATCTTGCATGGATATGTCATCTAGAGCAATGTCACCAGCCCAGCTGGAACCTCTGCGACCCTCAAAAACAACCTTAAGGGAGAAATATCAAAACAACTGCATGTCACTTTTTAGATAATTGAGCTTGGGCCACAAACATAATAAAAGCTTAGCTTATGGGACATAAAGTTCTCTGCACTCTACATTCCCTCACTAAATGCTGTATGAAACAAATTCTTGCAAGTATACCATGGAGATGTTCAAAAGTAACATCATTTTTGTTTACCTTAAATTTAGATGACACAGTCAAAGAAAGAGTAGCATGTTTCCATTTGTTTCCCTGGGTGCCACTTCTTGTCCACACAGGTGACCCGAGTTGCTGGTTTACTTTTGTATACACATTAAGAGTGTCAACATGAGGGCCATACATGTGATACCAGAACTGCAAGCACTTTTGTTGTGTGGCAGGGACCATTGCACTCTCAAAGCGTGCTGTGTCATTGGGCTTTCGTGGAAATGAAGTCTCAATGTACATGTAAAATCCAGTAGCACCCCCTGTGGTGTGATCTGTAGATGGTCCAGTGAACCGAGATAGTGTACTCCCTTGATGCCTTGTCCAATTGAAAGTGTCATCCAATGCTTGAGTCCATGTGCACGTATTGTTCTCAAATGTACAGTCATAGATGGAAGGTGCTGTCAAGAAAAACATTTTACCAAGAATTGTAGCTGACTCTCAACCAGCTTAATATAAGCATAACATGATGCCTACAGAAAAGACATTTACCGAAACAAACAGTTCTCCATTTTGCCCCTTCACTCAATTCTGCTCTTTAAAAAAATCTCAATTTATATATGCATTTGTAGGTAGCTAAATATCCCGAGGAATTACACTTCTCTGGGATTTCAGGTTGTTTTGCAAAGACTGTAATCATTATTCTTCCAAGGGAAATAAAATCATTGTTTACCTGATGTTGGGGCTGTGATAGGTGGTGAGGTGGTCACTGCTGGGGTTGTCCAGGGGTTTAATGGCCTTGCACCAGGAGGCAGGACAACACACCAGCCAACTGTAAACTGGACATCATCGATAGCAATGTCACCTTGATGACCTTGGCCCCTGACACCTTCAAAGATAACCTGGAAACCAAAGAAAGAACACAAGTATTCTATATTTTCTTTGTCAACAGAGAGTAACTAAAGCCCACATACAGAAGACATTTTAACTAGTTAGTACTGGTATTTGTTAATTCATCCCAATTAAAACTCTGCAAAGAAAAAGTGTTTAGTTATAAAATAAGTTTTTCCAGCATTTTTACTATGTGAGGAAATCTGTATTAAACCCAATTTCTCTTTGAAGCAAGGAACTCTTAAGTTCTTGTTATAATATTAGTAAATGATCAGGTTAACAGGTGATGAAAATTGGCAAACATACTGTGATCAGCTATAGGGTGTTTTCTTGACTTGGTGCTAAATTCCTTTAACTAGTTTCCTAGGAAGTCAAGCTTTTAACAAGGTAAATGAATAGCCAGATCTCTTGAATGTCCTTAGAGAAAGACTGAGAAATCAGCTTCAAAAAGAACAACTTGCTCATTCAAGATCACAATCATTTCCTCATAAATTTCTATGATTAAACCTAAAAATCCATTAACCTTCTAGTCCTGAAAAGTGACTTTATAAAAACTTAAGTTCAGACCTGATAGACACTTTTACTGCTGACGGGAGCTTGAGCAAATTGCCACTTGTCACCTTTATTACCAGTAAGAGTCCATATCTGACCAGATGAACCATTGCTGCTGATCCAGACATTAAGTGATCCAATAGAAGCCCCATACATATGATACCAGAACTTCAAGCAACGTCCTGATGCACCTGTTGGTTGGAATTCTTCAGACTCCATCCTGGCCTTGTGATTAAGCAGACGTGGACTTGATGTTTCGATATACATATAGTACCCTACCAGGATGAAATAAACAAGCTGCATCAGCATTTCTGTTTGTAGGATGCAGCTAAAATAAACAAGCTGCATCAGCATTTCTCTTCATAGTATGCAGCTAAACTTAACAAGCTGCATCAGCATTTCTGTTCGTAGGATGCAGCTATAAAATGGCACCTACCTGTTCATTTCATATTCAGGATAAACAAGCAACATTAACTGCCCCTGTTGTCTAGCAACAAAAAGCTAAAATAGCCAAAGCTCATAAACCCCTCCACAATTCTTCCTTCAGCAAAGATCACAAAATAATGATGAACTTAACCATTGAAAAACATACACTAAATGCAATGTTTTAAGCTCTTTCAAGGCAACCATGTGCTTTTCAATACAAAAATAAAGCAAACAAAACATTTTCACAATGACAAGTCCGCAATTTAAAGTCAATTTCCATATAGGCATAGCCTTTTCCTTTTTCTTACAGATGCCAAAATGCAATATAACAAACAGAGCTTCTTTCTCTCTTTCTGCACATGAAATGCTGTAACTTCCAGAGGAGAGAGGGTTTTTCTAACCAATGCAGCATCAGAAATGTTATGTGCCAAGCCAGCACTCACACCTTAACAATCCTTCAAGGACATCTGTAATCGTCTTTCTTCACCTCCTTACCCAAAAATGTTTACTTATTGCTACATGTATGATCTTACTTTTCAGCTATTTACTCACCTCCTTTTGTCTTTGTTGTGTGATCAGTAGAAGGACCAGTGCCCAAGCTACTTGTTTCACCATTATACCGCACCCAATCAAAATCATCCTTTTGTGCCACATTAACCCAGGTACACATGCCAGTCTCAAAATTACAATCACCAGGGGGTGGGCAAGCATTGTCCAGTAAAATTACATCATCAATGGCAATGTCACCCTGATAACTGCTTCCTGCTACTCCTTCAAATACTATTTGGTAATCACTTACAGATGATACAGTTACCTGAAAAGAAAAACAAATTCATGACAGTGGACTTTTTTCCCCTTTACAAACTAGAGTTTCTCAGATTCCATAATTAACAATAATTATCAAAAAATGAGACCCTTTGCAGCACAGATAATAGAAGGAACAAAATAGAAAAGGGAAGCTGATGATATTTGCATAAAGATATCCTCCAGAAACTATTAACACACTTTTGTACTGGTTTTAACAGAATTGAAAATTGTAAAAAAAAAAATGAATTGAATTATGATAGTTTTACCTGCGCAACCCTCCAGCGGTTTCCATGGTCACCTGATCTGGACCACTGTAGAAAGTAGGTGGGTTGACCTTGAACCAAACGTCTAATACGGACATTTAATGTTCCAATGCTACGTCCATACATATGGTACCAAAACTGCAAGCATTTTCCGTTTGTCGCACCGTATCTGGGGCTTAACAGCTGTGCCTTGTCCCCTGTTTTTCTTGGAAAGGAGGTTTCAATAAACATGTAGAATCCCTTTGCTGTCCCAAAAGTGTGGTCAAAAGTTGGACCTGTTCCAGAGCTGGATGTGGAACCACTCTGCCTTGTCCAGTCAAAGTTATCAACACTACAATCATATGCACCAAAAAGGAATAATGAAGAAAATGGGATTCTTTTGTCAGAAGGTAGGATATATCATTTTTACCGTGGTACTTCTTTACCAGCACAGATCTTTTTAGCCTACTCTATAACAGCTTTTACAGCAACTACACCCCAATACTTTTGACTTAATATTTCAATGTGTACAAAACACCTCAACAACACAGAAAAGTGATTGCAATGATAGGGCCACCAGTAATTAACAAACTCACTACAGTCTGACAAAAGTACCTCTTTTCATCTGACCATCCACATAAGCCAGTTTCTTCGAATGCACATTCTTTCAGAGGTGGACAGAAGCCATCTTTGACAGCAATATCATCCAATGAAATGTCACCCAAGTAATTCTTTCCTCGCACTGCTTCAAAAACAACCTGTTAAGGTCAATCAAGATTTCTCAATGACAAGACCATCATTTCAAAAGTGATTTCACAGCAGCTTTGTTTATCAGCACAACAAATAAATGCAATTTGCACTGTTTGAGTGTTCATTAAGAACTGAATGTTATAGAATTCTCTGCCAACTACTTAGAATTTTCTGGCTTAATTTTAATGAAGGGGGCTATTCTTTGTTGACAAATGGGAAATATCATTTTTTTACTTTAACCTTAAAAGAGCAAGAGAACCATTATCTCCGAAACCCTTCAGTGTAACTAGGATCCAATTTCTCTTCACAGTATCACCACTGGATCTAACATTTAGTCCTGAGAATGAAAGCAATGATTATGCACCAACTTAAAAACTGCTCATTTCCTACTTAAATTGCATTCTCATTGTCAGTACCACAGGGAATGTATAGAGAACAGTGTAATACAAATATGCCTGGTGATGTAATAATGTAAATGTTTATACAACTGTTTTGCTGGAAGGAAGATTTAACAAATTCATGGTGTAACCCTTTTGCTTATGATAGGATCATATCACTTGTTAGAACAACTTGGATATAAAAAGAAAACATAGAATACCATTCCCTAACCTGGTAGTTTAGAGGCTGCCTGACAAAGACTTGGCCATATTTCCATACATTTGCTTGATTTCCTTTCTTTTGCCAAATGGCTGTGCCAAGAGATCCTCCAACCTTCGTGTACACATTCAGGGAGTTAATGTCAGCACCGTACATGTGATACCAGAAAGAGATGCATGTTCCAGGTCTTGTGTTACTTTGAAGTGTGGGACTGATCAGTCGAGCTGTGTCATTCAGTTGCCTGGGATATGAGGCTTCAGCATAGGCATAGGTACCATTTCCTGAAAATACACAACAAATAACCATATTTATACACTATACTAGTAGTCACATATAGCTGTCCAATTTACAAAAACAAATCATTGCATCATACAGAGTAAAATTATAATTCGCTGGCCACAAATTAGGCATGGATCTTATTGTACCAATTTACTGCATTGGACTCCATCTTTAAATGAGCCAGAGCATCAAAATTTAGTTCATTTCTAAGTAATAAAAGAGATAATGTAACTCCACAAACTACAAGAGCTTACCCAGTATTACCAGCATGAACTCACTAGGGTTATTTCTTCACCCTTGGAATGGCATACTAGTGCTATGAATAAATAACTCCAGACATTTTGTTGAGTTTTTGCTAACAGGTCAACTGAAACCATTTACAATCCTGAGTTAGGAACTGGTACAGCATGATTCAGCAACTTAAGCACTTTAGCCACTGTGTATCCCACATGAAGAGTATCAATTCCTGCCTAGACTGTACCTGTTTTAAGAGTGTGATCAGTGGTTGGCCCAGTGTCTGTTGATGATGTTGGTCCGCGATGCCTGGTCCAGTTGAAACTGTCAGTTGAATCTTGTGTCCAAAGACAAAAGCCACCTTCAAAGTCACAGTCAAATTTCCCCTTGGGTGGAATTGTTGTAGGCCCAGTTGTAGCTGGCAGAGTTGGTGGAGGTGTCGGTTTAGCATTGTGTGGCAAAACAGTACAGGCTCCAACTGTAAATGCGATGTCATCAATTGCTATATCCCCTCGATAGTCACTTCCTCTGATGGCCTCAAATACAACCTGTAAGAAAAGAAAATTTGCACTAACAATGTGAACCTATCACTGGTGCATGACTCAAACCTCACACACCTTATCAAGGTAGTATGAGAGAGTCCACATATGAGCCAAAACGTTTCTTAGCTGTAAGATAAGGTACTGCAGTTTAGGCTGATCTGCCTAAAGCTGCTCATCTCTACAAAGGACATCTTTGTATTGTTTCCCATACAGTAAGCAAGCAGATCACTTCCTTACTCATGCTCTCCAGCATAATCAGTCAGAAAGCAGCCACGGTTTCAACCACAATGACAATTCTTCAAAGTCTTTTATTGCAAATTGAAATATTCTGGATGAAAAATTTTGTTCTTCTGGGAAAGAATATGCTACTCTTAAAAGAAACATCACCTCAAGATAAGAGACAGTCCTGAATCCTAGAAACAGGAAGAACACTGTTTTCATTTCCAATCAGAAACCATTGTGGACGTTAATCAAGGAAGTGCCTGAATACAAGCCATTCCAAATTCCTACCTGATATCCACTTTGCGCACTCACAACAGGGGCCTGCCCAAATTTCCATTGATCTAATTGGTTGCCGGAAAGTGTCCACACAATATCCTCAGACCGATTGCCTGCACCAGTCTTGACTAAAACATTTAGGGTACCTACTGAAGGACCATACATGTGATACCAAAACTTAATGCAAGAGCCACCTGTTGGTTGGAAGCGTTCACTGTACAGTCTGGCCTTATCTCCTGGTCTGGTTGGTGCAGATGCCTCCATAAACATGTATTTTCCAATACCATGTCCTGCAAAACAATCATAAATCTTCAATATTTATCTTGTTCAGAATAAAAATTAGAGGAGGAATCATAAAATGTACTGTTTATGCTGATACAACCTGGCTAGTAGACAGCCTTTTCAGTTGCAAATGTGTGTACATGTTTCTTCCCTGCTGTAAACAACTACACCATCTCAGTCATCAGACAATGTGCATTAAAATTGCGTACATCAAACATACTGTAATTCAAAATTGAGTGAAACATTAAATCCTTATGATGGGAAGTTTTACAAAGATACCATACTGCAATCACATTGGAACCTACTAGGGGAACGAAAATATTTTGAGATTCCAAGGAGTTTGAGATGACCTGAGAGAGAGAGAGAGAGAGAGAGAGAGAGAGATCTCAAACAAACTTACCTAAAAATGTACTTCAAGGAAAAAGGCTTAAAGTTAAAGTGCATTAATAATAATAATAATAATTAATGGAACAAACCTGTCGTATGATCAACAGCAGGCCCAGTAAAGGCTGATGGTGTGCTGCCACTACCAACTAACCAATCAAAGTTGTCCTCTCTCTTGTCATTTGTCCATGTACACCAGTCATCTTTCTCAAAGTCACAATACCCTGCCTGATTACAAGGTCCATCCATGAGCTTAAAGTCATCAATTGCTATGTCTCCAGTGTAGCTTGTGCCACGTACACCCTCAAATAACACCTGCCAAACAGATTTAAATCACACAATTGACAATAATGTTAACTAGAATTAAATAGTGGAAGAGAGCACTTGTTCCAGTCTCCAGAACCCCTAAAAGGATACTCTTCTGGGAAGCAATCAAAAAGTTTAGATAGGGTGTCTAAAAGTTGTGCTTGCAATCTTACCAAAATATTACCATCCTCGTTATGCCAAAACATAGGATATTAGATGGTTGAATGTCTGTATCTAGAAGTATAACTTTTGAACTGTATACTTTCCAAAAGCACTATAATGTAGTTGAGATACAATTGAACTAAGTCTCCTAACTATTTCAAACAACTCAAATACATTGTGTCAAAATAAATTTTTTACATAATTTTTTCATATTGAATTTTACCAGAGTTTATGAAAATTACAGCATTTGAAATTTATCCAGCTACATTTCCCACACTTAGCACAATGTTGTAGTTAACATAGCTATCTTCAAGACAACCAGTCAAACTTACATTAACATAGTTAGGGATTGTGATGGATACTTGAGCAATATACCACAAGTTCCCTTGATCTCTCTGTCGTGACCAAGCAGGAATAGATGGAACTGTTTTTGATGTCATGAGGTAAACATTAAGTTGACCAATACTGCTCCCATACATATGGTACCAGAACTGAAAACACTTTCCACTCTGTGGGTTAATCTTTGGACCTATCAACCAGGCTTTGGAGTTAGGGGCAACAAATGATGTCTCAATGAAAAGGTAATGTCCTGTAAATACAAAGCAACAAATACATTAAAATTTAGTTTTATTATTTGCACCTAGTACACAGAGAAGCTTTTCTCTCACTTAAAATTACAGGCATTCAGTGATGGTAGATTGATAAAAAGATGCAAGTTATTGTTATTGAAAATTTCCTACAACAACAAAAGGCCTTATTATATACATTTCAACCCACATAATATGAAAGACAATTACATATTAATAAGACATTAGCCTTGATTTAGGTGCTTAGTTCACCCCTTTCCGCCATACATGTACATCAATGCCAGTTCCTTTAGAAGGTTTATAAGTTATTCTATTGATATTTAAAGATATTTCCTTGTTACCTCTGCCATCCCTAAGGGTGTGATCACTTGCTGGTCCTGTGTTGATTGATGATGTGTTGCCTTGACCAAGACGCCAGTTGATATTAGCCCCAGGATATTGCTTCCAACCACACAATCTCAGCTGGGATACTGGACTTTCAAAGTCACAGTCCATAGTTGGAGTACACTGGCCATTGCTGAGCTGAATGTCATCCAGAGCAATATCACTTTGGTAACTTGAACCACGCACACCCTCAAACACAATTTTGTAAGGATTGTTATTTGTTAGCTCTACCTGACCATTCAACCATTTGTTGCCATGGGAGCCAGATTTGGACCAGACAGGGGAGTTAAGCTGGCCACCAGCATAGCGGTAGATGTTAAGTTGCCCTATGTGAGGTCCATACATATGATACCAAAAGGAAAGACACTTGGTCTGTGAAGGGTTAGTATTGACATAAGGAGAATGAATTCTTGCAGTGTCACTAGGCTTCCTCGGGAATGATCCCTCTATGTAAACATACCATCCACGTGCTGAAAAGATAAACAAAATGCATGGTTACAGTCTCATATCTTAATTATTTCTTTCTCATCTTATTTAGAATCATTGGCTTTCAAGAGCCCTGGAGATGATATGAATGCTGTTCATATTATCTCTTGATTGCTGTTGCATTTTTGTAAATATTAAACAAAGACAATTATTACACTTAAATTTCAAAACTAATTCAATCTGTGCCTTTTTCCTGATTCTTTGCTTAGGGTTAGTTGGAAGAAGAAGGATGAAGAGAGCTAGATCAAGAAAGAAAGCAATGCAAAGTGTGTGGTTATAGACTTTGTGCTTCTGGAAGATAGCTACTGATCTGCATATATAAATTATCATGGGCTCCCACACTGAGATTCTTAACTCATACGTCTCTGAAATCACCTTTTTTCATCCAACTCTCCTATTACAACTCAGTTAAAACACTTTCTGGTAATAGCAGACTGATTGCAACCAAAAACCTTTGCAATAAAGTGAAATTTATTTTTGAAGATAAGGTGCAATATGTGCTCAAAACAAGGGAAACTTCTCTTTTTTCAAGTATATAGTATTTTCTGATAGTGAATCAGATAATCTCTGTTTTGACTTACTTGGTTGCCACCTGAACTGCTGATCCTTGTTATCACAAGTTGTATTGAGGAGAAGCTTGCCATCATTTACTGCCTTACCACCATATGGAGTCCAACATTTGCTTGTTGGTAGATGCTGTATTGAACCTTTGGAGGTGAATTTCCACTTTTCACTGCACTTGTCATCTAACACAACATCATCAGCATTGACACCAGATCCCCCTCTTCGTCGCAGACACATATTGTACTTGGTATATTTAATATAACCATCAGATGTTAGCTGAAACTCCAAGCGACTCTCTCCACATCCATCATAAGTCACTATAACAGTGCCTGGGGTTGGTTTACGAAACCCACCCAAATAGACATGTATACACTTTGCAGATAACTTGTGTTGAAGAGACCCTGGACCATTGGGTCCTACTACTCCTTGTTGTTTGGTGTGATCTGCCGTTGGGCCAGTCCCTCCAGAATATGTGCCACCTTGATGTCGTGTCCAGTTAAAGATGTCTGTTATGTGCTCTTGGGTGTAGTTACAAAAGCCACTTTCAAAGTCGCAGTTGTACAATGAAGGCGCAATGGTGGGTGGCAGGGTGAACTGGGTGGTAGCTGTGGGCATTGAAGTTGTTACAGGGTTAGGATCTGCATTAGCTGGGAATGTGGTACAATCTCCACTTGTTATGAGAATATCATCAATGGCAATATCTCCACGGTAACCAGTACCACGTATTCCTTCGAAGATGATCCAGAAGTCAGAGCTTGGAACCTTGCTGAGGGACACTTTTCCATTTAACCACTTACTACCCTGCTGACCTTGCAAAGTCCACAGAATGTTTTCAGACTTGCTTCCAGATGTTGTCTTTTGCACCACATTAAGGGTTCCAATATCAAGACCATACATGTGGTACCAAAACTGAAGGCATGTTCCTTTGGCAGGAACAGCACTTAATGTCTCGCTGAAAAATCTTGCCTTGTCGCCAGTTTTTCTTGGTGATGAAGCTTCAATAAACATGTAGGTTCCGTTGGCAGAGTTAGTGGTGTGATCATTAGATGGCCCAGTGGTAGATGACAGTGTATTACCTTTGCCTTGTAACCAATCAAAGTCATCTCCCTTACGGGTGTTTCTCCAGGTGCATGTTCCCTTCTCAAAGTCACAATTTCCTACAAAGGGAAAAAAAATGTTCACATCACTTCCATATGATTTAAATATGAATTCTCTGCTGGTCCTTATTCTTTTTTCATTTTTCAACTGGAAGAAGTTTTGGTGTTCAATCTTTCTTTCTTCTCATCATCCTTCTGCTTGAAATGGAAACACATTGAAGGGAGAAACTCCTGTTTGGTCAACTTTGAGAGGGAAGAGGATAAGACAATAGATGTAGGACAAAAGTGGTCAACAATATAACAGAAAGTGATGGATGGTTCCAAAAAAAATGTACATCCTTTAGGAACTTGGAAACTATGGATTGAGGAATGATTGTTGTAAACTTCTATACATGATTGTTATAAAATTCTCAAGAAGTGTATTAAGACTGACAATTATATAACCTGTAATGGGGTAAGTGACATCATGAATATGCACACTGAGACCCTCCAATTTGTCATTTATGTGTCAGATTTTGACTGTTTGCTAACTGTACGGGAAAAAGCCTGAAACAAAAGCGCATGTTTGGCTTTGAACCTAGGAATTAAAGAGCGCAGTACCAAGCCTGTACTCACCAGGTGTTGGGCACTTGCCCGCAAATATTTCAACATCATCAATGGCAATATCTCCTGTGCTGCCAGCCACCTGACCTTCAAATGAAAGCCAAAATGGTTTTACAGGACTCCACACACTAACTTGTGCAACAAGCCACTCATCATCTTGATCCCCAGAGCGTCTCCAGATGCGAATACCCACTGAAGAACCTGTTTTCTTATACACTGCCAGAGTCCCTACCGTTGATCCATACATGTGATACCAGAACTTCAGACATTTGGCACTAACTTTGGGCATCTGAGGAGTCAGTAATCTAGCCTTTTTCCCACTTTGAGCAATTGAACTGTCGATATACATGTAAAACCCTGGATGTATTCAGACAAAATTTTAAGCTTGTGAGTATAATTATACAGAAAGTCCAACATGGGCAAATGGTGACAGGCTGGGTGTGAGATCTTGATCGAAGTTTAAAGGGGGTAAGTTTCTAAAGAATCTGTGCTGCTGCATCAGTAGGGGAGCATAACAAGATAATTGTGGCTTTATCAACTGAGATGATGATGTAAATTCAGGGCGTGAAATTAATTTTTTTTTCTGATAGCCACTTGGCTCCTAAATTCATCAAAGTGGTAGCCAATTCAAAAAAAGTTGGTCGCCATTTTGAAAGACAAACAAAACCTTTTTTTTACGCTGTCGTCATTCTAGAAATTAAGTTAGGGAAAAGATCTTTAACGTGCTACAAAGGGGACACTAGGATGGATGATATGCAATGTTTAAGCTCACCTAAATCCAAGATGGCGTCTAGTTATCGATCGAGATGCATCTGCTGCATTTGGAAACAAACTTAACGAGGAAGTTTGCTGCGCATTTGTCTTTGCAAATCTTTTTAATTCATTATATCTCTAGGTAAGGTTATGATGAAACATTCTAGTCGCCAATTTGGCGACTAATTTTCAGGATTTGGTCGCCAAAGTGAAAAATGTAGTCGCATTGGCGCCTGTATTAGGCGCAATTTCACGCCCTGAAATTGGCTACCATAAAGATTGAGTCTCAAAGCTGATGTTTTAAGTGTTAGCCCTTAGTCATCCACTCTGCTCGAATTGTCAGCTTTGAAACTCTCTGCAGTGGCTAATTTACATTATTAACTCAGTTGTCAAAACCAAAATTATCCAATTTTCTATCACCAGTTGTTTAAGTATCTTGTGTTTTTTAAATAATATTGCTGTAGAGGAGAGTAAAGTCGAAGTTCCTTACAAAAATATATAACTGTTATTAACATTTTTTCTTGTAATTGTGAATAGCCTTCCAGTCTCAAAATTATTAGTGTCAGTTTTCAACAGCAGAGATAGGACTACTGGTAACATTTTCTCTGCTAGACCATAGAATACCTTCTGATGCTCAATAGCATTATTTGCATATATAATAATATTGATAGGCAGTGAAGAGAAAGCATCTTCACCCTTTCCCTTAGAAAAGCTAAGTGTCACCACAGACATACCTGAAGCTGATCCTAATGTGTGATCAGCAGCAGGCCCAGTGTTGGGGGTAACTGTTGCTCCACTGCCACGAGCCCAATCAAAATCATCCGTTGTATCCTGTTGGTAACCACACATGTGACTTTCTTCAAATGTGCAGGTTGCTGCAATGTCCAATTAAAACAATTCGAACAGTCAATCAAAATTTAGCCAGACATGAAAACAAAACTTTTCTTACATAAAATTTCACTGACTTCCATTATACTACAATTCCCCACACGTTGACGAGTTAATTCACAGCCAATTTGCAACTTCTCATTCTTTAACTTCCAAGCTCTGATTGATAATTCTCTCCTTAGCTGCTACATGTTTCCTTGCTAATTAGTTACAAGAATTTGGTGTTAGATTAAGATAACACCTTCTATCAAATAAGTTTGAGTATTCTTATAGGGAGAAGTTACATGCTAATCATCTCTGGAATTTAAGGGTAAAAGTTAATGGCGGTGGACAGAAGGAAAAATGTGGAGCCACAGTAATTTTATAGAGATAAGAGTGGTTCAATCATAATTTTTCCAACTGTTTACCTTTTTAAACCCTAACATCAGTATTCATACTCTCTATATTCTTCTCTAAACATTTCCTTTGGTACTAACAAGGACAATTGCTTAAACAAGCGAGACTTCTTAAGTTGGTGATCAATTCCTCTATTTTCATGATCTTTGACTACAAGGGGAAATTAGGTGCTTGACACCCTTAGAGTTTTAAGGTTTTAATTTGGTTTCAGGGCTGTTTCATTATTGAGCTTATTAAGAAGCAATAAACCTCAAACAGCAAATAGTATAAATGTGGCAGTCAGTTATGCTGTATTTTTGAGCCTGCTCTGAGCACTTATTTTGTCATGGGCAAAGTAAATATTAGTCTCTCCATTCAAAGTTCCTTCCTTTGCCTTTCCAACCCCTTTCCAACCCCTTCAGTTTCTCACAAATATGACAGCATGAAGATTCCTAGGCAATTCTGTGCAAGGCTCATGGCTAGGTTGTGAGATATCCTGTGCAGCCATACATTGAATAGTTTAGTGTCTTAGGACATTGGAAAACCAGAAGCCCATGAACATCTCAGGCATTTTTTAAGGATGAACCAGGTGTTAATTAATTTTACATGTTGTCCAATACATACTTGAGTCATGGTTGCAAGGTCCATCTGTCATAGAAATATCATCCAAAGCAATGTCTCCTTGGTAACTTTTGCCAACTGAAGCAGACATTACAATCTGTAAAGAAATGCAGGGTTGCAGAAAATAGCTAAAGGTTTTTACTTTTTCCTTTCTGCTTACTTATCACCCACAGTTAGTGTTTCACACCACTTTTATGTTTTTCTGTGTCGTTCACTAAAACTGTTATCTACAATACCATTATTTTGTTCCATTCCACTCCAATACATAGGCTCCTTTCATTACTAGAAATAACAGACCTCACAAAATGCCCCAAAGAATTGCACAGTTTTAAAATGAATATTTCACATCAAGTTTACCTTAAAATGATCTCTACTGGTCACAGTTGCTCGGCCTTGAATCCATTTGTCTCCCCGTGTTCCTGTCTTAGACCACAACATTGAATCATGGGCACCTGTCCTGACATAAACACTAAGGGTATTGATGTCTGCTCCATACATGTGATACCAAAATGACAAGCACTTTCCTTTGCTAGCAGTAGTTCCTGGAATAGAACTACTAATAAGCCTTGCTGTATCATTCATCTTTCTTGGCCAAGATGTTTCAATGTACACATACCAGCCATTACCTGCAAACCAGTTCACCAAAAGAATGTCAACATAACTAAGGAAAGACACAATAAGCAATCGCTGTCTCTCACCAACAAGTAGACATCAGGGCAGATGTCTTGCCAATGTCAAAGTAAATTCTAAGTAACAAGTACCTGGTGGAAGTGAAACATTTCATTATTTTATTGTTTAAAAATAGCATCACTGTTATCACATTACTAACCATTTCCTTTTGTATGGTCAGCAGAGGGGCCTGTTGATGATGATGTGGTAGAGCCCGCCCTCCTTGTCCAGTCAAACTGGTCTGTTTTGTCTTGTGTCCAGGTACAAATGTCTGATTCAAAGTCACAGTTTATGCCACCATTTGCTGCAGAGAACATTTTATACACATAAGTAAGGAACTTCAGAAAAAACTGATGATATGATTTGAGTTCAATATGCTATATGAGTTTGGTCACTAAATAGCCTACCAGGCACAATATAATTATACAGAATAGCAGACAGGGACATAGTTCAACTCTACAGCCAAAAAACAAACAAATATTGTGTGGGAAGGAAAGAAATGCTTCTACATTGATAACCTAAGATAATAAAAAGTTCATTGTTTACATCAAGTTTACAGCTGTGAGCAAAAAGAGTTTCTTGCAGCTCTTGTAGTCAGATCAGCATAATAAAAAATTGTTGCATATTTGAACATGATATTGCAAAGAGATTCCTACAGCCTCCAAGACCCAACCTCAGGCAAATTTAAACCATTAACTTCCAAAGGTTGCCAAGCTTACAAGCATTACAAGACTCTTCCATTTGCATTATTTGATTTTGAGTTTTATTGCATGATAGAATGTTACTCCACAAAAAAGGCACTTAAGAAAGTACACAAGAAGGTAACTTACGAATAGGCGTTGTTGTGGCTGATGAAGTTGTTGGAGCTGCAGTGGTAACATAGTTCGGAGCAGCCGCTGTTGGACTCAGTTGACAATTGATTCCTGGAAGGAACCTAAAGTCATCAATGGCTATATCTCCTTGATAACTAGTTCCCCTGATACCTTCAGCAATGATCTGTTGTGTGTATAAAAAAAAATTAAAGCTCATCAGTACTGGCAGGGATGTGCTAATCTATCAAATCCTGAATGTCACAAGAAAGTGGCTCTTGTCTTTGGGTAACTTGCTAAACTTAACCTTCATGAAAGCTTCCAATTTTAAAAACTACTAGGAACTGATAAATGCTTTACTTTTCTTATTACATTATCTGATTCTTTCTCAATCAAACTAGAGAATTTAGTGAACAAATAAGAAAACTCCCTCTGGCTGATTTGCTGGTTTATTCACATCACCCACTAGTTGACACTAGTACAAAATTGAGAGCTACAGCTGTATTCACCCCAGATCTCAAACAAAAGAGTCCCTTCAGGTCTCTTATAATTAAACTGAGGGAGCTTTGACTGGCAAACAACATGCACTATAACCCTTAGCAGTAACAAATACATGTACAGCCACTTATTACAAGCAATAACACATTCTCATTAGACAAGTGACACTCAGTAAAGCCCTAACCATTATTCTGTTTGTTTATAGAAAATTTACCAAATCTTCTGTATTCCTTGTTTTAAATTGTGTTTTTGTCAGTCTATTCGAAAGTTGTTATCATACATTACCAAATCAAACCTCAGAAGGAAAAAAAATAAAATAAGGAAAAAAGAGACTCTTCTAGACAAAAACATTTACATGACTGACATATTGGTTGAAACTGCCTTCTAGCAGAATCTTTTGCTTCCCAAGGCTGGTAATTATAACATTATTAGAGGCTGCTAGTAAAAGGGGGCTGACAATGTTTGGCTACCTTATATTTAGCTTGATTTCCAACTGGCACTTGTCCATTAAACCATTGTCTTCCTTTATTTCCTGAGAGGGTCCAGATGAGTGTTTCAGTATTACCAACTACTTGGTAAAGATTGAGGGTGCCAATGCTTGAACCATACATGTGATACCAGAAAGTAAAGCAGTTCTTGGAGGCCGTTCCATTAAATTGTGTACTGACTAATCTTGCTTTGTCACCTTGTTTTCTAGGACTTGATGTCTCAATGAAGGCGTAGGCACCTAATGACGAGAAAGAAGAAAAAGCAAAGAAGAAAAAGAGTTGTTTCCTTGCACAATTTTACTTTTGTTCTCACCAGATAGGTGGGAATAAATGGGAAAGGTTTAAAGGACTATGACACACTTGTATCTACTTTCTACAGTAACTATAGCCTTGTACCTTGAGAAGAACCCAGGCGATCTGTATCAGGACCTGTAAAGAAACTTGGTGTTTGTCCTGATCCCCTGATCCAATTAAAATCATCACCAGCCATGTTACTCCAAGTACAGAAGTCATTCTGGAAATTGCAGTCCCCTACAGTGAAGATCAAAGTAACTCAGGACTTTATTCTATGCTATGTATGGATTCAAGGTTGATTGTATGAAGTTGTAGCATGTTTTAATGTTACAACCCTTGTTTTATGACATATGAAGAACTAATTTAAAGTTTTGCCTTTGTTTTTTGCCTCTTGTCTATGACTGGTAATTAAGGCAGTTAACCTTCTGTCAGAAAAATTGCAGGTTTCTGTACTGAGCAATAATCATAGACCAATCCATCTTTTAAGTATGCCATAAGCCATGATACAGGAAAAAAGAGGTACACTAACCAGGATTTGGACAGTGGCCTGAAGACATGGAAATATCATCAATAGCAATGTCACTTTTGGCACCATTTCCTCTTACTCCTTCAAAAACAACCTGTAATACCAAAAAAAAATTATCAACATGCTTAAAATTGTCTTATCTGCCACTGAAAGGGTTAAGAGGCAAGTTTTTTAACAGTGAAAAAAATGTAAGCAATCATAGTCAAATGAATGCAAAACCAATATTTAATAAGAAAAGAACTTCTGTCAGTAAGTCAAAAGTAAGGTTAATGACAAACTCATAACTTAGTTGCAATTTTCCCACAGTTTTTGGGAGTGGAGAAATAAATCACATATTTAACATAGCAAGTAGCAAATATCATATTAAGTTTTTCATAATTACATCTAGTTTGTGGTTTTGTTGTTTGCTCTTAGTAAAAAAAAATTATCTCAAATGTAATTCATCAGAATGAAACAATAATTGTTGTCAGTGCTAATCATGACAGCTTGTTCCCAAAGTATTTCAGGCATCCACAATTATTTGCAGATGATTGGAGTAAAAAGAAAAAGTACCTTTAGTTTGTCTTGGCAAAGTAAGTTTAGAGGCAAGTACCATTAACCCTTTCACTCCCAGAAGTGATGGACATAAATTTAAACTTCTCCCTACAATATCCATACTTTCTTCAGCAAACAAGTAATGAGAATATTCAAACTTATCCGGTAGAAGCTGCTATCTTGATCTAGCACCAAGTTCTCATTTGATAACTAATTTACAAGGGAATGTGTAGCAGCTACAGGGGAGAATAAACCATCAGATCTTGGGAGTTGAAAGGTTAAGGATAACAATACATTTTAATTCATGGAAACAGCTGGTGACCTGACAACACTACAATCTGTGGTTCTAAAGTTTCAAACACTGTTGAGAGCTAAGATAACCAAACTTACAGTAAATTGGGCTGTACTGTTGAGTGTGACACGTCCTTTTAGCCAAGTCCTCTGAACACCCTGGTCACCTGAGACAGTCCAAATTGCATTTCCAAGACTATTTCCAACTTTCTGATAGACATTGAGTGTACCAAGGCTTGAACCATACATCATGTACCAAAACTGAAAGCAACTTTCTGTGACTGTAGCCTTCTTGTATGTTCTCATGATCCTGGCTTTATCACCATTGTTCTGTCCTGAAGCTTCAAGTAACATATAATAACCTGCAGAGAAACAAAAGGAAAGTTACCAAGTAAGCATTTTACACTTACCACGTTGACAGCATTAGAAAACATGCTGCCATATTGTTTGCAACCAAGCCCGGGCTGAATCACACTTTTAAGGCTATTGGGCAACATACTCGTACAGAAGCCATCTCCACCCTGGAACAGAATCTGAAAATTGCAACCAGCTGCTCAACAATGTGACTGAGTCACTTCACTGTTGGTAACTAAATTCTAAAAGTTGTCTCCAGCAGGTAATTTATTTGAAGTCTCATCAACCTTCTTAATGTGAACCAACACACAAGGAATGACACGACACCAATAAACAATAGTAAATGACAGGAAAACCCTCACCAAGGTGATTGAGCAATCAACTGATTCTCCCATGCAGGTTTGAAAAATCTAGTTATCATAAGGTTTCACTGAACAGAATATTTTGGGAACTTACCAAGAATAAGCCTAGGTGATAATCAAAATTACCAAGAAATCATCAATATCAACAGCAGTTTATCTTATTAGCAATCAATTAAATCATAAAAAAATAAAACCTTACCCAAACTAGATCCATATGAGTGGTCAACAGTTGGTCCTGTTCCTGGAGTGGGTGTGGAACCCTTAGTTCGTATCCAGTCAAAGTTATCTGTGTTGTCCTGAGTAAAGCTACAGCTATCATCTTGAAAGTTACATGGGTCACCTAGGAATAAAAAAAGAAACAAAAGTAGTGATCTACATCTCTACCTGCACTTTTGCTGCCACTTGCACATGGTACATAAGGCCTGAATGCTTTAACATGAACAAAAATTGACTTCACTTAATATTTAATGACTGCATGCCTCTTAAAACAGTGAATAATCTCTCTCTCTCTCTTGCAGGACCTCCTCAACTTCTACCTCAGGGATCTGGTTCAAGCACTGTAGTGCCCCAAGCTCACTTCTCTACCTCTTTTTTTTTTGGCCACCAAAACTTATGAAATAACCCCCAAAAAAATGTTATATTAATTGAATGCAAAAACAGCATGATACCACCACATCCCTGGTATTTGAATGGACCAACACGTTGGCATCCCAACTACCATGAACACATTCAGAGAGGCACATTAGACCACTAGGCTTAATTCTTGAGAAAGCAAGTTGGAAGACACAATATTATCAGGAAACAGACAGTACATCAAACAGTGTCCCATAACAGCCCCATAAGCTATTATCTTATCTGAAGGAGTGAAAGATTCATAGCCATGTTCTATACTACTAAGAACAAGCATCTAAGATTTTCTACAAGTCGTTTTTTTTTTCCAGGAAGTGTACACATTTTGTCTACAAATAACACTCACCAGAGTAATCACATGATCCAGTTGCCAACTGAATGTCATCCAAAGCAATGTCTCCTTTATCATTCCCTTCTGCTGTTCCTTCAAAAACCAGCTAGAAAAGGCAAGAAAAAACATTGATCAAATTACACTCAGCCACATGAAAATAAAGACAATATTATTATGTTCTATCTTTTTTTACAAATATGACCAGAAAATTGCCATACCCTTATTATCTGGCTAAAAAACAGATTCACAATATATGACCAGCAAAACTTTAATTTCTAACTAAATTAACTTTCTATAGTTTGTACAAAATTATACGATAAAGACTGATTGATACCTAATTCATTAGCCTATAAATGAAATCAAAGATGTTTGTTTTAAAAACTGTTGGCAAGTTATTGTGCACATCTATCCTTGCCTTAAAACTTCCTATCCTTGCCTTTTAAAATTCCTGGAAAAAGGAATTCCTTTTTTTTTCCATGCTCAAGCATGAAAAAAAGGTCAATGTTATGAAAGCCAATGTTATGAAAGCCAATAGGAAAAAACTTACAGAATAAGACTGGCTCATTACAACATCAACTTTGGCCAGCTTCCACTTGTTTCCTTGTGTACCATTCTTTGACCAGATAGGAAATCCCAAAGATGTTGTGTTAGCATACACATTAAGTGATGCTATGTGAGGCCCATACATGTGATACCAAAACTTCAAGCACTTAGTGGTTTTTTGGGACACAGAAACCAATGGGCTTGAGATGCGGGCAATATCTCCATTCTGCTTTCCATTCACCTCAACATACATATATCGACCTGCAAGAAACATACAAGAAGGCAAATGTAATTAGTCAATTAACCTTTCGAGGCTGCTAATATGTTTGGTGAAAAGTGAATATTTGGCTGAGAAGCAAAGCCTCAGGGGCAAATGTGAAATTTTTTGGACAATCTCTCAGCCAAGGATGTTATCAGCCAACATACAAGCGAGCCAGGAGGGGGTTTATTCATTTTATAACCCTCCCAATAATTTTCATGCTATGCCTTGACAGCAGAATTTTGTTGATTTTTTTCTGGAACAGTATTTGATATCAGCTTTTCAATGTCACTAACACTGAACTCTACAAAACAAGTTCATTTTGGTTTTCTTCCATGTTAAGTAATAAAGATGAAAATGAGAAGCTCTTGAGCTGGCTTCTTGAGTTGGCTTCTTCCCCTGGCTTTGACTTGTTTGTTTTTTCAATGGAAATAGTGGGAGGTTATTGTAAGATAACTGTACCATGATCTTGTGCCATGTGATAAGTGAGTTATAATACAAAATGCCCCCCCCCCCCCTCAGGTCAAGAATTCAGACCTCTCTCCTGGCATCCAATGCACTAACTGTTTGCCACTGTCTCTCATACAACCCAGCCACAATTAAATGATGCACATTTTACCTGTAAACAAGAACACAGATGTTGTATTGGTGTTCTGAGTACCAAGACCTTGTGATCCACAGTTAAGAGAAGGTCCATGTTTATTGTATCGCAGATCAGCCTCTTCATCCGCGTAGCAACGGTAATAAGAACCATAATTCCTGATACCAATGCCTTGAAGGTTTTTTTTATTATTTTTTTTAAATGTCTTTGCTTCAGTAATGCACTGTTGGATAACATTTGTTCCCCTGACTGTACCAGGTAAGGTTACTCTAAAGATATGGTTTCCATTGTATGTTAGATAGCAGCCCAATGAATAAACACCTGAAAGAAGAAATGGAAAAATTAAAACCTGTCATATCAAATTCTTGTTAAATTCCTTTCTAGGGAATTTAGCCTGACACCCTTTCGAAATATTTCTCTTTCTAATTACTAAGCTGCCTCACATAAAGGTGAGGTACAGACACCTTTCTGAAACAGACATTTAGCATCAGTCTTGAACATCTTTTTCTAAGAGAGTTTCAAGTCATGGTCACTCACCATCCGGGACACAATTTCCCCATTTACCATCTTTGCTATAATCACTTGTGGTAGCACACCAAAGGAGAGAGTGAGCTACGGCTGTACATTGGCTATAATTTCTGGTAAGATATCTGAATGGAAACACACAATCTGCACCATTGGAGTTACCACCAATAGTTTTTACTGAAAAAATAGAGAAAGAAACATTATTTAGACATGTATATAATTATTAATAAATGCATATATATCTATATTGGAAGTCTGTGTTTTGATTTTTCTGTTGTACAATGCTTGATACCTAGAAGTAGAGCACAATAAATATTGAGATAGGGAAAAAGTTTTAAGTAGTTTGAAAGTATTACTTCATTAACTCCCCAGATCTGTATCCATACTCCCCCTTTTCCCATTTGTTCCTTGGGCAATTCTGCCTCCAACAAGATACAAAATGCCCCACCCACCTCAGGTCAAGAACACAGACCTCTCTCCTGGCATCCAGTGCACTAACTGTTTTGCCACTGTCTCTCATACAACCCAGCCCCAGTCTCCAACAAGACTATTGGAAGTTCTAGATTCTTGCATTTGCACATTTTTTGAGCTTTATGTAGCATTGAAGTTGTTCTCATCAAATATTTTCAAACACTTTGGCCTTTTCTCAGGAGAATTTTAGGCATGCAAGTAATAAAATGACATTTGAGAAATTGCTATTTGAAGTTAAGCTACACCTCCTTACAAGCTGATACATATTCCCACTACCCACCTGCTGTTAAAACCATTCTTACTGTCACTATAAACACAACCATTAACATAGGAAAATAAGGTTTAAAAGAAATCAGTTTATAGGTTTATTACCAACTAACAAAGTACAGTTGTGCTGAAACTGACTCAGTACTCACCTTTATTGGATTTTGGTGTATGATCTTTGGCAGGTCCTGTGCTTTTGGTATCTGTAGCACCATGATACCACCTCCAATCAAAGTTATCAGTCTTATCCTGTTTATAATTGCAAACACTGGACTCAAAGTCACAATTTTGTGCAGAGGTTCCTTTAAGGAAGAAGAAAAAAGGAAACCATTTTTAAAGGTGTTCTGAATGAGCAAAGAACTTTATTTGCATGTCTGATAATGGTGATCAAAATCAATAAACTAGACATTAGACACAATTTTTGCACAATGATTAAAGGCTAGCTGACATATAGGTTTCTTTCTTTGCATAGGTTGGCATGATAGGTAGGCTGGTCCTCACTCAAGAGTAATCACATTGTCATCTCTCTTTCCTAACCTGAAACATCTCCACTGTTCCAACTTTTTTTGTAATTGATCTTTTCATTATTTTGTGTTTACAAACAAATAACCTAGCATTTGGATAACACGCAAGCCATAATGCCTGGCTTTGTTTCACCAGATAGCAATATTTGGTTGCTAGTAGTTGATTTGAAGAGATGTTACAAAAACCTAGCAAAGGAGTTTTGCCCTAATGCTTCTTTGGAAGAAAATTCATAATATGAGCTGAGAAACTCATTTTGAGACAAGGAAGCAGGTTCACTCCAGAAAGACTAATGAGCTTTTTCTGAATTTTTCTTAAGTTATTTCAAGTCAAATCATGACCTGCAGGTAATTAATTCAAAATGTTTTGAACATGCATATCTTGGAAACAATGTCAACACTTGCGGTTACATATAAATTAAGCACGTTTATTATATTGGTGCCAGCGCCCGTGGGCAAGATGAAGCAAAACTAATGTTCGCATTAACTACGCAAGTAAGAAAATGTTTGGAGCGGACTTACAAAGTCCACAACTTTTGGTCAATGTCGGCGATGCAGTCGCAAAAAGCGGCAGAAGACAGTTAAGATAAAGAAAAAATAAACGACTTTCTGACGGTTTATTGTGCTGCAAACACAGTAGGTTTTGTTTCCTAGCTCTGGAAATCGACCAGCCATTCTTGATTCGTATTAGAGCGAATTTATTTGGTGTATAGTAAATCCTTTATTGACAAAGCTTGTTCGGTCAAGATGGCTAGATAGCAGCCTCATTCTTTTTCTACGGTTTTTGGACCTTGACTTCGTCTCGGTCCATAAAAACGCCAAAATAAATTCCGCCAGTATCAAGCCATCTTGACCTCACGCTTGATCAGTAACACATATGTATTTCAGGCATTAACCCGCGTCTTGTTTCACCAATTCTTGAGGAACGCATTCTTTATGTGTAAGCAGCACGTTAATGAAGAGGGACTTGGCTCGTTAGGAAAATGTAGCTCATTCACAAATAAACAACGAGTGCGTTCTGGAGATAACAAAAACCGCACGCACACCAGCGTTACACAGCCAATGAATTCTTGTCACGGTAACTGACTATTACCTTCAGTTCGATTTGTATCTTTCCAATTGGACGAAAAGCCACACACAAAAAAAACATGCAGGTAATCCAACCTAAGAACTCTGCGTTGTCCTAAAGCGATTTTCAACACTTATCTAGAGCCTGAACCCGATCAAAGTAACCAGAAATTACTGAACAGGAACGATTGGGTTAACTCCTAATCAAAATTTTCATCCGCTTTAGATCAGCAATGAAGCTAAATGGAAATAACAAAGCTAGTTCCACTTGACTGTGTCACACAAGACCTTCTAACTATTAAGCTTACCGTCCTACTGAAGATATTGAAATGCGAAATTACTCCCTGAATACATTTTGGATCAAAGTGAAACTCGATTTGCGATCTGTACAGCTGTTTAACAAAACTCCCTACCCTCCCCCAGTAGAGCACATTCTCAAGCTGACTTCTATAGTTTGGGCGTGTTAGAGTTTGTTTTTCAAACACAACTCAGAAACTAGGAAAAAACTAAAAGAAACTTAATAATCCCTTCCTCTTAGTGAGATAAAAGCATATACAGATAACCTTTCGAACAATTCCAATTACTTATTTTGTTAGGGACCCTTTATGTATACCATTCGTAAGTTACTCGCTCGCAAAGAAAGCCTTTTGGAGCCGCTATTAAAGAAACAGTTTACATAAACGAGATACATTTATTTAAAAATAATCTCGTCGCGATTAATTTCATCCAAATAAGCAGTATTGTTTGTTTTCCGTTTGCCGACATTGTGTCAGACTCTGTGGGCTGTTTGACCTTAGGGGAAAAGTAGCAATGTGCTCGCGTAATTTGATTACCAACTTGTGTCTTTGTCGAAGTCTTAATTGAAAAAGAAGGAAAATTTTCGCTATGTTCACCTATAAACAAAACGTGTAAAGGTGGTAGGATTATAGGCCGATAAATTTGAGCATGACAAATTCAAAGGAACATCCGACAGTATACTTGAAAACTGTGTAAGCTCGTACCATGCACGGAAAAGTTTTCAACTATCTTTGAACCGAAGAAAGCTTGTCGCGTTTCAAGATTAACTGGTTAAGCGAACGATCTGTTTTTTCCTGTCTTAACTTGTCTCTATAATACTTTCGAATTCTTGGCAATATTTTCGGCGTTATTTAAATAGATACTGATTTCAGTTAAATTGGTATTGATGTTGAAGTAGCTTGATAACGCAATAGTTTAAATGAAATTATTCCGATGATAAATTTTTAAAAAGCGCCGCGCCGACCGTTGTTCCAGTTCCTTATCGAACCATGGACATTTTACATACGTAGCTAATCGATTTTCCTATGTGTAAAACCAATTCCTCAAAATGTCCTTCCTAACTCAAAGAAAAAATAGATTTACTGTAGTTACTCACCTGATACGCACAACACAATGACCACGAGCAGAGTAGCTCGTTGCATTTTTGGAGAGCTCTAGGATGTTCGCCGATAATCCTCAACTTCCTCAAAGAATTGCAGCTTTTTCTAACAAATCAAAACGCTCAAGATTCCAGACCTACGAAAAGAATGTTCACAGTTAGCCAACATTTCCGTGGTAATGAAAGATGTGACAATATTAGCTTTATTATTCTTGAAAATATATTGAACGGAGCAAAAATAGACAACATGTGAACAACATTGGAAAACAGTACATTTGTGTATGGCACATGAAGTACCGAGCTCTGAGGGGGGCATTGGATTTCACAAGTGAGTCCTGAGTTCAGTATTTCCATCAAAAAATTCCGACGTAAATATTCAGCGAGATCTGAGATAGAGAAGTTAACTAATGACTGTGTGTTTCTACAAAATATTGAAGCAAGCTTGTCTGTATTGTAATCTTGATCATTTGAAAAGGGTTTATGGGTATTACATAAGCACCTATATAGGGCCACGCGATAAGAAACCAGTATTATTTTAAATATTGCTGAGCAGAATAAAGAGAACTTAGCCAAAAATAAGCAGCTTTTTTATTTTGATGACATACACAAAGTAATATCGATATTGCTGAGCTAAGGCAATAGTGGTTCTGAGAGAAAAAGTTTAGCGGAGCGCTGCGCTGTAATACGGAGCGAGGAGCAGACCTTTATACGGTACCAGGGGCAAGCTGGCGCGAAAAAAACAGATCAGCGACACGCTTTCTTTTCGAAGTCTGACACTTAAAACGGCACCCTTTCCGAGGTATATACATATTTCTACAGTTCACTCGGCAGTTTGAATCTATTTTATGCTCGTTAGAAGGAATTATTGAAGAGCGCAGTAACTAGGTCGCATTCTCACACTTCCTCGAGATCTAATGTTGTGTTACGGATTAGCGCTGGAGCCCCAATAATATCTGCATAAACTGAACAACAGAGCAAACATATGAAACATGACAGCGACCAGTAGCCTAGCCATTCCGTAATTGAACGTGTGCGCAGAGATATACGAAAATTTTGTAAAGTTAGCACGATTGGAACGTTATTTGACGCTACCGCAACCTTCCCACCAACAGTATTATAAATTCGACCATCATCAATCGCGTCACCCAAGCGAATCACAAAGCGCGCAGTTGTTAAGCAAAGACGAATGAAAAAATGACACCTGAAAGTCCTACCTTCGTGATGTCCACAAGTCTTATTTGACTGTGCTACATGAACCACATGAAGGATTTCTTGTGTCAGCAGCAGGAGATGAGGGATATTTCAATCCCTTCCTTAGAGCAACGAGAGGCTGGTACGGAAGTCCTTAGAAACATCTCCAGACATTTAAGTGACCGCAGATTACAATAGACGCCAATCATTCAATTAGTGAAATATTGAGCCAATCATATTAAATGAGAGGAGGTGCTGAAATTTTCTGTGTAAGGGAAGATGTGTTTTCATGTCACCTACTTCGCAGTTTACAGAGCCAGAATCTTTACGATCCACTCATTTCCTCATAAACCGGTTGAACTATTATTCTGCTTCTTATGGGAGGTTAAGAAACTTTTTTGTTTTTGTATATCTTGATTATTCAAAACAGACCGAATTCGATGCAGTTATGTATACACAAATATCAGATAGCCTAATTTAATTCCATGGCTTGTAAGAGGCTTGATTTCCCAGAACAAGATAAGTTAAACTGGATCGTAATTAACAAGAGGAATGAGCGCGATTCGTTAGCATACTATTGATCGAATCTGTTAAGGTTAAAAGCTCAATGTAAATACGATCCACAACTGTTTGAAAGCTTTGATAACATTAATTCACGTGGGGGCGGCGTGGGGTTAAAGAAATGTGAGAACGAGAAAATTGGGAACTCAGATGACGGCAGCAAAAATGTACAGAAGGAGCGAGGGGTCGGGAATGCCGTACACATCGAAGACACGTTGTCCCTCCTTAGGACTATTAAACCCTTTGCATGGGCCAGAAGCAATAAGCATATCAAATATTTGGCGGTGCTTGCTGCCAATGCGATTTTTTTCTTCATTTTCCTTAGTTCTTAGTCAGTGCAAAGGGAAATCCTGACTGTAAAAAGGAATGTTGATTTAAGTTCTTGTTTGGGTTCTCTTTCAAATAAAGTATTTTTGTTATAAACTAATTTCTTTCAACTCTACGACTGAATTGGAAATGAGAAAAATTTTTTTAGAGCCAAGAAAATCACCCATAAACAGTCAGAAAAAGTTACGGGCGCCTCCGAGAAGTTTTAGAAACGCATTTCTACTCATACTTTCGGTGTCTACCATGAACTTGTTTCATTTTCTAACGAGCAAGCAGCGAAATAAGGCCGCGACCTGTCTCAACATGTTAACTTTTGCGGTCTTTGTTGCTGAGAGTTGAATTGAATTATGAAGTCTACTCACGTAGCTGAATCAATAAGGAAGGTCAGGGAAACTAGATAGCTCTAATGGGCACGACAAACTAAGCATTACGTGGAGAACATTCCATATTTCCGTAGCAACGCGAGAGACCCTTGGAATTCTGAAGACGCAGGCACTTTTTGAGGAGATGTCGTCATGTTTCTTCAGTGTGCGATCTCGAAGGTTGTTCTGCATTTTTTTGTCAGTTTTTTTGAAGTGTGGCTGTCTGCGATTGGTGAGAGGTCGCGGTTATACGGTCCTGCACATTAAATCACAATAACTGTCCACTAGATTTCACATTCTTAAATAAAAATATTTCTCAGCGACATGTAGAAAGAGAAAAGAGAGAATGAACATGTTGGTTGTGGAATCATTCTTCACTGTCACTGTTATTGTCAACGTCCTCATCGGTTGTCATTGCAACTGTCAATCGTCAATGTCATTAACGTTGTCATCGTCATTGTCACTACTGTTGTAATTGTATCTGAGAATCGTTTTATTGTTAATTCGCCATAAGTACGGAAAATTTCTCGTAAAATGGTCCAACTTTACACTAGGCCAGAATCAGTAATCATAAAAGCTGCGTTGTATGGTCAGCTGAACTTCTTCTCTGCTTTTCGAGCCATAACGTGACGAAGCACAAAGAATGAGGAAGTCATAAACTGAAAACCGATAACCCGATTTCGGGTTCATTAATTCGATGATCGGAGATCACGAAATATCAGCAAGATGATAGCCTCCGCTTCAGCCGTTAATATTGGCCTCGTCACGTGAAGCGCTACTTTCTTTGTTCTAGTCCCTCCCCAAACCAATGACAACTGACCGCAAGATGACGCAATTTGATTATTCCATTTCACTTGTGCTGAGAGATTATCAACTGTTGACATTCTCTAGCACCTGTATTAAGTAGAGCCATATTAAGCTGTCACCCTGTATAAAGCGGTCAGCTGTCAAAGTCAAGAATTTGTTTCAACTAAATCACTGTAATTTTCACCTCTATAAAGCGGTCGAGGTCAACGTGACCACTCAAATAAAACTAAGTATAATCTTCCAAGTAGTTTTTTATCTATGTTTTTCTCCCAAAATCAAAGGAACTTACATTTTGAGCGAGATTCTGTACAAGACCTGGTCAATTATGGTATAAAGTGGCGTTGTTTATCGTTTTCTCTTTAATAATACCCCCAATCTGTGGAACCTGTATTAAGTGGTCAACCTGTATGAAGCGGTAACCCGGCCATTCCCCAAGCGTATATAGACGATGGGACATATGTCCCACCGAGAATTGAGCTATCACTAATTCAAGGTCTAAAACGGCCCTTTTTGACCTTTTTGGCTTTACAGAGACATAACGATCTCAGTTTTTCGACTGCAATCTCGGTTACCGGGCTAAGAATTTCCCCAAGACCTGCACCTCAGCTTGCTTTCCAAAACAATCATGAAAATAAGGACGCTGCGACTTGTACGTCGATCTCCGTAACGAGCTGGAATCTTCCACAAATCAAGCTAAAACTTTTTTATGTGACAAGAAGACAACAATTCTTCCCGTTTATTTAGGTAAAAGGGCCACATAACTCTCGTGACCTCACACTACTACAACGTGATATCCCTCGAAATGCGTTCACTTTTTAATGTCGAAACAGCTTTTAAAAAGCTTTTCAAATTCGTGGTTGTACGTGTGCCCGGCATCAGCTTCCTATTTCACGCAAGGAAGTGGCTAGATGAAGATGGTACATTTTCTCACGCGCTCACGAGAAAGGCCAACTAAGCCTTCCAAAACTTCTGCGCATGTGAAATTTATGGATAATGGTATTTCCTAAAGCTCATACGTCGCCAAGCATGTCGTTTACAGTAAATAAGCGTTAAGCGCTATTGACCAGTCGTGATAGCTGGATCTGGTCAATTTTAACGTCTGAGACGAATTCCTCAACAACAATACATTCATCGAAGCCACACGCAACCCGCAATTAGTAATGGCTGTTTATATACAAAAAAGGAAATATAGGAGGAAAATTGACCTGTTCCTGTATTGCTGAGAGGGGTTCATACATCCAGGAGATAATGATAGGATGACGGAAGTACTTCAGCTATTAAACCCCATGTCTGCTCCTACGTAGGTTGGATTTTGGGTAATGATATTGTCGCGCAAATGTTGTTATTTTACAAAGGTTGAAAAGAAAAAAGATGAAAATGAATAAAATCATATCGTGATCTCATTTCTGCGACAAGAGCAGTGACAAGGGAACCTGAGATGTTCTTCGTTTCTTTCCCAGACACATGACAAAAACGAGAAAAACATTTGTGATTTGAAAATCAACTTCTCAAAACTTACCATCCTCTTTATTCAATTGACACGCTCGACGTTTTCAACATTGCAGATCATAAAAGCATCGGAGCGCGAAAGCCACAGATCTAAATATCAATTCCTCCTTGGAGACTAGAATTTTACCTTTGTCCAGTGCCCATGACAAAATCGAGAATATTTCTTATTCCTAAACCGAGCTCAAAAATGACCATTTTTCTTATTCTAGCTTAGCAAGAGATTATAATCTATTGATTTTACCTTGCAATGGACCTTCGTGAAGATCAACCAAGACAAAGTCTGAAATATAAATAGTTTCCGAGCAAAAGAACTTCAGAGATACGGGTAGTTTCTCCCTTCATATCCAAAATATACATTTTTTAGTGTACCGGTCGAGTCCAAATTTAACACATGAATCAGGAAGCCGGCATGAAAAGTTTTGTAGTCAAGAACTCGATCGATATTAAGCCAAAGACCGCAGTTGAAAATGCGATCATCATGCATCGCACAGACAAATCGAATCAGTCGACAGATGAAGGTTGGCTCATCGTTGGAGAGATTACGGTCTTAGAGACTTTTATGGCACAGAAGAAGATTTAGGGAACGCTTACCGCGGATTTGGTGCGACTTCCGCAATTAAAGAAGCCGAAGAGAACCGTTAAGTGTTCACTCCTGAACCATGTGGAACGTTTGATGGGCATGTCATTTCATTTAGCTTAGGAGCAGAATGTGCGATCTTTCAGACATGATTTCCTATCGGACCGAAAACCGAAAGTCAATACTTGTGTATTTGACATGCTTTCAACGACTCACATAACGGCTTAGGTTTACATAAACACTTGAGAAGAGCTAATACAAGAACTCGAAAATGTAAATAGAATCGGAAAGATAGAAAGTTTATTTTGAATCAAGTATCCTCTCAGCTGACTACAAAAGATATCCAAGGCTGCGACTCGATTTCACTCTGGAGCGTAAACCAAAAGTCAATACTTGTGTATTTAACATGCTCTCAGCGACTTAGAAAACGACTTAGGCCTTTCGTTAATACTTGACAAGAGCTGCTTTAATTAAGAACTTGCAAATGTAAATAGAACTAGTAAGATAACAGGTTTATTTCGAATCAAGAATCTTCACAAATGACCACAAAAGACATCTAAGGTTGCGGTGATTTTGGCAAAATATGTCACAACTATTCGTGTTTGGCTCGAAATTATGCTTGTGCCTCGAGGCTTGCCCCACTTAGGGAGCAGGATGTGGTTGGCAACTTTATCAATCTTCCTATCGTAGAAAATGCCTTCTCAAAGCGGAGAGTGTCGTATGAATACTCGAAATAACGGAAACCCATGTGTTTTTCCCGTCCATTTTTTTAACTTTTGCTTTAGATTTAACAAAACGTCAACGTACTTTTCAAGCGACTAAGTTTCTTTGATGATGGTGTTCATGAGCGACCCGGAGATGCAGAAAATACAGATACTATTAACAGATCGCTGTATTAGTTTTATTATTCATCTCAAGAGATGAGATTATATCCTCTTGTTTCTATCTGACATCTAAGAATGGGCTAGCTACGATAATGTGAAAG